CTCCACAATGACAACGCATGAGTGGTATCGCTTACCATCCGTTGTGCCGTCAGCAATAATTTGCTATTCGAATTATATAGACAGAAATAAATTGTAGGTATGGTAATTAAATCATCTGGGATGAATAGGAATCAATATCAATACAGGAAATACAAAAAATATTATCACTTTACCCTTATTAATGTTATCCAAAGCATTTATATTATATATCTAACGCTCATAAAATAAAGATTAAAATAATAATAACCGATTGACAGGTGCAATTTACCTACTAGGATAGGTACCTACACCAAAATATTTATTGTTATATGCCTAAATTTGACTAATTCCGGTAGCTACTATTTTCTTATCAATTACGTATTCATACAGTAGCTAATATTATCATATATCTATATCTAATATTATCATATACTTAAGTATTCGCACAAAAGACATCTTAATTTATAATTCAATAACTCATGCCGCCACCTAAAATCTAGGTATGCATAAAACTAACCCTAAATTCGTAATTAAAATAGTAAAAATTTATTGTAAGACCTACAAAGCAATGCAAATCAGTAAATGATAAAGACAACAATAATAACCCTAGACGATTCACACAGCGTCATCCAGTTCCAAGCTAAGCAGAGCAGCCAGCTTTGTTATGGTTAATGGACAAATATAGAAACCCTCGCACAATTATAAACTATGGGGAATCGAACCCACGACAATCGGAAGTAAGGCGGTGTGCTACATCGAATTCATCATGATGTCAGTCATTATGCCTTGTCTTAGTATTTTTATTTTTATTCAATTGTTAATGCAGAATATTTGTATATATCAATATAACTATCAAAACTTTATTCATATCCTATAATCCGTTATATTGATTGAATGTCAACTCCTCTTTAATCATCATCATCATCTGCTTCTTCCTTATCCCATTTATTTGAGGTCGGCGTAATATGTTTTTCGCTTCCATTCATCCCTGTTCGCAGTCATCGCGTTATTTACTTCCTTTCTTACGATATTATCTTTCACACAGTCCATCCATCTCTTTTTCGGCCTTCCTCTGCCCTTATAACCATCAACATTCATATGTAACACCTTTCTTAAAATATTATTCTCGTTCCTACGCATTACATGTCCATACCATGATAGACGATTACTCTTCAATCTCTCTGACACCGCTGCCACTTTCATACTTCCTCTAATATATTCATTCTTTAATAATATTTAATTTTCATAACATTTACTCTATTTCATAACTTTATCCGTATGCGTTAATATGAAATCTATATCAAGTATATAAGGATGTTATTTATGTATGCAAGTCCTGAATTTTAACTTAGCCTTTTATCGTTGCTATCTTTCTACATCTGTTTGGACAGTTTATATAAAGGAAGCTGTATCCGGAATTCGCTACAATGCTTCAAAAAAACGTTTTCATACGTTTTACTATATAATATTACGTTATCTGTGGTTCTACATAATGTTTACTTTTTATGTGAAAATTTCACAGTGGTTTTTTTATCTCTTTATTTATATAGGACCTTATATAAATAAAGAGAAATAATAAAACAGTAGTGATGGTAGCTCCATCATAGCTCCCAAATTATTGCATACTTTACATTTATATTACACGTATACTGACTCCAAAGACAAATATTACTGATTTAAACTTTAATCTTCATAGAGGTTGATAAATTCAATGAGATGATTGATTAATTATTTATTTATTTTAATACAGGCAACTTAATATTACTTATGTAACAATCCATATATACCTTAAGATTAGCTTATATTATACGTATTGCTTTCTAAGAATAATATCTAAATCTAAAATGTGGTCGTCATACTGATGACGTTTGTCTGCTATAGCGCCGATAGACCATTCCATTGGGCTGGCAGTCCTCATTCATGATGGTGGTCAACATGTTGGTGAAATTCGCGTTGTGAAGTCCAGCTACGTCACCCTCGATGTTGGCCTACTCTTGGACCGGATGTAGTCAATGTGATTAACATTATATATAGCCAAGAAATTAGACAATGATGGTGATCTTAATTTTATTATTGCAGTAACGCATAAACTCACCATAGTTTGAGAACCAATATAAATATTATTTATTAATTTATATTATTTTTTTCTTATAAAAAAGATAGACGTATGTGATATAATAAAATACATGTTACATTATTCTATATATTTTCGATATTCTGTATAAACACTGACTTAGGCTGAAAGATCGTGAGTTAGAATCTAGTCAATATAAAAAAAAAGCTATGTCAATATACATATATTTCTGTCTGACATTGTGTTGATGGAAATAATAATAATAATAACAATCTCAGGACAATTCACACACCGCCATCTAGTCCCAAGTTAAGCTACCTAAAGCGTGTGTACTAGATAACTGATTAAATACTATTATATATACAAAACACCCAGGCCAACACAAACAATCATACTCATGAATACAAACGTTTGCGCTGTGCGAGGAATCGAACCCGCGATTATCCGAAGTAAGGTGATGTTCTAAACCTCTAGACCATCGGGGCCGTCTATAAACAATAAAGAATGATAACAAACTAAATTAATCCAACGATGACAATAGACTCGCAGTCTGTTACGTTTAATTCAAATATACCCAGCGAAATGTTGCATTCACTTTAATCGTATTTTTTTATTGTAAATTCACATTTGACAATGCTCTGACTGCCCATCTAGGACGCCAGTCGTGAAAGTATTTCATTTTCTTGACATTACGCTTCAACTATTAATTTGCAATTACAGTTAACTTAATTATGTTAACTGTAATTGAAATATGTATAATATGCGTATATTATATTACTAACGATATTGTAATGATCATTTATGATATTGTTTAATCTTCAATACATAGTGCTGAATGCCTGATAGGATGTAACTGTTGATAAATATACTGAAAATCAGTACTGCAGCGACACGCTGCGGCATCAGCTGAGTGGAGGTCCTTTCGTATCATAGCGCGATTTTTTTAAAAGCGTATAATGGAGCGATGCCTTCGCCTGCACTATCTGTATACGCTGGCGGGGCACCAGTGGCAAATTCACCAGGAATTTATCACGATGGTTTCCAGGGGAACCGCGTGGAGGTTAACCTGATATGGTACATTGCTAGCAATGAGGTTATTAATTCACATTACTAACGATCCCCTTCCCTCCATAGCACGATATTAACTTTTATATTTTTTTATGTTTTCACTTTGTATTATGCTATGCTGAATATATGATTATTATTATATTTATTGCAATACATACTGCAACCTCCTACCTACTTATTATGACCACATCAGGACTAAACTGTTGAACGGATCTTAATGATCATTAGTATCTGTGGTACTATAAACATTATAGGACACATTACCACCTAAAATGATGAGCATCAACTACTTACTACTGCTATTGTTACAATAAAAAAAATGTTATATTGTTCTGGTCATTATTTCTCTCATTATCATTTTAATAAACATTACCAAATACCAAAGTTCTACACATGGTTCATTAGAAAACTTGGTAGTTAGATATTACAACAAACTGTGCTACTGGTAAATAAGTAAAGTTCTACACATGGCTCATTAGAAGACTTGGTAGTTAGATATCACAACAAACTGTGCTACTAGTAAATAAGTAAAGTTCTACACATGGCTCATTAGAAAACTTAGTAGTTAGATATCACAACAAACTGTGCTACTAGTAAATATGTAAAGTTCTACACATGGCTCATTAGAAAACTTGGTAGTTAGATATCACAACAAACTGTGCTACTAGTAAATAAGTAAAGTTCTACACATGACTCATTAGAAAACTTGGTAGTTAGATATCAAAACAAACTGTGCTACTAGTAAATAAGTAAAGTTCTACACATGGCTCATTAGAAAACTTGATAGTTAGATATCACAACAAACTGTGCTACTAGTAAATAAGTAAAGTTCTAAACATGGCTAATTAGAAAACTTGGTAGTTAAATATCACAACAAACTGTGCTACTAGTAAATAAGTAAAGTTCTACACATGGCTCATTAGAATACTTGGTAGTTAGATATCACAACAAACTGTGCTACTAGTAAATAAATAAAGTTCTACACATGGCTAATTAGAAAACTTGGTAGTTAGATATCACAACAAACTGTGCTACTAGTAAATAAGTAAAGTTCTACACATGGCTAATTAGAAAACTTGGTAGTTAGATATCACAACAAACTGTGCTACTAGTAAATAAGTAAAGTACTACACATGGCTCATCGGAAAATTTGGTAGTTAGATATCACAACAAACTGTGCTACTAGTAAATAAGTAAAGTTCTACACATGGCTCATCGGAAAATTTGGTAGTTAGATATCACAACAAACTACATGTGCTACTAATAAGTAAGTATATAGAGATACCAAGTCATATTCTGACGAAAAAATGCGTGCTGACAAATATAATATTTACTATCAACATACGAAAACACATAATTATACTCATGACGCAATTATCCTTTGCCGTTTGCCGCTGTAATTATAGCACCTACATTTAATCAAGCACATTTGAATCAGTGAAACAGTAGGCTTATCTCTGCCATGTTGTCAGGGGACTAAGCCTACTGTTTCTCTGATTAATTTGTGAGTTAGTCGGAATTTAAACCCAATTAACTACCCTTAAATAACTGGTTCAAGTCCTGTGGCGATTATATTAACGAAAAATTGGAACAGGCAAACTACTTATATACGTTTTGAATAAAAAAATAGATAGGTAACCTGTCAATATCTTTACTAGCAATATAAAATTTTATATAATTATAGTTATTAGATATTAATCTTAATTTAAATAATCCAAATCTGTTTATTTGGTATTGAAAAAGATGTATAATGATAGTTAATATCTACCCATTACTCTTAATTTAATTAATCAATATTAATTATTAGGTATATTTAGTATATATATTTAGGAGTATAAAAATTAAGTATAAACAAGAAAGAATATTGTGTACTCATTTATTTATTATTTGTTTTAGTCATTTGTTACTTATTTACTCAGTTATTTTTGGTATGCTAGGTTTCGTATGATGTGTAGTGGGGTCGAGACAGACTTCAGATACGTTCAGATACCTGCAGAAAAAAAGAAATATAAAATTAATCACACGGAATAAAAAAATTTGAATATTTTAATTATAATGCATCATACTGTCATCTAGTTGCATCATAGTTTTTTATAACTATTTGTATGGACCATCCTGACGGACAGTTTACAACACCATACGTCATATAGTTGAGTATTATAGTCCATTTGCATTTTCTGACCAAGATGTAATTATAATGTGACAAAACAATATATGTAATAGTATATAATCTGTTTAATAAAAATATTTAATATCTTACTTAAGCGGAAGCGCTGGCAGCGACGATTTCCAAGGGAATAGCCAACACAATAGATTGCTGTGAAAGAAAAAGAAACAAAGACGTTAAAGTTAAGCCTAAAATTCTTTCCACAATCGTAAAAATGCTATGATCTGATTGTAGACACCTACAATATTCATTTTCCTAATATTAGGTGTTACATGACAAATTGTCGAGGTGTTTAAGTATGTGTATAGTTTTTACTCAATCATAAAGAGCTCAACAGATTTGCATGATATTTGGCACACAGATAAACAAAGTACTAGATTAACACGTATGATAATTTTGTTTTGATAACGTGTCCGCATGGGATAATTTATGATAGCAATAATATTTATTGTCCACAAGTAGATACTGCTAACAAAATTCAATAACCAATTAACACGATGCCAAAATATTAAATAAAGTTAAAACTTTCTTACTAATATAGGATTAAGTCATGGCACTAATGAGAATATAAAATGACAAAACTAAAACTCTTCATACTTGTAAAATACTTAGTAAGGATACGCAATTTGTATGTTAGTATTATTTTCCCAAGTTAATATAATTTATAAGTTAACAACTACCATATATAGATTGTATAGTCTATCTTCTATATATATAACATAGCTAATAAATATAGTTGATTATTGGAAACTAAATCGTAGTAATAGTAAAATCAAGTACTGTGAGCAACCCGTTAATTTGTTACTTAAGAAGTATTCATTATTTTTACGCACCACGTTGGCACCTCCGAAGTTAGCGGCCATGAGGCTGTTCAAACCATCGACCAGGTAGGGGGCCTGAGCGGGGTTCAGTTCGGGGCTCTGGAGAGCGCTGGAGAGCTCACCCAAGCTCCAGTAGGAAAGGTCTCTTGCGGGGATGATGACGGAGTAAGCGGGCTGAAATAAAGCATTGTTAATTATTATACAATTATTCTGCTGTCATTAGTAACACTAAGGAAGAAATAGTACAATTTTAAATATTATATACCTGGGCAGATCCAGAGTAAAGACCTTCCATCAGGGCGTTGAGGGCATCCTTGAGGTAAGGCAGGAGAGCGGGGTCGGTGCTGGGGTTCTCGATGGCTGCGGACAGCTCGTTCAAACTCCAGGTGGACAGATCGATGGGGGCGGTTCCGATGTAGATGTATTCCTATAACAATAATAAAAAGGTTATTTTTAGTTTCGTAATAAGTATTATTTGAATTTGTTTTAATACATTAACTTGTTTTTGCGTACTTACGTAGTCAAGGCCGGAGAAGATAGCGTCCATGTAAGCGTTGAGGCCGGTCTTGAGAGCGGGCAACAGGGAGGGGTTGGTGGTGGGGTTCTCGATGGCCTCGGACAGCTGTCCCAGGGTCCATCTGTGGCGGGCGGCGGAGGCCACGGCCAGGAGAGCGACGAATACAGCCAGGGATTTCATGATTCAAGTTTTTGTCTGTTGATCATAAAAACATTATGACGTTTTTTTTTTGTTAAGAAATGAGCCTATTAACAATTTATGAAGATATTTGACCAACTTAAATGTTACTTAATTACGTATAAACGGCTAAACAGACCTGAATAAAATTTGGTACAAATTTGGTAGAAAATAAAGTTTATTATCTACTAAATCAATACTAATACCTAGGTTATCTTCTTATGTAGACATAAAAAGCACGACATAAAGAGCACAAAATATCTGAGAATCATATATCTTATTCAAATTAAATAATTTTATTTAATTGGCAAGTGCATGAGAAGATCAACTAAACAAAAAGTCAGATATGAAAGTCTAAATCTTCCTATAGACAACCAGTGTCCAACAGTGGGACTTATGTCCTACTGAGTTGCAACTATGATCTAAATAAATGCACTCAATGTGCACTTTGTATCATTGAACATACATATTATATTTCAATACTATAAATGATTTTTTTTTTAATATAATATCTCAAATTCCTGTTTGATCATTAGATATTAGAACGAATGTACACTCACCTACCGTTGATCGATATAACAGCTTTTTCAAAATATCCAATATATATACCTTGGTTAATTGATGATAACAATTTCAATATCTTTAGAAATTTATGGCTTGTATAGATTGAAAGGTAGTATCGTAAACTTTAAATATATGTTTTATAGTAAGTTATAAAGTAGATAATAAAAGGCTTACATTTTAGATGATTTGTCTGTTGGTTATTGTTTGCAGATACGTGGGGTACACTAAAAGTTTTCCATGAATTAATACATAGTAATATTATAAAAAGGTAAAGTATGTGAGTTTGGTTGTTTGAGTTAATCTGCCGCGCTAGAGATCAAATTTTGAAAAAGATTATAGTGTTAGCTTATTTATCGCAGGAAGCTGTAGTATATAATATCACCCTACTATCAGGAGCTGAGTTGCGAAGAAAAATGTTGCAATTATAAGAAAAATTTAACGCAAATGAAGTTGCAAGAGTCAGTTAGTAAGTAATAAACATATAGCTACAAAAACTTCATTAATCTGTATAAATTATTTCACAACATTGCATTTTGGAACATTTGCGGTTTGTCCGCACTTACAAATAGAGTAACATACATATATGTAGACGAGTATGTGTGTATATAAACAGGACAGCTATTTTAGATAAAATAGCTAACCAAGGAACTAAAAAAGAATCTTTTTAACTCACTTATTAAGACGATGGCTAAAATGGTAAACTTGTCATACTAACGGCATCTGATGATCTATAGTCTACTTTAAATTATGATTCAATAAATAACTTTATTGTCTACATACGCGACTTAGATAAATCTATGAATAGAACGATGAATCCTTAAAAAATAAAATAAGAATGCTCACAACTGCTCTTAAATCTCGCAGGGTGTTACAGTGTTCTGTGTTTGACAAACAGTTGCCTAACGTTGCCCTCATTTCATCCATTCCTAGGTCGAGGTAGTCTTTGTACCTAGTTCTCTGCATCGTGGGGTTCAAGTCATTGGTCATTCTAGTTGCATAGGAAAATCCGTAGTCTACCATCATTTTTCCATCTCGTATGTTGTATATTCTCGTATCACATAAATAATATTATGCATATAACTTTTACAGATTTAAGAATAGCAATTAGAAAATTTTTACCCTTATTTGTTGGATTGTGTATCTCTATATGTAGTACTCACACCAAACCCGCGGAATGACTCAGCCTTCCGCGGGATTGAAGTGCCAAGTGCCAGTGTTTTTTTTGTACGAAAATTGTACTTTATTGTGTAGTCATATATTTTCAAATATTTCGATTTTTTTAAATTAATAAGTAGCAAAGATGATCATCCAAGGTTTTTCTTTTATATTACCCGCAACTAACCCCCCAATAAAAAGATAAAATAATAAACGATTGACATGTGACAACCTTTGTAATTTACGTAACGGATTGGAATTACCCACACAGTAGCTAATAGTACCGTTTAATCTAAATCTAATTATTACTTGATATAGATAACATCATATATTATGTTTTTATTTATAATTTATCAATGAAATCCATAAACAAAGACGCCTTCATTCATTTTAGACGAATATTATTCACGCTTCGCTACAGGTATCGTGTTTTCTATTTAAAGGTATGTTCTTAAAATTGTTGAAAAATATCGACAATTCAACAATCTAAAACTGTAATCAATTTTTAATTAGTAGTGTAAAAAGCAACTGTGTTTTATTTGTATTTTTCTATGAATGGTTATAAGTGCAACCGCCTTTTTTTGAATGGGGAAAATCTCTCATGGCGACTCGTACGTCTTAGGGGTTGAACGAATGGGTACTGTGAGACTCACTCACTCACTAAAAACCCCACATTATTCCTCCTCGCCGCCATAGTGCCGGGGTCGCGGGAACAAGTTCGCAATCAACCGCGACCCCAGCGGCGGTTACTAAAATGGTCAACCCTCATCAACGCGGGGGGGTAACTCTTCCCAGTTTCCGCCCACCGTGGGGAAGACGCACCGGAATGCAGGATGCGCCTTCCCCCCATCTCGGCGCCTATTGTATGTACGGCAAACTTGAACCCCTGAGACTGACCACCTACACCTCTGTGTAGCCGCACCCTCTCCACACGTATCTCTACAAGAGGTAGAGTCATAGAAGGAGCGGGTCCCCAAAGCGATGCTTAACGGTCAGAAGGGGCCCTCCTGAGCCCATTATCCCAGCCTGTGCCGCCCCTCCCATCGGACTATTGGCCACTATGCTAATGATAACACGGAAGGCATTGTTGATATACCCCCCGGGGCACACCAGAACTAAACATTGCTCAGCCACCGTTCTCCGCGAACGTATTTAGGTATTCGCCTAAGAATGCTGCAACATACGAGGAAGTTGTCCGACCAGCACCCCATAAGTGCCTAGACTAACCAGTTAGCCCATCGCAGAAAATTCACTAGGAATTAAACATATTGGATTTCAAGGGGGACATCGTGGAGGTCGATTTACTATCAATATCGGTTTTTCATAAATAAATGCTATATGTAGTAGTCTAGCGGTTTACACACCACCTTAGTTCCGATGGTCGCGAGTTCGATACCTACACGGTTTTTTTATATTGTTAATTTTCATATGTATGATTGTTTGTATCAATCTAAGTGTTTTCTAGTGTGAGTGTCTTTGTGGTGTCTATATTTTACAAAAGAAAATATCTATTTATACAAGCTTTAGCTAGCTTAGTTTTGGTCTAGATAGCGCTGTGTGAATTGTCCTGAGATTATTATTATTTTTATACGCCCAAGTAGATAGGTAGGTAGAGAGGCGTATACAGAATAAAAGTATTTTGGCCCCAATATAATTTATTACATGTTTATATAAAATACATATTATTATATACACTTATTAAATAGATTCGGGTATGTATTCTCGTAACGTCTTCATCGTGTTGTATCTGAAAAAAAAAATATTTTATACTTATATAAGCTATTAAACATCACGCTATGACACTTAGAAGCTAATTCAATTCAGAGCGAATAAAAAACGAACGTTTAGCGAAATACAACTAATAGCATCGGCGGTGATAATATGGGATACGGGTCGATAGATGAGGAATAGAGGTCACCATTTCTTTTAATTAAAAAATATATATATATATAAATTTATTACATTAATGTAATAAAGTTCTGTATTACAATAATATAAAAATATTTATAATATTTTTTTTATACTACTATGCTGGCAAACAGGCATACGGCATGTTACGCCACGATATGTTAGTCTTTAAGTATTTATAACGTGCACCATTAGTAGCCTGAAATAAATAAATCACCTTTTCACGATTCAACTGAAATTTGACGTAAAGATATATTGTGCTGAAGATGTACATGGGTTAACTTCAAAAAGAACAGATGCAATCGCGAGAAGCAGCACTTTATATAAAATCAAACAAAAAACCAAGGTAAATTACTAAGCAAAAGCCGAGATCATGTTCCATCAGTCTGAGCGATAGCAATTTAGGTTTCTGCTGCGGATACGGCCAGCATCTTCTTGTATGAACCAGCGAGAGAGCGAGCAGCCAGCACTAGTAGTTCCCTCCGGGATACTCCCGTCGCCGCCTCCTGCCATTGCGTGTGCGGTACCTAGTTCATTTTAATAATAAATAAACGATACTACAAATACTATTTCAAGATATACGAGAAAAATGACACTAATAATAATCGTCAAGAGGCAATAATAAATATTTCTATTAATAGATGGTTTTGTTTTGTACAGCAAAAATAATAGAGTAGCTATATAAACAACAAATTCTACTACATTTTTACTATTATTCATGTAATTTTATACTTGGTATACATGTAATTTATGTAATTGTTATTTTCTTTCTGTAGGAGAATGCCTCTAGTACTCATAACATATCGGGAGAGGAAGTGAATGTTAGTAATGGGGACTAGGCTAGCAACCATTTCAGGTCATCACATTGTATCCTCTATATGCCATCTGTGTTTAATTCCTAGTAAACTCGCCACGTTGTTGTGTAAATGACCTGACTTTATGCTTAACCTATCATCCTCCAATAGTAACGTATACAATTAGCGCAAGTACCATACCAAGTAACAAAAATCCACAATAAAAAAACCTCTTTAGAGCTTACCTGTAAACTAGCAGCCATAACGGAGCCTATAGTGACGCTATAGCCAGTCTGCTTATGTGGATAATCTTCAGGCGTAGCGGCCGCCAGAGCCGCCAGCGCAGCAGCTGGTACCGGAGTTCCTTGTGACTGGAGCTGCAGTTCTATGCCTAGCGACGGCTGCGATAGCAGCAGCAGGGATAATTCGTACCATCTGGAAGTAGATTGCATTGAGAGATAAGAAATGTTTACATTAATGTGTCTGACGATACTGGCCACTTATAATTAGATTTTTCAGTGGTCAGATTTGTGCGATATCGTTTGTGTGGATAACTCTGTCCAATCAATCACTGCCCCCACATTGCTTCGTAATTTTTTTTCGTTTGCTCAACTAAACTTCATGCCACTTTTCCTGTAATTTCACAACCTAATCGTATTCAACCGAAACCCAGCTTACAAAGCTGCTTGGCGGCTATAATAGGTGAGACTGAATTTAAAATTGTACTTTAATGATGGCCTAGAAATGGTAAAAATAAAGAAAAATTAGTTTATAAAAAAATATTTTTATGTTCTTTAATACAAAGATAGTAATGGAAATACTAGTTACGTATTATTTGAAAATTTTAAAACACCTGTTAATTTAGTCTCGAAATTTAAAAACTAGCCCTAAGAGGCTTACAACTCAGCTATCTGGGGTTTATTGGCCCCGGACTTGGTGCTTAGAGTTTCGCCCCGAGGCCCCAACCTTCAAGCCACTAGGAAGGCGCGGGTGACCGGTGTCAGTCAGACCACAGCTACAGTACAGACCTGTCAGGCTGTGCCTCCTGCAGGAACCCCTCAATAGCGACGACTGGTACGTTGTTGGTGAGTTGCGTGTTCGTAGAACGAACCTGTGCGATCCTCTGCTTGGCGGCGGCGTACGCGGCCGCGCTTCCCACAGGTTGCGTGGCGGTCACCGAACTTGGGGCCGGACTACCACTGTACAATGATATATAGTAATGTAAATTTAACGCGGTCATTATTGGTTATTGAGCAGATATTGATTCCACCATGATGTAGACAATTAGCTGTTTATTCGTTAGGTATTTTTGAAACTAAAATAATAGCAATTATAAACAATCCTGTATGAATCACACATCGTTATTCCAAACTACTAAACAACTTATAGAATTACTTTAATATATTTTTTTCGGAAGTATTAATTGACGGCCTCGGTAGTCTAGCGGTTTAGCACACCGCTTTACTTCCGATGGGTTTGTATCAGTCTGGGTGTTTTCTATGATATATATATTATGTATGTATTCACAAAAAAAAAAAATTTGGTATTTATATCAGTTATCTAGTACCCATAACAGAAACTCTGGCTATCGTGGGACTAGATGGCGCTGTGTTAATTGTCCAGAGCTATTTATTATTTATATTATTACAAGTTGTGCCAGAAAACTTTTTAAACTCCATATGTTGATGATAATCAAACAATAACAATTAATAAAACATCTATACAACGCCACGTCAGCTATTTCGTTAATAACCTAATCAATTAAATAATAACTATTATTTAATTCATTAGTTCATGAACGAATAGCTGGCATATGTAAAAACATTTATATAAATAAATACTTCTCGCCACAAAGATAGTTACAGTTAGTAGATGGTCGCCTCGTAACAATGTTGTTATATGTAATGTAAAGAAAAGGTATGACTTGTGGGTCATCTGTGCAATTGCTTTAAGCGATGAGACCAATTCTGTTAACCATATTTATGCAAAATATTAATTTTGTACTTATTTTTCCAGTACGCGATAAAGTTATATTATAATTATTGACATAGGTACATAGAAGATACCACTATTATACCACTTAGTGTGGAGATCTGCATAAAATGAGAATTGTTAGCAGTTAAATAACCCTAAGGTCCATTCTAGTTTGTAGGTCACAAATCATAGTATGTATAAAAACTATTCATACACAACAGTTGCTTTTCCAAATACTCCTTGAAAGGCCTCCCTGACTGGGGAGATTTTAACTTCCTTGTCTGATGCAACAACTATGTTCAAATCACCACCACTTTCTGTAAAGAAAAACACACATTTTAAACAGTGCACTGTGCTAATATACCTTACTATAAATTTTTACTTTATATTTTTCACTTACTAAGATATTCCTTCATTTGCGGATCTAATGTTGTGATCATGGAGTCCACAGAACTTTTAGCCTTCTCAGCCACCCTGTGTAGTATGCCACCTGTAGAGACAGCTCCTTTCACCCATGTGAACAAGGCACTACCTGGCATCACATCACCTATTAAAAAAAATAGATAATTTTAAAAAGCTCTCTACCGTCACCTATCTGACCTCACAAATATCTAGTGAATCAGTGTAAGAAAACATGTTTGTATCTGAAACAGATGAATAAAAGGTACCCAAACAGTCACCATTTGTGCAAAGCCAACCTAGGCACCTTGAATAAGGTATCTGCTATAGAATTTATTATTAAGTATTTAAATCTTGTTCTTGCTCTCCTATATATAAAAGGGGTAGACTCATATGTTTGAATAGGAGCAGAAAGCAATAAAATCTTCTGGAAATAAAGGGCTTATCACAGAAAGATGCAGGGAAAAGTAACAAACAACCAAATTAAAAATAATCTTTCATTATTTTTATCAGGGCATGTATAGACAGTGTTACTAATACAGTTAATATTAATTATAAATTACACTAGTAAAGAAAACAAAAATTACCAATAGCTTCCAACTCAGGAGTGGAGGCTGGTAGAGATTCAGGAGACAGTGTGTTTTGTGAGTCATCTGGAGACCTAATTGACACCATTGGCTCACCTTTACTTAGTGGAATGGCAGGGCTGAAAATATAATTAAACAATCATTATAATAATAAACTTATTAAACTATATGAACCTGACTTAATTTCTGTATATTAGCTACATGATGTCTTTATCCCACAGTACTGTTAAATGTGAATCTGTGATAATCTGGGATATGATTCAAATGGATAATGTACCAAATTTCATTTAAATCCATATTGCACTATTCATGGAAGAATAACAAATGTCTATACATCTATACTCGAAATAGTGATCTATGGTGGTATTTTTAGTTTTCTATTTACAAAAATATTAGGTAGCTGTAGGTAAGGACTATATACCCAATATGAAAAATTCCTTTAAAAACAAAGAGGTATCCGAATACAAGGATACACAATTCTGTGAGTTTTTTTTTATTTAAACTAAAGAGCAGAAATAAAGGAATTTCGTACTTAACAGTCTAATTCGGTAATGAAAATATCATAGTTTATATATCATTACATACATAAACATCCCACAATACAGGAAAGTTTCTCCCCAAAGGAGGATATTTTTTATTAAATCTGAAATGATGACACTGCATTTCTCTTGACATACTGGGGATGAAGATATGTTAATACATATTTACCTGAAAGTTTCCATAACTTCTGGTTGTGGATCCAATCTCTGCTGAACTATGACAGGTTGTACAGGAGCTGCATTTGGTACCTAGAATATATTTAGAAAAAAAATTAAGACATCTTATACTACCAGAATCAATTTCATATTTATAATATTAGTAAATACAGATAAATAGGCCTTGATTCTCATAATATAATCATAATTGTTGCTGACTAATTATTAGCATTATAATAAAAGTGAAAGGGATAAAATTAATTACTGTCTTTGGCCACATTGCTTCTAGACAATCTAAACATAGAAATGATTATGATGGACCAGATGGACAATTACTGCCTAAGAGTCATGATTTTAATCTAAGGGCATAAGTTACACTAAAAATTTATACATGACCCAGTTTATATTTCTTTTATCTACATCAAAAATAATAACATACGATATCAGTGGCAGTGATGAAATTCGGGAGCTGGGATGGTGGCGCAACGCTGGAAAGCAAGTTCCCAGGAGCTAAAGCCGGCGTTGGTGCATCTGGGATCTTAGGCTTATCTGATCCACTCATCTTAGCACGTTTTGATATTTACGCTGCAAGAAGTAACACTATATATATATTATTAATTTACTAAGACACGTAATAAAATTAATATAATTAGAATTTAATTTGAAGAGGCATAGATTAAGATTTAAACATGAAGATTGTGTTGTTTTGAAAATTGACTTTTATAAACAAAACAAATACCGTATTAAGTTAGGATTTGCGAATTTTACGATTTCTTTCAAAGCATTTGTGTTGTTGTTGACATACTAAAATGACAATTTAAATTGACAGTGACATTATCTATACCACGTAAGTATTTTATATTTTAAAATCCATAGATAACAAACCTTAGTAGCTTACGGAACAAGTTGGCTAGCCTAGCATCGTTTAAAATAAAACATAAAATTACACTATTTAGCAAGTAAATTAAGATCATCAAGCAATGCTATTTCTATACTATCTTTTAAAACGTAAAACGTATGTAGTTTGCCAAGTACTTCTACTTAATCTGTGCTGAAACAAGTGTCAACTATCTGTCAACTGTAATATCAATTATCACTTACCTCTTCAAAGTTCTCTTTATTTTCACTAACAATAAAGTAAAAACTTTAGTAATTAATATTAACTGTACACAGCCGCGAATTTTGTGATAATTAAATCATGTCGGATGGGCCAGATACACCGCCCTTCAGTACAGTAGACATCAATAGTGAAAATATTGAAGATGAAGACTTATTTGCATCTGCGGTCCAGGTATCTTACTGGAATCTTGTTTTTCTTGCTTGTACACAAATACGCCCCCGATAGATAAATTGGACCATAGTAACGCCCCTCTTTGGACTTGTTTTTAAAGCTATTCGATTTATTTAACGGTTATCGGTTTCTTAGTAAATTATGAACTAAATAAAATTTCCGAATCGACAATTCAATTAACACCGTATACGTGGGAAATAATCATTACAATACAGCTTGTGATGTGTATGATGACCTTGATGCGAAATTATGCATTTATTCTGTATTATATGAACAATTGAAATTGTTAATTGCACATAATATAGATTATCAGATTATTACAAGTACTTAATAATTGCAAGTGTACAAAAATAGTTTAGTAAAATACTGAGACATCATGGTAACTTTTGATTTAATATAAAAAGTATAATAAAGTAAGGAGTAGGTATTACAGAAAATAATATTTAGTATTTCCTCAAAGAAATTCATGATAAATATCATATGCTGTTTGTATTCTTTCAAAATCCATACATATTAGTAGACCTGTACCTGTAGCACAACTTAATAAATATGATGACAACATTGTATTCTAGCAGAATTAACGTCCAAGGCTTGCTTACAAAACATTATTGGGAGGCTTATTCTGCCAAAAGGTATCTGTGTTTCAGTTTGAAGTATGAACACATGTAATTATAGGGATGCATAACACCTTACTCATTTGGAAAGAATGCAGGTGTCACATGATGACCTAATGATCTTATTCTTGAATGCAGGCCATAGTTATAGCTTACATCTGATTGACTGTCATTTTGTTTGATCCAGTATATTTTATTTTTTATTTGTAGGAAGTCAGTCTGGATCCGGAGGTTAATGGAGCTCGAGAGGGTTTGGAGAAAACAACCATAGGAGACCCACCATCAATCACTGCTACTCTCAGCAGCCCTATAATGGAAGAGGTAATATTATAAATATGATAAAAATATACTTTAATTGTTTATGCACCAAATACACATATTTTGTCTATACACAAATTATATATTAATCTATTATTGAAATTCAATAACAGCATTTAAAATTCAACAGTATTTATACTCTGTTTTGTAAATAGTTCATACAAAAATGTTATATACAAAAAAAAAGTAGCATATCAATACACAGCAACAGATTGGTAAACCATGAATAAAGAATATATATATTATATTTATTAATGTTTGTACAATGTATGGACTAAACAAGTGACTCGTGTAAGTTGATTGAGGTAGTGTACTAAACTGCACCACTGAGGTAATTCAAATTGATTACATTTACATAAGAAAGTACATTTTTAGCTCTATATAATACACTCTATAATTTCTAATGAAGGTGTATTGTATGAGATTTCAACTAAAGTTATTAACCTTAAACTTTTGAATTGAATCTCAGTGCATAACTGTAAATCTAATGAGTGTTCTAAGGTTGTAATTATGCATAATTACATATTTATTCATTAATTAAAAATTCATACCTAAAAACCCATTCAGTAAAAAAAGTGTTTAGTGGCACACACACAGTGCTCAAGTTTTTTTTATAATTAAATTAATTATCACTTTTTTTTTATTTGTTGAGGTTGTACTGAAGAGTGAATGATACCTTTTGTATTAAAAAAATGTAGTGAAGTCTTAGATAACAACTGGTATTGTAAATTCTAACCTATATTTATTGTCTGTTTATTACTTATTCATCGTTGAGTGGATATAAATGAATATTTATGAATTATATTATAAAAATCTGAAGTAAACTATGTTTTAACACCTAAAGTTGTTTATAAGAGGTAATTAAGTGATTTGTAGGTACTGAAAGTGACGTTGCTGTTTTAATAAAATACACATATTTAATTATTATTATGTACAATAATGTAATATAAACTTTATTGTAATTTTTTACTCACTGGAAACTGCAGGGCATATTTAGAACTATTATAATCTTAAGACCATTATGTACACATGTTCCAGTACAAAAATTAAATTGAATTGAATTGAATTGAATATTTCTTCCACAATCTACTAATGTCTCATACATTCATCAATCCCCTCTAGAATAACATTCCAGAATCCTATTTTCACATGACTTTGTTATGGTATTAAGCTTGCTGTTTAATATGGACTGTTATTATATTGTATTACCATTTAAAATTATCTGTGGAGCCTGGAACTTCAATTATTACATAATCAATATAAGAATAGTAGATATAATTTGTAGATAAAGATATACATCAATGTCACAATAAATACAAAAAAAAACCAAGCATATCCTCTCTTTCGAGTCAGTTAGAATTTTTATTTATACTTTATTCCTTTTCTTACAGATAGCTACAGAGCGAGCAAACAATATATTAATAACAGTTACAGAACCACAAAAAATCGGAGAGGGCATGAGCTCGTATGTTGCGTATCGCGTGCTTACTAAAACTAATATGCCAATATTCAGCAAACACGAGTTCACTGTGCTAAGACGTTTCAGTGACTTCTTGGGCCTGCATGAAAAACTCACTGAGAAATATCTACGTTCCGGGAGAATTATACCGCCGGCACCTGAAAAAAGTATTGTAGGTGAGTTTTAATCAGTGTAAAGAAGACAGGCAAACAAGCTGAAGTTTCACTATAGTAAATGTCACGTTTTTCGTATTGTATCATTATCGTAGATTTTTTTACAATTAACACAGCGCCATCTCCACTCGGTAAACAGTCTTTGTTATGGGTATTAGGCAACTGATATAAATTACGAACGTAGATATATATTTTTTGTAAATACAGACATAATATACCTACAAAACACTCAGACATTACAAGCAACTATACTCATGATTACAACTACAAGTATTTTGCTCGAGGAATCGAACCGGCGATAATCGGAAGTTAAGCGCTGCGCTAAATGGCTGTGTCTGTATTGGAGTATGAAATTTAATTAATTGTGTTACTATAATGAACAAACAATATCGGTAATTTATGTGTAATCTATCCTTTAAAATTAGTATAGTCAATAACAGAATAAGTAGATATACATTAATCAAAACCTCAAGAAGTACATACGTTCGTGTAGATATTGAGACTTGAATATCTAATGGCAGTATGTTAATTGCATCCCCGAGGATTGCAAGTGCATCTGACATCTGACTGGTGTCAATTTCAAAAGATAATATATATATGAATAAAAGAGCTACTGCAATTAAACTAGGACCGCACTTTCTGGTATGTTGGTAGGAAGCTACTAAGCAATACTAATGTATTGCTCAGTAGCTTATTAATATTGGGGAGATTTGAACACGGTCATTGCCACATACCTTTAATAAAAATGATAGGTAGGTAATAGGTACAGTTGGATACAATAGATTTAACAAAAATATATATCTTAAAAGGTACATAACATAAAAACATGATAAATTATACATATGTAGTGCATCGCTTACAAAATATATTTTTAATATTTACACCTATAACATAGACTATGTAATCTATTGCAGTGTGACAAAACAATTTTAAAAGTCTGTATGCAAACATACATATCATTATTCAACGAATTGTATTACTACTAAGGAACAACATTTCAATATAAAAGAATGAGACCATTGTAATGTTGTCAATTCGTTATCCAATGAATCATATGATAAAATTTCAAAATTCAGCATAATACGTCTTAATAATAGCAATAAAATTTACCTGTACTTATCTTATGAAAAGATGATAATGAAAATAAGTGTACATTATTATGTAGTGTGACTGGATTAATATGATACAAATAACGAAAATACGATTTCAAAACTTTTAAGAATCTATAAACCTATAAATCTATTTGAATTTCTAACAGTTGTCTATTGTTATGGTCACAACAAAAGCTCAGTTGAGGCTTGATGGCGATGTCTACGTGAAACCTGAACACATAGACAGATACACTATTTTCTATTATATTTATATTAATCATATAATGGAATGCCTGTAGTACTGGTAACCCACTAGAATAGTCTGTTCTAAGTTATAACCATTCATATTATATTCATCAAGGTACAACCAAGTTAAAAATGACTTCAACCCCTTCAACTGAGAGTGCAAACGGGAGCAACTCCGCGGCGAGCGTTCAATCGCAGTTCGTAGAACGGCGTAGGGCGGCGCTAGAGCGATTCCTCAACCGCGTCGCACAACACCCGGTGCTTTGCATCGATCCTGACTTCAGGGAGTTCTTAGAATCCGGTGAGTTAATAATTTTCAACAACACATTTACTCTGATACTATTTACTTTCTACCATGTTTTTTAATCATTGCCGTCGTAGTCTGTGTTTACCCCGTCTTACTCTGAAGGTCGAAATCAAATATGGCCGGCCACGAATTTTTTTGTAGACTACTCTAATGCTGTTAGCCGCAGCTAGCCTTTACAGCTTTACCGGACGACGCGGGCGAGTGCAGATAGCACTCTACACCCGCAGAAGGGCTTATGGAGCGGCTGAAGTCGAATTCCCGCCTGACGGATACGATTTTAGTCTGAGGGCACTTTAGACGTAAGATTTAACTATTTCATAGTATTATCTGATTTATTTGTTAAAGTAATAATGTAACAATGATTACTATTTTTATACGACTTTTTATAAATTATTGCACGCATTTCTTTATTCCAGATACAGAATTACCGAAAGCAACAAGTACGTCGGCACTAAGCGGTGCTGGCGTGCTGCGTCTATTTAATAAAGTGGGCGAGACTGTTAATAAAATCACGTACAGAATGGATGAGTCTGATCCCGTAAGAAATTAATTTACATTTTTTTTTTCTGTTCGATAGGTTTTGTTTATTAGAAGTTTGTTTTGTACATAATATTGCCACGCATGCATTTACGAGTGGTGGTATCGCCGGTGTCACATCATAATGTAATGTATATGTTGCTGTTCCTGTATATAGGCGACGGTTACCACTTACCACGAGGTAGGCCTTCAGCTCATTTATCATTTCACTTACCTAATAGTATATACGATATAAGTCCGTTATGATGGTTATGACACACGACGCTAAATTTCAGTATAATAGAGCCGAGTGTCTTAAATAGACGTAGGTATATCGTACGACGTTTTTCAACAAACTTGTAAGGAAGAATAAAAAATAATGATATTATATTTTGCTCATTTTGGCACTTTTTACTTTTTTTATATCATCGCGCTGCCGAGCAGTTCGAAATTTGAAAAATAGCAAAGTACGGTTTTGGAATATACTTCACTATTTTAGATATCGAAAACCGGTGAAATTAGATCCACATATGACATCGGGTCGGTTGTGTGTTGTTGTAGTGGTTCGAGGAGCGCGTTGGTCGCGTGGAGGCGCTGGAGGCGTGCCTGCGGCGGCTGCACGGCGCCGGCGACGCGCTCGCGGCCGAGCGGCGGGAGCTGGCCGCCCGCGCACACGACGCCGCGCGCGCCGCCGCCGCGCTCTCCGGCGCCGACCCCCACGCGCCGCTCTCACGCGCGCTCTCGCACACCGCCGACCTGCACGAGAAGGTACGGCTCACTGTCCCCGCGCCCCGCGCCCCGCGCCCCGCCCGCCGCCCGCGCACACGACGCCGCGCGCGCCGCCGCCGCGCTCTCCGGCGCCGACCCCCACGCGCCGCTCTCACGCGCGCTCTCGCACACCGCCGACCTGCACGAGAAGGTACGGCTCACTGTCCCCGCGCCCCGCGCCCCGCGCCCCGCCCGCCGCCCGCGGTCCCCGCGCCCCGCGCCCCGCGCCCCGCCCGCCGCCCGCGCACACGACGCCGCGCGCGCCGCCGCCGCGCTCTCCGGCGCCGACCCCCACGCGCCGCTCTCGCGCGCTCACACCTTGGAATGCCGCGCGCGCCGCCGCCGCGCTACTCCGGCGCCGACCCCCACGCGCCGCTCTCACGCGCGCTCCCGCACAGCGCCGACCTGCACGAGAAGGTACGGCTCACTGTCCCCGCGCCCCGCGCCCCGCGCACACGACGCCGCGCGCGCCGCCGCCGCGCTCTCCGGCGCCGACCCCCACGCGCCGCTCTCACGCGCGCTCCCACACCGCCGACCTGCACGAGAAGGTACCTCATCACTATCTACCGCCGCCGCGCTCTCCGGCGCCGAACGCGCCGCTCTCACGCGCGCTCTCGCACACCGCCGACCTGCACGAGAAGGTACGGCTCACTGTCCCCGCGCCCCGCGCCCCGCGCCCCGCCCGCCGCCCGCGCACACGACGCCCTCGCCCTCACACCTTGGAATGTACGACCCCACTGTCCCCGCACACCTGCATTACAAGGTTCGCCCTCACCGTCCCCACTCGTACCCTCATCACTATCTACCTAACATTCAATGTCCATTAAGCATGTGCCGCTAGACTTCTGTTCAGTCTGCACACTTCGACGCGTATGATGCACAAATGAATATGAATCCATAAAATCTTCCATTTTTGTAAATTTTTAATCTCAACTTAATAACATTGCTTCGCAATACATGTAAAGACATAAATACAACGTGATTCTAAAACTTTTCAGATAGAACAATTGAGAGTCGAGCAATCCAACACTGACTTCTATGTCCTGACGGAACACATTAAAGATTATCTCGGCCTTATTGGTTCCATCAAGGATGTCTTCCATGAAAGAGTCAAGGTAAAAATATTGTGAACTATATCTACAACATTGTCTACTTTGCCCATTACAGATAAAATTATATAAACCAATTAAAATTATGAGTATTAATAAACACGAGTCTTTTTGATGTTAACTCAATTTGAACTCATAATTTTTTAGTTTATGTCGGTCTAGTAAACCACAAGATAACGCTCTCAAACATTGCTGCGGTAAATAACAAACGCACCCCTACTTCCAGGTGTTCCAAAACTGGCAACACGCTCAGATGCAACTTACGAAGCGGAGGGAAAACAAAGCTAAAGCTGAACTAGCCAACCGCCCCGAAAAGATTGAACAGGCGTCCAATGAGATTATTGAGGTACAAACTATTTTTATACTTAATAACTTCGCAGTTCGAAGAAAATTATATAGTATATACACTAGTTAAAATAGAACTATTATAGTCAAACTAGAAATACAATGAATAGTAAGCTATTTGAATGTTCTCTGACAATACAAATTTACAGCGGAATAGTTCGAAGTAGTGACGTCGCTCAACGCTATACACTTAGTTGCATAGTGTTATTGCGAGTAGGAGACTATAGCTTAAAGACATATGGATAAGTATCATATCAATACATGGTAAATTAAGAAAAAATGCAAAAAAATTTTTTTTTTGACGAAGGTTAAGATGAGAACTCAAAGAAATCATAAATAGATTTATTAAATTTGAATATGACTTCAATATCTAATAGCTTTGAAAAGCTATTAAGTCATACTTGAACCTCACCATACATTTAGTCACATATGTTTATTTTGTCCATGTTTAATGATGTTATTTTTCTTTACATAATAATAATTTTTAATTCCTATTATTGCCTACCTAGGAAAGAGTTAACATTGTACATATAGTCTATGACTTGTACAGCTGGTTCCTACTCTAAGTATAAACTGTTATCTAAAGTCTATTCCTTCTTTTTAAAGGAACATTCTGAGGATTAAATTACCAAAGATATTAATTTATTTTTATTCAATGCACAGTGGGAAGCGAAAGTGGAACGCGGTCAGCAAGAATTTGACACAATATCCCGCGTTATCAAGAAGGAACTGGAGCGGTGGGACGAGGTGCGGCTCACAGAACTGAGAGCCACCGTGCTGCGGTACTTGGAGGAGCATATGAAGCACCAGGCTCAGGTTAGTGCAAAACTGTACTCTAAGGCTAAAGTTATTGGTGCTTTTTTCTGCTATTGCATTAGCAGAAAAAAGGATCATAATAGTAACTGCTTTTGTAGACTACAATTTTTTTAAGAGGAGTTAATTTCTCAGGAGTCAAATTTTAAATTTTTTTATTTATAGCATCATGTACAGTTAATGTTAAAATAAAAATAAATATTGAAGGACATTACAAATAGCACCGTCTAGTACCAAATTTCATTGTATTGGTAATAAAATACATAAATACGTTTTAATAATTACAAATGTCTATCAGTAAATATAAATTGAATCCCCTACCATCGGAACGGAATGTTAAACCGTAATATTACATCAACTTTGAAAAAAAAATTGTCTTAAACTGAATTTGTTGAATGCTTATTGTTAGCCTAACAGAAAATTGAGAAAAATATAAACATTGACGTAAATAAGAGAGGTATCATTTTAGAAAATTAGTATAGTTTGCAAAGTTATCATTATGGGTACCCAGTCTTCTCGCCTATTTCGACTATTTCAGCTTACTTTGTAGCTGGTTAGGGCGAGATAAAGCAATGTATTTACTGGATAAGGGTGATAAAATGTTAGCCCTCCGGAATGGTAACGTATGAAGTGGCATCCCGAGCGTCTAAATTGATATTATAATGTCCGTGATTCTGTTCATATATTATGATACCACTTACCATCTGGTGGAGCTTAGCTTAAATACATAGAAGTATAAAATTATAATAATAAAGTGGTAATATTTATGTTGCGTCCTCAACGGTCTAGCGGTTTAGCATACCGCTTTACTTTCGATGGTCGTCGGTTCAATTCCTCACACGGAAGAAAAAATTGTATTCATGAGTATGATAAAAAAAATCTTAAGTATTTATATCAGTTGTCTAGTACTCATAACACAAGCCCTGCTTACATTGGGCCTAGATGACGTTGTCTGAATTGTCCAGAGTATTATATTATATTTATATTTGCAGTCAATGCGCTACTGGGATGCGTTCTTGCCAGAAGCAAAAGCGATCAAATGAGTCGGGGAATGACGGCGGCGCGCTTCGCCCTAATCGCACCGACCGAACGACGTGGCACTCAAACTATAACATCGCTCTTAATATCCTACCATAAGGTTTATTCTCCATTAATCCATCCAGGTTATCTAAACGCAAACAATTTTCATTACTTACCAACCCTTTATTGTCGATCTTATCTCAATATATATATAGACGAATCTTTGTTAATAGTAGCTACAGTTAAAAATAATGGGGCAACATCGTGTTCAATATGCTCTTTCATGTATTTTAATAGTTATCATACATTTTTTGTTGTGGAATGTGGATGAATTATAGTAAAAATATTTGCCTATAAAAGGAACCCTCAAGGAGGGAAATCGAAACGTACAGTCAGTTATTACGCTATCATATACATATGATCATATTTAGAACAATTTATTAAGATAGTTTTAATAAAGCAACAAGTTTTAAGATATTTTTTGTATGAATAATATTAGTAAACAGAGAATTTAAATTTTCTTTTCTCCCAAATACTTAATATTTGTATTGACTAATAACCCTAATGATTGGTTAACACAGCAATTACCTTTTTATTCTTTTTTTTTATGTTTCAGTCAGAATATCCTTTATAATGTGAATTAAATTAACTATGATCTTATACATATGATATATATATCTAGGAAGATAGGACTTCAAGTGAAAGAAGTATTATCACTACTGTGGTAATAAATGATGATGATGATGATGGTGATCTATCTCAGACTGCCAAAATGTATGTAATGAACTAAAAATGTGAATGGAAAATATCTACAAATAAGCTTATCAATTAATTACACACACATTGGATCAGGTTAAAAAGAAGTCGATTGAAAGATATATTATTGAAAAAATTTAGAAAAATATACGATTTTGGTTTCGGAATATAATATTGATAATGTACATTTTTAAACTTTTATTATATTTTAAAACGTATTTATTAATTTTCTATTTTAATTCATTAATTTCTCCTTGACTATAAAAAAAAAGTTATTGAGGTAATTTCCATTCGCATATTATTGGAATTTGAATCTTAAGGTGTTTAGATAATGAATATTGAAAATATGTTCTGGGGGCTAAGTAATTAAAATTAAAATATATATATGCCCTGTCCCACAATATAATAATATTGTAAAAAATTGCATATTAGATAGGTAAAATGTAATAATGTGTATATTCGTCATAAATATTATCTAGATGTAAAAAAAATATTTTTATTAGATACCGTTCAAGTATGTTGATGTTTTTTCTTTTTTTTTTTATATATCTATTTGTTAATAAAGTAAGATACAAAGAAAAAAATATTAAGTTGCATGTATTTTTTTACTTTTTTAATAGCCTCCGTTGAGAGTAATCTACGGTGACCATAAATATGTGAGGTTTTGTTCAATTGTCTAAATGAATAACAACGTAGATCTCAAAAAAAACCGCGCTATTTACTAAAAATAAATATTACAATATTTTATTAGGGCCCATCTATAATTTTCATCACAAGTTGAGGGTGAGGGGATCGAGAAATGTGACACGCGTCTTAAATTTCGTTCATTTCATAATCTAATATATTTAGTGTTAACACTTCCGGTTTCTGAATAAATAATGTGGCACAACATGGTGTCTTATGAATAGTGAATCAATCAAAAATTTATTTTACGAGCAAACATGACATTTTATGAGCAAACCGCGAGCGGTCGGACGTGTGTGGAGTCGTGCGCGTGTTTCTAATATTAAGTATTAAAACAGGAAATTTAAATTGTGAATGTAAATCTATAATATTAAGATCTAAATTGTTTCATTGAGAAGTTTATATTTGCAAAACATGTGACGTGATAACAGGAGGAGTCTAGTAAATGTGACCAGCTTTGACATGGACGGGAGGAGTAAAGAAATGATAAAAATCGTGTGATGAAATTAAAAGATGGCCCCTTAGTTGTATTAATTGATTTCATTCCCATAATTGGGGACCATAATTACTATGATTTTATACATTGCTACACATATACAAAATGTGTAACATTGTTTTATTTTTAAATACTTTTTTAGTACACGAAAAACTTATTTTATTCATATATAACTTATATGTTGATACATTCAATGTTATGAAGATATTTTAATTTTAAAAATTATTCCATTGTTATTATTAGTTAGTGTTAGTGTAATGAGTATTATTTCGTTTCTTTTCTTCTGATTAAATTCATCCTAAACTTTGCAGAGTTGAGTATCAATAACATTGTGAAGCAGGAATTCTACTATATACTGTAAGACTATTTTGAATTATTTCACTTGTTTATCTTTCTGATGATGCACGATTATTAAATTGTACCCATAATAATGTAAGTTACTTGCTCATACGTTTTGAACGTATGTTGAAAGGAATGAGTTGTTTCTTTTTTATTTTTATAAAGCAATACGCCAATTGGAAACTAATTATGATTATTCTATTTTAAATGGAAAATATTCATATATATACGTATATATAAATGTTACGCGCAGTAGAATATTCCAGACTATATTATTAATTTGATTGAGAATTCAGTTTTAATTTTCTTTTCGACCATCTCATCATGTTATAATATCTAGAAAAATATATAGATAGATAATAGACACTGTAAACGTATATTATATATGTAATATTATATATATATATAATATTATACAACGGTAGGTACGAGGTATATTACATAATCAAATATATAGAATAATATTTGAGACAATACACAATATATATGTATATATATATACACTAATAAAACAGATTTCAATACAGTTACTAATACAATTTGAATGTAAGTAATATTTATAAGAATATCTAACATTATTCAAAAATATAAAATATTAAACTATTTTGTAATTATCCAATAAGTTAATATGTTACCTCTATCTTGGATTTATTATTCTAAAATATATTCCTTATGCTATATATTTGATAATGAACTCGTAAGTCCTTACTCTTATTTACTTTTGTTTATATTATATGCAAAACAATTTGTATAAACAATTCGGATAAATAGATATATAACAATTTACCTATATGTATATTTGTTGTCACAATGTAAATAAATGAGTTTAATTGATATCTCATCATTGTATAGTACTTGCTGCTATGTAATTTCTATTACATATAATCGAACCGACGACCTCAGATCTGCACACAAGTAACTAGACCAAGATGTTAAATGTAATATAATGTATAAATCGATCAGTGTAAAATGCAACTCATTACCCTTTCAACCATTTACACTAAGGCAATTTAAATTTTGTTATTACCATGATATTATAACTATGGGACAATGGGTTCGAATTCAGTTATCGGACTTGCGTACTTACCATACTTTTCCGAACTTACCGTACTTTTCTATAATAATGATATGGTACACTCGCTTAAGATAACGAATGCTGGGACACCAGTAGAAGATGATGTGATGATGAAGTCAAGTAAGTTAGCCCATCGTGACGAATTTATCACTGTGGTTTTAGGGGGAATCGGATTGAGCTTGACGTGGCGTACGATGCTAGTAATACGGCCATTAGACCACATTACTAACAACCCTCTTCCTTGTGATAAGGGGGTCGAATGGGGTTAGACTATGAAGTCAGCTCAGTTTAGATCATCATAACTTCCCCTGAACACATAATAGTTTGAGAGGGAGCTATGTGAAGGTCGACCTGATAAATTATATTGACTACTATTACATAATTACATCGTCTAATACTTGTAATGTCATGGTTAGTGTGTATATTTTTATAGTCATTTGTTTTTATCTTAACTATAAGAATACTAGATATTCGAATATTAGAAATGGTATTCCAAGAGAATAATTATGTGTATGTTAGAGATAATGTCATAATTTGGTCATTCTTATTAAGTCCCAAGAATATTTAGTCTATATATTGATTTGCAATATCTTGTAAGACATATTTTGCTCTTATTATTGTTAAGAATGTACTGCTTTGTCGTTTCTACATGTATTTTATCATAATGTGTTTTTAATCCAAGATATGCGACCTACTTACCGTATGCTAACAATAGATGTACGAGTACATGAAGTATATAATAATTTATTACAGAAAAGAAATTCTACTCAAAATTATTATACGTAGTCTAGTGCCAAACAAGTACAATTATGTGATTTGTTAGTTTCATTTATTGTTTTGTGTCACAAAAGAAACATACCGAACTCTTATAAACTCAGTTTAACCTATTTCAGATGTTAAGCATGCTTTGTAAGCAGCGTTTTAATAGAAGGTGAGATAAGGTAGTGAAATTACAGGATAAGAGGTATGACATCTTCATCCTCCTGGACGGCAACGCACGGGTAGGACAGTATAGCGTGATATCCGTAGTGCTATTCATGTATATTGGCCACGGTTACCACTTACAAACCAGTTTATTTTAACGACAATCAACCGTTTGTTGACATTTCAATTACTACGCTCACAATTAGGTAACTAAATGTCAGTTTTGCTAAACTGAAATTTAGTTATTATTATACGTTCAATTATTTATTATTATTTAACGTACAATTATTTTGATGTGGTTAAAAATAATTACAAGTATATACACATAAACTGAAAATATATTTATTTATAAAGAAATAGTTGAATGACCAAATTAAGACTTCATCTGCAGGAAAATATTTACCTTATTAGATAATATTAGGTAGTGTTATCGAAAAATCTCGAGTCTAATGTATTCCTTATTTTTTATATTGCCAAATATATTTAGAGGTAATTTGGTGTAACGGAAGAGATAATTATAAATATAATGTTGGTTTCGAATTCACATGTTTGTACTTTTATTACTATGTTCCAATCATGAAGTGCAAGGAGAAATTATGATGGGATGGGACTCTCACATTCCCAACACAGGACATACCCGGTATCATACAATGGAGTTCTTTTGTACATTTTATCTAATATAGTATAGTAGTACTCTTTATTTACTTTCATGTAGCACGGTATGTTTGTTCTAAACTTGTAACTACCGTATCGTAACATACAGACTGACAGACTTCACGAAAGAAGTATCTGTAAATAGAAGACGAGCAGATACCACATTTACTAATGTATATTTATTTCTAATATTAGTAAGCATGGATTGACTATGATTTGTGTTTAAAGGATATGTGAACAAGCTATGATAGATAACGCGATAACAATATCGATTCGTCGTGTCATTGGCAGTCGCAGAAATATAAACAATGAAACAAATAATAAACATCTAATAGCAAAAATATATGTGCCTTCATGACTATTATCCCAGTTGGGTAGTCAAGTTGTTATCAATTATTGGTGTATGCAATACTTGGCATGCCCCTATGTCGCGGTGTATATAGAATCTACTGTGGTAGGAGTCTACTCCTACCTGTTGCTTTTTACAGTTTAATTTGTTTTATATATCATTTTAATAAACTGGATTTTTACAGAGGTATATTTTCTAAAAAGTCGTCTACGTAGGGTATCTCAATTTTGCCTATTTCAGTCGCCAAAAACCTGGCTTGGTAAGCTGTTTCGATTGGAGGTGGTTGGCCATTTCAAATACATAAAAAAAGTATAGTCAGTAGGTACAGCAGTCTCTTCCATAGATTGACGAATCGAGACTCGAAGCGGTCATATTATTACGCATTATACACATACATATTTCATGAGCGCATATTATTTTATTAATATGACGAAATTAACCTTTCTAAACAACAACAACCAGGCAGATATTTTACTAGAAACTTATAGGTTATATACGCTTTTAAAATCCAATAAGTACCTCTGTATTATCAATAATAGTTTGTCTACACCTACATATCAAGTGTTTACAAGCAATTGAACACATAAAAAATATGTAGAATCAATTTTACTTAGCACTTAGAAAATGAAAGGCGATATCGAGTGTTCTTACATAGAAAGCGATTGCTTGCACCGCATCAAGAATAAAACACAGACGAATGTAACTTTTAAATGCAATGTAGGTAGGTAACCTTTATTATTAAATGTAGTTTTTTTTCATGTGTAGTAAGTTTTACATGTATAGCTACACTATATTGTACTAATCATAATAATATATAGAATATTGATATGACTACAGACTGTAATCAAATCGGAATATGTTACTAATTCATTCCATTCTCGATTATTCTGAAACGATTCCAATATATTTAATTTTATGAGGTAAATAAGTAAATCAGATTAATTACAATCTGAGTCGAGCTTAATGAATCAAATCAGAACGTACATTATAAATACACGTGGACAAATACAGTGGAAGGGATTACGTATTGAGATTAGTGGATAGATGTGACTCATAAAGGACGGGTTCCGTATGTAGCCCGTAGGGTAGGAGGAGAATATGAGCTCCTCTTAGAGGGGCATGGTAGTAATGACCTTCTTGCTGACAGTGGAATATCCACGGGGTTTCATCTCTAAGCCATTGTGGGAAATTTATAACCACCTTGACCTAATTTACCGCCCGGGTAGGTATAGATACCGTTATCTTAGGTGAGTATTCCGTCATAGTCCACACACAAAATACTATTATAAATATACTATAATAATTAATTTTAAAGGTCAAAAAGTGGAATTAGGAAATATGTTATATTTCATATGCATTGATAAATTTCTATCACCATTCAGTCGCTATTTTTTTGCGAAGCCATCTTTCGTCTACATCATCAAATCAGCTCTTCAATAGCATGTTTGGCTCTGCCTCCGAATTTACACAAGTGTGATAAATTTCATGCCAGTAAATAGATTGCAAATTTATACAGAAATATAAATAAAAGGTTTTAGTGTAGTTGTTGACGAAAACTCTTTTTGTGCCGTATCAACAAATCTGGTATGCACTTCCATCCTATATATTTCCCTCAATCCATTATTCCTAGGCTCGTAAACGAAGCAAGTGACGTTGTATGCGTATATATAGGTAGGTAGATAGGTATGATGGTGAGATGACGATCGTCAGCATAGGACGCCAAGCTGTAACTGCAGTGATATCCTCACCTTTTCATCATGGCCATCAAACGAAGTATGTTAATTATAACTTCCTAAACTTGCATCTGCCTAATAACATATTTTTAGATAGAACCCTATTACCGAAATCTGGTTTAGTCACATTGATAAGAGTAGGTATTTTTTATCTATAGATATATATACTGACGATAGCATCAATATGATTAGTGTATTGCGTTTTACTCGTTCATAAACAGGTGATTATTATTGTTTTCTATTTCATTAAAATAACAAATTAGTTTTCGTTTCACGTAGGTACCTACTAAATGTTATCGATCTAATTATCTAAGTACAGTCCAGTGCAGTGATTTGTTAACATTTCAGTACTTTATTACATTGATAATTACAAAGATTTCTAAAATTCCTATAACATAGTTTTTATTGCGACAAAATACGAGAGTATGTAAGTGCAGGCGGCTGACCTAAATAGTAGATTTTATCCAAATAAATAGAGATACCTACTTACCTAATAGATAAAGTGAAAATTAAATCATAAAAATTTGTATCCATGTTATTCTTTGTTCACAATGTAACAAAGATTCTATTGTTTTAGTTAATGTTCTTAATAAATGGTTGGACACCTACCTCTTATATTCAATAAATGTTATTTTTAGTTCTCAATTATACTAATTATTTAATTCATTTTTGTATATAAAACCTAATTTTGTATATAACCCGCGATAAACCTTTTAATTATTAAATTCAGTTGATTAAAATAATCAAAATAATAACAAGTAATGTTTAGGTAATATATGTTTATTTTTATACATTTATATTTTATCTTTTTATTTTATTTATTTCCAGCAATATGAAGTTATTAATAACACTAGCTCTTTTGGCCGTGGCCTCAGCTATTCCCCAACCGTTGCATCTGCAGCCACCATCACCAGCATTTGTACAAAATGTTGCTGTAGAAAGTGCTGATGTCCCAGAATCAATAAGCCTGCCTCTAGCAGCTTCACCTGCAGTTCATCCCGTGAAATTTGTAGATTCTCCCTTGGAAGTTGCAGCATCACCACAAATTGTACAAAATATTGCTGTAGAAAGTGATGACGTGCCAGCGCCAATAAGCCTGCCTCTAGCAGCTTCACCTGCAGTTCATGCCGTGCAATTTGTAGATTCTCCCTTGGAGGTTGTAGCATCACCAAAAATTGTACAAAATATTGCTGAAGAAAGTGATGATGTCCCAGCACCAATAAACCTGCCTCTCGCAGCTTTACCTTCAGTTCACCCCGTGCAATTTGTAGATTCTCCCGTGGAAGCTGCACCAGCAGTAGCTTTTGAAAAGATTGACTTGTTGCCTCTCATTATACCCAGTGAAGTAATGGAAAGCATCGCTGCCCTCGCCGCGGGTAATAGTGATGTTCCTGCATCAATAACTCTGCCACTTGCACCTTCGCCTTCAATTGAGGACATCCAAGGTTCCCCATCAGAGGCCGCTGAAGAAGTGTTCGCAGTTAAATTTGTAGACTCACCTGTAGAAGCTCCTGTAGACCCTGTAAAATTTGTTGATGAGGCAGTAAATGTACAGGAGAACCCATCCGAATTAGAAAGTGTCAAAGTAGTCGACCTGGCAATTAATGAGGAAACCCAAAACAGTGTCAACATTGTGGACACACCAGCTGAAAGCCCACGTTACCCCGGTAAGCAATATGCCAACCCTACATGGCGTGAAGCTAAAGAATCAATTGATGTTCCTGCATTATTTGCAAGAGTTGCTGAACAGGCAAAAAATGTAATTGGAGACTTCGTCCCGTCTCAATTGCTCGAAAGAGTCAAAGTTGAAATTTCGAATGCTGTAAATGTTGCGGAGCAACCAGCTGAGAGCCCACTTTTACCTGTCAAACAATACGCCGACCCTACATGGCGATAATTTAAAAACGAAAAACAGATCAAAAAATCATTTGTATATATTTGGTTAGTTGAATTGTTTGTAAATAAATGTGATACCCAATTGTAATGGCTTTTTTATTACACCAGAAGCGTTTTACTAACAAACATTGCGAGCAAATAAATTTTATGTAAAAAAATTACATAATAGTTATATGCTATAATATCAACAAAGGCTAAGATTTAATGTGGGATCGCAAAACTTGACTGTGTTATCCCATATTACATTAAATTAGCATTTAATCTCAATAGTTTATAATAAAAATAGTCACTTTTTTAGATTTCAATTTTAATTCATGTGTCCCTAACAAAATTTATACATATAGGACAAACATCGACTGTCGAATATCAACCACTGGAAGAGCACTAGTAGCTATGGATCTATTTCAAAATAAAATGAAAATGTTTTATATATTTATTTAAGAACTAACTAAACCTAATATAAGTAAAACATATTTAAAAACAAAAATCTTATTTCAACACATAATCTTCAGGATATTCCATAACTTTGGGGAACTTTTGTACTTCTTCTTCTGGTATACGATCAAGTCTTGTGGGTACTAAACGCAATTGTCGGATTTGATTTGTAACATTTTGCATAACATCATAAGGTACATCTTCACCTGGATAAATTAGTAACCGTTCCATAGTGTGACGCCTTTGTAGATTGCCCTTCATTGCTCTGTATACAGCTTTTTTAACAATCTGAAACAATAATTAAAATGTGCATTCAAAACATGAATGGGAAAGTAAATAATTTTTTTTCTAATGGATTGGTACAAAAATTTATGACCCATCTGGGGGTATGTGACGTCATTTATACAATACACTGTTGTAAAATATGCTGTCCTATTCTGAGGTTGGTGATACATTAAAGAGTTGTCCCACATTTCTTTAATAACATAGGTTAAGTAATTGTTATTAACAAAATGAACTGATGAATTTATTATTATAATAATACACACACTCTACTCCACAGTCATCACATCTTAGCCACCTATGTCTGTGACATCACTCATGTTGCCAGTCCTAAGTCTCATTAATTAGAACAGTCTACAATTATTTAAATGTATAGTGATTTTCTACAAAGTCTATCTTGATTTAAAAGTATTTAGATGTATTTATTTCCTTTATTTTTTATGATGTTTGTGTATGTTACCCTACTATCAAGAATTGACACTACTTTGATGTCAATCAAATATACAAACTGCTAGCAGCAGTAGATGGACTCTACTTAACTCATAGTAATATTATAAATGTATAAGTGTGTATGTGTCTCTTTGTTAACTTTTCATAGAACAGATTTAATTAAAAATTAGATGTGATAATAGATCATCATCTTAAACCAACTGACAAATTTGCAGGTAACAACTGGTTAAAAATAAATGTCTAACTTAAAGATTATATAAAATAATATAATATGTAACATACTAAACTTTTAAAATAATAATGGACTTATAATAACTGTACATTCAGGTAAATTCCATCAACACAATGATTAACTTAATTATGTCACATACCTATCCATCATATGTTATCATATTGATAAGATAGTTAATTATGTATTTGTAATTAATCTATAATTATTTTATAAATGCAAGTCTTAACTAATTTTATTTTTGGTATACAAATATCTTGGGGAAAGACATCTTCTTCAACCGTATCTGTTATGTTTATGGATTACATATAAATAAAATATAAATTTAAACTACATATAATAAAAATTCATATAATCTCATGGAGTTTATATAATATCATATCTCAATAGAAGGTTGGTTGAATACTATTAAAGAAATTTGGATTAATATCTGTTATGAGGACACTAAATAACAATACTGTTGTTGTTATTATATTATACTTTAAATACAAGCACACATATAAAATAATCAATTATAGAAGTAATATTATGATGCATAAAATAAGGGGTGTAAATTTCTATTGGGAACCTATAATTTAGATGTATTTTATAGGTATTGGCTATTTATAGGTGACGGATAATATACAGTAATCTGTAACTGTATTTTGCTGATTCAATATTTCAAAATGTGTCCAATGTGTTAGACTATATATATATATATATATATAGAGCTATAGAACTAATATAAAAGATTCAAATAAATTTAGATTTTTATTAAGTTTAGTAGGCTTTGGAGCCACTGTTGTTTATTCACATTTAACAATTAATAACAATCAGCATTCTACATTTTTGATATTTCAAGCATGTCAGTAGAAAAGGTAAATACAAAGAATGCCTTATAAAGCCTAAAGGTTATAATTTTGGATGTAACATGCAGCAAAAAACTTTGTCAATTACTATTTTTGACTGTGCCTCGAACAACTCTAGTAATGACAATAGCTATAAGAAATTATATTCAACAAAGATGGTTATAGTATTGAACTTTCATATGTTACATTTACACATTATTAGACATAGTTAAATCCCAACTATTTATCACAAATATTGGGGTTCTACTATGTCTCTAAGTACTACAGTATTGCAATACCATGAGTGGATTATACAATTATTTTAAATATATGACATAGTTTTTTACAAGTACATACCATAGTAGGGTCTTTATTATGCAGTTCCCATGCCAGTGTCCATGTTGCACCACCTGGATATCCAGTATGGTGGAAATATGCACGTTTCCGCCAGTCATCGCCTCTTAATGCGATATCTCTACTGTTAATACACACTACCACATCTCCGCAATCATTCATAGGGTGGTATATGGGTTTATGTAAACCCATTAAATATTTTTTTATCACTACAGCAGACTCGTAGGGATCCTGCCACTTACAATCAAATACGTGCCAGGTACGCGCAAATGTAGCCCATTGCTGGAAATTGTAATGATTAATTTAGAAATCTGTAAATAGTAATTAAATAACACCTTATTTTAAAAATTTCAATAAGTACAAAAACAATTTATATACCTGTACTCTTTTAAATGCTGCCATTGTCAAATTTTATAAACAATATTTTTTTTATGTATAAATAAAAATATAATTATATTTTCTTCAAATAAAAAATAATATTTAGGAGTAAAAATTATTTTTAATATTTTGAGGTTATGTTATTTTATATTCGAAACAAAGTTCATTTTGACAGTTTCAATGCCTGGTTTACACACACTGTCAGCTGTCAGCTACTGCCAATATGATTCTCTCTCGATTTGCAAGGTAGTAATTTGGAAGTATATTTGGTGTGGTATCGCATCATAGATTTTTACTGTTTATTAGAAACTAGCTGTACCCGCGTCTTCGTCCGCGTAAATAATGAAAAAATATTTAATGACCTAACACAATAAAAACCAAATAATAAAAAGTTTTTTCGTTTTAGCTTCAAAAATGAGGATACAAGTTTCCATACAATTCAATCATAAGCCTAAAAAAGTTTCAAATATCTAGTTTTGATAATGACGACACTTCCATACAATCTTTATCTCTCTTTCAACTCCTTACAACAGTTTTTTTTATTTATATTTATTTAAACTAAAAAATAAATTTCAAGCTTCTAGCTTTAAAAATGACGATTCTTCCAAACAACCTAGCATCTACCCTTTCAACCCCGTACAACACATTTTCGCATTCAAAAGTAGCCTATGTTCTTTCTCAGGGTCTAAACTAATTGTGTACCAAATTTTATTTAAATCGATTAAGTGGCTTTGGCGTGTAAGCGAGACTGACAGACAGACAGAATTTCTTTCACGTTTATAATATTATTAAATTATTATTTAATAAATTAACCCATAAAGCCAATTAAAAAAGTTTCATCATTATATCTTCAAAAATGACGAAAATACAAAAACACTTTCATCCCCTATTTTATCTTACCCCCATAAGGGTAAAATTTTTACAAACTTTGAATGTCATATTTATTTATACTTAATCAACAGCCTCAAAAATAAGTTTCAAACTTCTAGCTTCAAAAAGGTCGAATTAAAATAAAAACTTTCATTCCCTATTTTATTTTACCCCCTTAATGGTGATTTTTTTGTAAACTTTGAATATCATATTTATTTATACTTTCATCAGCTTAAAAAATAAGTTTCAAGCTTCTAGCTTTAAAAACGACGAATTAACATAAAAACTTTCATCTCCTACTTTATTTAACCCTCTTAAGGGTAAAATTTTTACAAACTTAAAATGTCATATTTATTTCTATTTACACAATAGCTTTAATTATTAATATAATATCAATTATTAATTTAAATATAATAGCTTTAAAATAAGTTTCAAGCTTCTAACTTAAAAAAATGAGAATCTTCCATACAATCCCCTTACAACCCTTTTTTCGCATTAAAAAGTAGCCTATGTCCTTTCTCAGGCTATCTGCGTACAAAGTAAGTACTTTGTGATTCCAGTTACGTAAAAAACTTACTGCGTATAGGTAATGCTCAAACAGGCTAATGATATGTTACTATACATCTATAGAAAGCCTACAATTTTCATTTATCTCAAATGGTTATACATCACAAATTATAATGTACTGTTACTATTGTTTTACCCTTTTGCATATTTTCAAATACCAACTTCAGTACCACATGTTACCTACTCTATTCCACTTTACCTTCCTCATTAGTCAGATTGTTTTTCTGGTCAGGTTGACCTCCACGCGGTGCCTCCTGGAAACTATCGTAATAAATTGCACTATGCCAAGATCGGCTAACTGACCTGACTCCATGCTTATTTATAATCCTGCAGTGGTGCTCCGCCAGCGTAAATCGTTAGTACATATAATAAATAATTTACCTCCACGCGGTTCTACCTGGAAACCATCGTGATAAATTGTGAATTTGCCACAATGGGTTCACTGATCTGATGTTCACCTTATGGATGATAAGGTGAGCTGGTGCTAAGCCAGCGTGAACCGTTAGCTTAAGGTTCTAATCAGTGGCGTAACTATACCAACTGAAGTCTGTGGCAAATTCATACCTTTATTTGAAAATCGTTACGGTGCAAAATGAACTCTATTCTTTCTTAGTAATATTATTCCTGTACTCAAACGAAGCAGGGGGGCTAAGTACTTTACCAGCTTTGGTATATCATTTCCAACTGATTAAAAATAATATCTCAATTCGAATATTTTAAACCTCTTTTTTTTACAGTGGTATGAGAGCTGGTTTTGACAATTATTTTTTATTTTATAGCTGGTATGTCGCGTGTGGTCCCATATACATTTTATAAACTTATATATATATATATATATATATATATATATATATATATATATATATATATATATATATATATATATATATATATGACCAGTAGTTTTTAAATAACCTTTAATGCGTCTGTTTATTCATGGGCTCAAGAATATAAATATTTACACCATTAGTTCTTATGATCACTATATGCATAGAATGGTGCTATGTTACTTGTTTTACCTAGCTACATCAGACAAGCTACTAGGACTGCCGCTCGGCTATCATTTCACAGGTTTGGTGTTTCAAGTAAACAATCAATAATAGTCAAAATAATTTTATTATTCCACAATTTATAAAATTATTCACATATGCATATTAATCGAGTCATTGATTATTAAAAAAGCTATTATTAGTTAATATAAGGCTAGAATTGCCAACCAAACTGTACATTACAGTTAAAACCTGTATTTTTTCAGATTACTTAATACTGTTGACTGCAACTGGCCTTTACAGTTTCAGCAGACAATATGGGCGAATGCAGATGGCACTCCAAATCCGTTACGTGTGTAATTGCGTAAAAATGTACAATATGAATAATAGTTATTAAGTTTAACTATTCCTAAACACTTATATCATTCTTTCAAGTGCAGATCTTTCCTTAGCGTATATGCAGATACATGCATCATGTAAGGTTCGTTTTTCAGGAAGTTTTCTATAGCTTGCTCTCTGACATCCTCCCAGGCATACAGATCTCTGTAGATTGGTCTTACGTACTTCATGCGACCTTGTTGATTTACAAATTCGAATGCGTCATTTAATTTTGAGAGGTCGCGACTCCTGATGCACAGTCTCAACCATCTGAAAGAAATATTAATTATTTTCACGAAACCATTTCATTCATAAGAGTACAGTAACCTAACAGTTTGCTACGCGGTTTTAAACCAAAAAACGAGAGTTCAAATTTGACCAACACAAAAAGAAATTCTATGTCAATTTATATTTCTGACTGACTACGATCATGGAAACTAACAAATCAAATTAGTAAGTTAGTTGCAAATTGAGTATACAGTAAATTTATCTCTATGCCAAGTTTAGTCAAATAACATCAACTATTGTTTGTGATGTTTTCTTTTGTCAAGTGTTTCCCAATAATGTTAGATGCTCTACAATGCATTTTATATTGAAAAGAATAATAAATTTAGTTTATATACGAATAAGTAAAATGTATAAAATAATTGACCACGTGACGTCGCATCTGCTTATCGAATTGGAATGACTCAACAGTCACCCATTCCCCCGCGCGTTCCCGTTTTCCAGTTGCACATTATATCACTAGTTCTCTAGTTATATCAGTGGTTCCCTTTTCAATTACTAAATCCACTACACCTGTATTGCCATCCTACCTGTATATGATTTCTGAATTCTTGCTGTTTTTGACTCTGTACTCTTCCCCAAGAGTCTGAAGCCTGTCAATTGTCAGTGCGGATTGATCAATCAACTCCTGTAATAAATTGATGATCTGGTGCGGAGTAAATGTTTTTACGTCATTGTAGCTAAGCGTTGCGTTAGCATCATTTATGACCGAAATAAGTGTTTTCACCGCTTTAGTCATAGATGTGTCATAGCTGTAATAAAAAAGACCAAGATGAATGACGATGATGGCAGTCGCTTTCGCATACTATGGGTTCCGAAATATAATTGCAAAGTTTTTTTTATGGCTGATAATGGAAAGGTACCACTCCACCAGTGTTTGATTATGAAATCACATCAGTTCGCCGGTCATGGCAATTTCACCAGGAACTAACGATTTTTTCCAGATCAACTAATAAGATCCCCTCCTAGAATACAAATAGATAAATGTACCTCATAGGCAATCATAGTTTAAGACACTCACTTAGGTATTACTGGTGGCATGCCACTGGTGTATAACCAAGCATTCCAATCGACCGTCTTCAAATTTTCATTGTCCTTGAAGTAGTTGAGCAAATATGCCTTAAATTGATCAGTGTTCAGTGATTTCTTTTGGAAATTGTTTAAATAAGAACGGAGAAAATCATCAAATACCTCTGTAACAATGTTATAAATAATACAAGATTCATCAGATCAGAGATTGGATAAAATTGGAGTTACCTTTAGTTTCCTTAAGTAAATAAATAGATAGATGTTATATATTTTACTGGATGTCTTTAAATAAAAATATTAACTTTTTTACAATAATTTATAAATTAGATCCTCAAAATTATTAACTTAAGATTAATATGTAATATCAGTGTACAAAAGAGTTTAATATTTCAGGCTTTCTAGACCTTTAAAATTATTAACGAATGTATAAAATTAGGGTGTTGTGAGTGGTGTATTGAAAATTTCACAATATGAATTTGGCCACTTAGGTTTTTTTTTCAATTTTTCTATTTTTTTCTAAGACAAATACAGTTATCCTATATTACACAATATTTTGAATTACTCTACAATTTAATAGCAACTCTATTTCCAATCTTACCAGGTCCTCCAACTAAATCTTCCAGATACCTCAAGAATAAAGATCCTTTCTCATATGGCACTGTTGAAAATGCATCATCCGGATGCACTGCCTTCAGATCCACCACCAATCTTGTCAACGGGTTAGTAATACCTAACTCGTCTTTCACCTAGAATTAGAAAAGGATAGATAACTCACCGGGTCCTCCGACTAAATCTTCAAGATACCGCAGGAAAAGCGAGCCTTTCTCATAAGGCACACGTGAGAATGAGTCGTCTGGATGTACGCCGTGTAAATCAGGAACAAGGCGTGTTAGGGGATTTGTAACTCCTAGATGTTCCTTAACCTACAATAATTGTAAAATAAGGAACTGAACGGAATATAGTGTAGTAGTATAATTTATAAAAAAATGCGCTTTCACTCAAAAAATGTTATAAAAATATTAAAAACAAATTTATTGTACTAGTATTCTCAGAATTCATCATACATTTAGCTCAAATAATGTCATCTATGTGATTTCGAAAAATTGTTTTATAACATAGCTGAAAGGTGAAAAATAAAATTTGAATAAATTTTAAACACTTTTTATGCTTCGGTTTTTTAAAATTGTGAGACTATTTGAGTGCAGGTGCATTATATAAAAACATACTTTATTCAAATAAAAATATATATATATATTTTACATAAAATAAAAAACTCTTATTATATACTAAAGCATATTGCAGGTTAAAGGAAAACTGGACATATTTTCATATAGGGTGGGTACTTGTTCTTCACTACAAATCATGCAAAGAAAAAAGTGTGATAGTAATATTAATAACATGTTACCACTTACAGTTTCTGTTAATTCCTGTAGACCCAGCAGACTATGGAAGTCTCTGCTCCTCTTTGCCGTTTCTGTATCAGCTATCAGAGAGGCACCAACTTTCCTCTCTAGGAACACTGTGAACCCTTCATTCAACCAAAAATGTTCGAAGTTGTTGTTGGTTACAAGGTTACCTGTCCAACTGTGCATGATCTCGTGGACGATAACTTCTGCTTGGCTTCTGTCACCGGCCTAAAAAGAAAAGAACACGCGATTTCACATTATCACACTTACTTCCACAATATAAATAAGAAAAAAATGTTTTAGCCACACATATAATGAGAATTTCATTTGATATCTCAGTTGGGTTATTGTAGTATATATAGAACCGGGTCTGACATTGCCAACCCCATTCTAGTCCGTCACAGCTACTTTTGCCAACAAATAGCTTGCTTTGAAATCGATCGATCGATGGCATAATAATAACTAAATAATATAAAAGTAAAATAGAAGATATGAAATGCTTACATTACGCTGGGTTTAATGTAATCCAATGTGGCAGGGAGAGAGTGACAGTTCTTTGATTTTGTAGCCAGGGTCGAAATTTTGGGTTATAAAATGACGTAAACCATCAGAACACAATACTCTCTAAATTTGTTAATATATAGTTCAAGCTTACCAACAAAGTAGGCGTGACGAAAGTAAGGCAAGGGTTCTCCATGCCCCCGTAGGGAAAAGAGGGCGGCAACACTAGCAAGTCGTACTGGCTCCACTCGTATTTGCCGCACAATTTCTCAGCGGCTTGAAGGTACTTTTCTGTTTCCGCAAATTCCCACGCACTGCGTTCAATTTCTTCTTTTTCTGACCATACCAGTGATCTGTGAATGTACAGCTTAGTAAAAAACAAAGAAAATGAATTTACATTTATATGATTTATTTTTGTGTGTTTGTGTGAATTTGTTTACTCATAGTAATTGTGGACATACATACTTTCTTAAATTATATATTTTTTTGTGACAGTTATGCCGCCAGGGTGAGATATAAGTGAAATTATATGGTACGAGGAAGACACCTTAATCGTTAAGAATGAAAATGCATGAGCTACCACATACAATGGATTTCATAAAGCTTTTAAAGTCAATTTTTTACAGAAGATTGTGACTCCTCCATTTGCTTGTTATACAATATCACAATTTGTCGAGGTGTGACGTAACTCGTGGGTGACCCTTACACCGAATTGCCCGTATGCCATTAGTAATATAAAAAACCTAATTGTACCTTGGTCCGAGGGTTCTATACTCCAACACGCCAACAGCCAAAGCCAGTAGATATGAGGGTATCGGCACGGGCTGCCGGAAAGTGGTCTTGTTGTTCTTGGCCTCACTTCGGAGCGCGCTCATGAGCACTGTGAACTCTTCGGGAGCTGTCACTTCCGCGTCATATGTGAACTTCACCGCTGGTGTGTCTTGGCATGGCAGGATTGAACGGGCATGGATTGGCTAGAAATATACAATGAGCGAGAAATTAATAAAAGTGAAGAATTTTTTTTATGTAATACAAACAACAAGTTGACGGCCCAACTCATGCGGTAACTATCGCCTATATATAATATATAAATAAACAGTACTCTGAATATAGTACATAATATAAATTGTATTACATCTTTTCAAATTAATATTAACATATTTTTTTATATTGTTCCTTCAGACAAGAAGTAGAGTTAGTAGTAGTAGTTAAAGTTATAAAACAAATTTTGCAGGTTTTCATCACTAAGGTTGGTTTTGTTTTTTAAATATATATGTACAAATTTAAATTTATTTATTTCTGGATATTACCATTCTACTATTAGAACATGTCCTAGTTATGGTAAATAATGGTAAATATAAATGGTGTTGTGGTAAATGTCTAAGAAAAAGAAAAGAAAATTTATAATATTAAAGTTTACACTCACTTGGCACTGGCTGAAGAGATAGGGATGTTTTTTGCCTGACGTCTGACTTGGTTCCAGCCATTGTAAAGCCGATGCTGATGGGGCAGTTACATATTTTATTCTTATTTTTAATCTGCAACAAATTAACTAATCATGTACAGGTGTCACTTTAAAATTGCGTGAATAATATTTCCAAAATAATAATTATGCTTATTTTACAATTACATGAAATATTAAAAGAAGAGATAACTAATATTTCTAGATCAAGTTAATTAAAATAATGAATACTATAAATTTTGTTTTTACATACATTTTTACCAATAATATTTTATTGCACCTATGATTGTCGCAATAAAATATTATTGGTATTATTGGTGATAAGATGAAGTACGAATAGAAAATTATGACAAATGATTATCATTAATTAAAATAACTCTAACTAATAAACAGAGCTGAATAAAACTAAAATAAAATGCGCAAATAGTGGTTATTTTTAATCGAGATATCTAACCTAGTACCATCATATACTGTGCTTGCTTTACTGTTCATACAAAAGCAGCAACATGAACTATCGTTTCGTAAATATTGCCTCGAAATTGTTTCCATGTTATTACTATTCATAAGCGGTTCATAAGCAAATCCAGTAAAATGCAAAAAGACACATCCCATCCTCTCATCAGAGGCTTCTTGTTTTATACCTTTGCATATCTCGTCAACTTCCACATCGGAAAAATTGTCTCTGACGCCTTTTCTTTCAAAAATAATATCGTTTATTATACATTTTTTACGTAACTGGAATAACAAACGAACTAACGGCCCACATACTGGTAATGTACGTAACCGCCGCTTATATGCATGAACAGCACTACGGGTATCAAGTTATTTTAGAGGTCTATCACAAAAACTAATTATTTTACAGTAAAATACACAGCCTCTGCCTTACTACTATACTCTTCATGCGTTGCCATTTCATAAGACTAAAGAGTCATGTCTCTGTACTCTGTAACTCCATTTCCCTTTAAAGCTTAAAAGGCAATCTATTTGGCGATAGAAGTAATGAAGTAGACACCAACGCAAACTATTTTGTTTTTCGGTAAAATATATCTGCCCAGCCGAAGTTAAGCATATCGATTTTACCTATCTATCATATATTTGGATTAGATGGCGCTGTGTAAATTGTCCAAGAATAATATAACGAAATATTACATACTTATCCCCTGTAACGGCCGATTTTGGAAGGGTAATTGTTAACTTTGATCCAAAATTAGGCACTTCATCATCTACTTTGTACCGTAAAGGTGTACCATCCTCTAATTCTATCTTCTCTATAGTTATGTTCCTTACATCTAATATCTGAAAATAAAGGATTATTAAAGTTGTTAAACACTTACAGCAGTGTGGTATATTTTTTGAACTGCAAATCATGCATAAAGTTTAATAAAAAGTACGAATATCTTACAAAAATAATTTATATTGGTTTTAGATGCATATGAGTTATCCAGAACACAGGCAGAGTAAATATCATATATACAGTGGTGGTCATAGAAACACTTCTTATGAATAAAGAAAATATAACTTTAACGTACAAATGTTCGTAAAAAATATACACATTCAATAAAAATTAAAAATTCAATAAAAGCTGTGACGGATCAACTAAGCAAATAATTGTTAATTTACATATAGATCATAAGTGGGCGTACAGAAGAATAGCTTAGCATTCAAATTGTTCTATTAACAAAGTTTTTAATTCAATTGATCATTATAAAACACATGAAACTTGAAAATATTCTTAGAAAAGTTCGGCCAAGGAAAACCGCTCCCAGAGAAGATACGCGATTATTATTCGCTAAAATATATGCATATTTTAGCGAATAATAATTAAAAAACTATAATAATTGGACGGTATGAGATGCCACGTCGTTGCATTAATTATAAAAAAATATAATAATTGGACGGTATGAGATGCCACGTCGTTGCATTAATTATAACTATTGGTACGCTGTAGACAGTAGTTATTTCGTAAATAACAATGCTAATTACTAATACTTAAAAAATATTGTTTTTTATACTATTTTGTTGTTCTTTCTAATTAATTGACCATTATTGTTCATTGTTATTGGTTTTCTAATAAATGATAAACCGTTGAACATATTGTTGTCCTATTTATTGTTTAATTTCAAAATTAAAATGATTGCGGTGAAATATCTTACATAATGTCAAGTACCTACCGTTGATAGTGTTTCTAATTATACGTTATTATACATATATACATTTTTAACCTATAGGTATATATGTATATAATACGTATAATTTAAAACCTATAAAACTTTTCTTATATAATTAATAAATATTATTATTTAAACACAAGCATATTGTATGAGTTTCTATTGTATAGATAAATGAATATGGAATGGTGAAGCTGCCTATATTAACTTAAAGACATATGAACGTGAAGTGAGGTTACTTAGCCAATCGTGGCGACTTCACCAGAACTAACCACGATGATTCGGTCTGACATAGTAAATTGACAGCAATGGGCTAACTAATACTTCCTACGAACAATGCCCCATATGGCCCCCTCGTACTGTATGCATAGCAATCAAAGTAAGAACTGTACAAATAACATGTATAACTACATCTACTCCTTATCTATTACGTCAATTGCAGTAGATGGAAAAACCGGTAGAATTTATAATTTCACTATCTATATCTATTTTTTTATTCTATCTGTTTATTATTTGTCTAGTTAAGAAATAAATAAAAATAAGTCAAATAGTATGAAATGGCCAAGATTTGTTACTGTAACATATCACAGAAAAATATAAAAAAATAGGTGATAGTTACTTTTAAACTTTCGTGTTTAATATTCATTATTTAAATTATTAACCTGGTCATAACACGAATAATTTTATGGCAAATAAAGGTATTTACCTCTATCGACGTTTCGACTAGGTTACACTAGCCGTGGTCACGAGCTGACTGGAGTAACAGCGATGTCAATGTAGATAGGTGACAGCAGTGTTTTCTTCATCTACCGTCACTAGATTGTTTAACGAAAGTTCGCGACACACAGCATTCACGGTATCCGTACACTTATTGACTATTGATATTACTGAACTTTGCTTGAATTTATTTATGACTGTATTCCACGCAGATGATAATTTTAAGCCATCCTCTCTGTTGAAATTGGCATGTTTTTTAATTTCAATCGCCTCCCGGACCATTCGTGGGTAATAGTGGCGATCAGTAAAGAGGACCTTAGGCGCATGTAGTTCAATCCAGTGATTTGTTCCAGCGTTCAGTAGATGATCGGCAATCGCTGATTTGTGTGGTTGTCGATTTTTAACCGCTGCGATGTGCTCTTTGACCCTCTCGGCTATTGATCGTTTTGTTTGGCTACCACAACTACAGTAAATTTTGTAGACACCTGGAGCTTCGTAAGGTATCCTTTGGTGAACGTAAATTGTTCGTTAATTTTGGGGGCGGATAATATACAGTCTTAAGGAGGGAGTATTTATTATTATTATTATTAGTATTTATTATTATTATTATTAGTATTTATTATTATTATTATTTATTATTATTATTATTATTATTATTATTAGTATAGAGTATTAGTATTCATTTAGTGCTGTTCCAAATTCGTCCGTTATTCCTCTTAAGTAAATCATGTACGTTGGCAGTCTGTTCACATCCGGTTTTTTACCTTTTGTTACGCGCTTATTTTGCCTTCTACTGATTATGTACCCGTTTCTCTTGAGTACCTACTTCTTGAACGTGGGATAGTTCTTGTTCCACATATTCAGGGGCACAGAGATCTTGCGCTCTGTTTGTGTGAGTAGTGACGACTGATTGTAAATGTCGCGGGTGATGATGTGAGGAGGCATGTAGGTATCTATCTGTGTGTGTTGGTTTCCGGTATACTGTATGTGTACCGAGCCATCAGATCTTACCATAACTAGGATGTCCAGGAAGGCCAAGGACCTGTCTTTCTCCAATTGCATTGTAAATTTGGTTTTAGCTTGTATGGAATTTAGGTATTTTAAGTATCTATCTACATTGACATCGCTGTTACTCCAGTCAGCTCGTGACCACGGCTAGTGCAACCTAGTCAAAACGTCGAGAGAGTTATTTGCCATAAAATTATTCGTGTTAAGACGGGTGTATAGGTTAATAATTTAAATAGGTGATAGTTGACACTTTCTATTAAGTTGGTTATGGGCAGTCTGTTAATTACTAAAGATATCTAGACTTATAAGCAGACTTATAAGCAAAATTTCTTATAAGGATAGATGAAAAGTAAATAATATAATTAATTAAAATTCTTATATTACTTTTACTGATAAAAGTGCCTGAATATTGTGTCAGATGCCAAATAATATGTGGTAATATTGCAATAGGTGTTTGGATATGTTTAGCTTGTTTTGTGACATTATTTAATTATGCTATAAATTATACAACACTATATCTATTACATAACATATATATGTAGAAATTAGATTAGTGTTACATGCAAATATCATATCTCAATATACAAAGTAGGTGTAATAAATAAGTATCATATATCTACTATATTTTCATTATTCTATAATTAATTATGGATTATTACCATTTATTTATGCCGTGTAGATGGTCTATACCAGCCTATAAGTGTTATATTTTAGAAACTACTACTAAAATACAATAAAACTATAATAAAAATGATACTTTTATTTAATTAGATACGAAACTACAAATTTGTATCACTGAATTACATTACTGTACAAATATTATTTTAAATATTACATCATATTTAGAAAGATAACTGGGCACATAAGTGCCATAGATTTTATATATCATATATTGGAGTACCATGTTATTTTCTAATTTTGAAAATGATAAATATTTTGATAGCAATGATATGTCACGTTATCATCATTGTGATTGACTGTATCTATGGAAAAATGTAGTACCTATAGAGATATGTAGAAATCTTAGTGTCATTTTCAATAGTATGAAATATAGCATAGGAATATAATTAATAGGTACATAATTTATATATTAAAATATAATATTATTGCAGATATTTTATATCAGTTAAGTAACAGTACATTTAAATAAATTATAGTTTTATCTACTTACCAATTCTTCAATATCTTGTAATACATCAAAATTAACAACAGCCGATCCATCCAACACTTTTTTTTCAAAGTCAACATTTAATATTAAAGACACATGTTTAATTACAGCTAAGTCTGAAATAATATATTAAAGATCTAATGAAACCTCTCTAAAATCTACTAATACACTTACACAATCATTTCATAACAAGAAAATTACTATTTTCTCTATTGATGTTAGTTTCTTTTTCTGATTAAACTAAATTATGATTTGTATATATAGTTCATATAAAAATATAATTTATAATGTATATTTATGTTACTATTTTTATTTACATACATATATGCCTGAGAACTGTACATAAATATTAATTTAATTCCTTCCAAGGTTTAATTTAATACTAATTATATTTAATATTTTTTTTTTATTATTCTATTATTCTTTGGAAACTTTCTATTCTATTCTTATTTACATAATATTATATGTTATGCAAATCCCTTAGTCAATAGTAATTTGAAAATATTGTTATTTGAATGATATATGATAAGATTTTTAAAACACTAAATAAAATCAGGTAGAGACTGATAATTTTTTAAACTTACCAGGTTGTGAAAATGAAGATGGATCCAGTGAACTTAAGGCACCCATAGCTTTGACCTGGCTAAAATATAACAAAAATGACATAAATAATAATAGTTCATAGCCGCAGTTCATTGTGACTACATACAATGCAAAACAGTCTTGATGAATTATGATTGACCTAACACACAATCACTTCACTGTCAATTGATCTACTAGATTGAGAGACTACCCAGTGTCCAGTATATTCAATAGATTAGAAAGGCAGAGGTGTAGAGGGGTTAAGATATATTTCAGTAGAGGTTAGGGCAATAGATAATAACATTAAACAAGTAATAATCAGTAATCATTGTTCCTATTTGACAAATATGATTATAATATGCTTCATTTTAGATGTGATTATTCTATTTTTAAATAATTACATTAGATATGAACTACTTAGTTTACCGGGTTGTATGTTGAAAACGTAAGAGGTAAGTACAGATTTTAATTGAATGTGTATAATAAATATTTCTGACAAGAATTCAACACGATATAAATACTTAGAATGCTTGAAAGACAAACAAATCGTAATCTATTTGTTAGATTCCGACAATGATGAAATGACTCGACACTTATGCTTGATTCGTCTTATTAACATGAAATAAGATTTGTATATAATTACTAACATTTGTATACATTTATATTTGGCTCAATGCAATACCGGTATGTAAACCATATACGATGTTTAACAATTTTAGAATTTTATTATATACAATTTATAATAATCGGAAACACAACCTTACCTGTGAAGCAAATTATGAAATTTGAATGGAGATCCGTGAAGATTTTTTTTTAACGTAGATGAATAACAATGATAACGAGATTTAATTACTGGAAATACAGTCAGCCTTTGGTACTTCTTCGCAAAGAAATTTAAATTATTACGAATTACTCGCGAAACAACTTTGGAAGCAAATGTCATTTTTTTTTTTTTTCGTTTTAGAGAACTGGGCGTTTCATTATAGGGTTATGAAAATTTGATATGTGTCTACATAGATAAAAATATCACCATTTATTTTTCAGTTCTAAAGAATGACAATATACATATAAAAGTCAATTTCTGCAATTTCGCTTTCGATTGATAAAGTGGCTAAATTTGTTAACCTAGATGGATATTGTTGAGTCTAGATTGGTCTTTATCAACTTAAGTTTAGATCAACTTCTCTCTGCACTAGCATCTGTTTTAGTCAATAATATTCGCAATGCTATCCATGCATTTGGATAGATAGATATATAGTTCTAGTCAGTTGCGATCTTTGATAAAATTTGTGTAACTTTTACAAAATTGAAATTATTTTTCACTAAAAAATACATTTAATGGACACCAATTTAATGAAACATTGATTTAAAAATTCTGAAAATAAATATATATGACTTCAAGACACTTTAATCTCGAAACGATTTTCTTATTACAGTACTTGAAACAAAATGAATGTTGTCCATTCTATGTTTGAATTATTATATAATTATTATATAATTCTGAATTATTTATAATTAAATTAAAAAATTTTTTGAAGCTGATCAGTGCAGTTCCCCTTGCGTCACCTAACAAGTATATAATAAATATTGAAGTAAATTTAGAAATCACATTTCTGTGCTCATTATTGTAGAAAAAGTGCTTTAGGATTTGTTTGAATACAAAGTAGTAGGTACTTTGTATTCAAACAAATCCTAAAGCACTTTTTCTATCGATGCGACGCAACGGTCCGGTCGGTACGGTCAGTTGAAAATAATGAGAAAAAGTTAAATTGATAAAGTAATCAAATCTACGTAAGAGATGGATGAGAGAGGGACTTGGTGACTTTGGGAATAACCCGTTTAATTAGTTCTAAAGATTATCCCGGCTCTAATCAGCATCATCATCCAAGCGTTTTTATCCCAGTTGTATCCAGCTTTGGAGCCGCTACGCGATGGCCATGATCTTAAGTGTGACGATTCTGGTTATTATACCGACCCTATTAGTTATACAGGGCTAACATCGAAATCATACATTTTGGTTATGTAGATATTATGAGATTTCGGTGTTGGTTTCATAGTAAAAGTTTTTAGCGGCTAAGATGGGGCCGCTATTATATATGTTATGTAATGTAGAAGCAGCATCAGGAAAGGAGGAGGTGAAATGATGAGTCCAGTGATGCCTATTTACATATATATGTATAATAACGAAATATTTACAATGAATATATATACAAGAAAGATGATTCGGTCTCGAATGACAAGCTTGTTATTCTTCTTGCCCCATCGTAACTGATACTTTTTGGCGGGAAGTCAAATTGAGCGGGTGTTTTAAATTTTCTCCTTTTTGATTTTTTTATTTTAATTGTAATTTTATTGTAAATATTGTATATCTTATTGTAAATACCTAAATAATAAATCAAGCAAAGAAAATGAGTGATAGTAGCGACGGGGGAAACCCCGTCGACCGTGGAAAAAGTCAACGCGGCAAAAAACGGAAGATGTCGCCGAATCATTTAATTATATCCGAGGACTATAAAATGTATACAAAACCCAATTACAAAAGACAGTTTCCTGAAAATCATAGTGTAGATTGTGTTGTCTATGTAGAATCTACAGAAAATGAAAAAGTAGGGAATAAAAACCCCATTACTTTAACAAAGTTATTCACCGAAAATGTGAAAGGCATTGCAGGTGTACACAGAGTAAACGCCTATAAAATAGGTGTGACCTTTCGAAAGCCCGCACCAGCCAATAATTTTTTAAAAATGGACAATTTTTTAAACAAGTATAAATTCAAGGCTTTTGTACCAGCATATATCACAGAAAAAACTGGTATCATAAGATACGTACCGACAGACATGTCCAACGAAGATATTTATAAAAGTATTAGTTGTGATACCGAAGTGATATCCATCAAACGTTTTATGAAAAAAGTAGAGGGAAAACTATCTCCATTGGGCACTGTAGCCGTCACATTTGCAGCTACCACTTTACCACAATATGCCTACATACAATTATTTAGATATCCTGTACACACTTATATTCCACCATTAGTCCAATGTTACAAATGTCTGAAGTTTAACCATTCAGCTAAAGTATGCCGTAGCTCACAGATGTGCTCATCATGTGCTGGTCAACACTCATACAAAGAATGTGATGTAGAAGAAATCGTTTGTATCAATTGTAGTGGTAACCACTTAGCAATTTCGAGAGATTGTCCCATTAAAAAGAAGAAAATTGAAGAAAAAAGAAGTAAATATGTCAATCACTCCTATGCCGCTGTTGTGAGTATGCCCTCAAGTAGTACAACCCCAAAAGTATATCCCACTTTAGAGAAATCTTTAAATGTATATAATTCACAATTTAAACAAAATGTAAATAATAATAATACTGCATTCAATGCAGATCAAATTGTAAATAATGAAATTATAATTAATGCATTAGTTAAATCTCTTGTTGCTCTCGGTAACAACAAAGAGAAAATGTCAATAACTAATAAGACAATAAAAGAAATATTGTTGTCAAATTTAATTTAATGAATACATACTTAAATATAGCCCAGTTTAATATACAAAGCTTACAGAGTAAAAAAGCTCTGTTGCAAAAATACATGAATGAACAAAATATTGATATCTGTCTCATTAATGAGACATGGCTTAAAAGTAACAGTAAAATTCCTAAATTTACATCCTATAATTTCATATTCAAAAACTCAGTAAATACACACAATGGAGTGGGTATTTTAATAAAAGAAAATTTTAAATATAATATCATAACTACTACTTTTTATGAATCAGTTCAGAATATATGTATTGCAATAGAAACATCCATAGGCAAATTAAACATACTATGTGTGTATTGTCCTCCTAATGGAAGATTTGATACCAACAAACTGAAAAAAGTTCTACTTAGTGCTCCTAAGCCATGTCTCATTATGGGTGATTTTAATGCACATCATATTTTGTTTGGTTGTCATACAAACAATAGTAGAGGTAATAACATATACAATCTCATAGATGAACTTGACTTATGTGTGTTAAATGATGGTAGTCCAACCACCATTCAATCACCAAACAGGCAGGCATCAGCAATAGATATAACATTAGTTAGTCCCCGAATAGCTCCTCTCTGTGAGTGGAAAGTCCATGATGACCCGATGGGCAGCTATCACTATCCAACTCAGGTAAGTGTAAATGTGAGGCCATCAGTGTATGAGGTCCGACCTGTAGAAGAAAAATTTTTATATAATAAAGCAGACTGGTCGAAATATTTTTCTTTATCAGAAAGTATTTTTTCCCACTTAAATGTACATAATAATGTAAATAATGACACACCATTACAATTTTATAATAATTTTGTTAATATTTTATATGACATCAGAGACAAGACAGTACCAAAATCAAAGTTTAAACAAACTATACACACTTTAAGAAAACCAGTGCCTTGGTGGAACAAAACATGTGATGATGCTGTTCAACAGTCTAAGAGAGCCCTTTTACAATATAGAGTTACCCCAACAATTGTTAACTTCATAAATTATAAAAAAGTTGATGCTAAAAAAAAAGAATTCTAAAGGAACAACGCATAGATTCCTGGCAAGAGTTGTGTAGTAGCTTCAATAGAATGACACCTATTTCAAAAATATGGAGTTCCATTAAAAAGTTTAAAAGGATAGGTACATCTTCCAACAAAAATTTTAATGATGACTGGGTACAAAGTTTCTTAGATATGTTGACAGCTCCATCACAATGCAATGATGCAAATTTAGTTGATATATTGAATCAATCTGATAAAAATGACAGTGACTCCTTTCTCAACAGACCCTTTACACTGGCCGAGCTTCATATTTCGCTTAAGAGTAGGAAAGATACAACACCAGGTTTGGACAATATTACATATAAATTAATAAAACAGCTACATCCAAATGCAATTAAAATACTATTAGATATATACAATAAACTTTGGGAGAATTTAATAATACCGGAATCCTGGAAAACCCAGTGTGTTATTCCAATTTTGAAACCAAATAAGGATATTAACTGTGCATCATCATATAGGCCCATTTCCTTGTCATCGTGTCTAGGCAAACTATTTGAAAACATGTTAAAATTACGTTTGGACTACTTTACTGAAACACAGAATAAGTTGCCAGATATTCAGTTTGGATTCAGAAAAGGCAAAAGTTGTTCTGAAAGCTTTGTAACTCTTATATCCCTATTAAAAAAAGCAAAATTAAGTCATTCCAATGTTGTGTGTGTATTTTTAGATGTTAAAGGTGCTTTCGATAATGTAAATATAGAATCCTTAATTCATGTGCTACATAATTTAAATTTCCCCTGCAAAATATTAAACTGGATTTTTAATTTTTTAAAAAACAGAACTGTTTATGTTAAGTATAATAATATCCTACATGGACCTAAATATGTTAACAGGGGAACAATGCAGGGAGCAACCCTGTCCCCTCTATTGTATGGCTTGTATACATCTGAAATCCTCAATTATGTGGATACTACAAAAGTTAACATACTACAGTTTGCAGATGATTTGCTTTTATACACTGAGAGTCAAAGTTTGCCTTTGGCTATAAATAATATAAATACTGCACTAAATCAATTACAAAAGTATTATTCAAATATTCTAAAACTAGAAATCAGTTCAGAAAAAAGCTCTGTGTTAGTATTTAGTAGAGATACATTCACACAAACTAATCTTAAAATTATGTATAATAACAAAATAATACCCATTGTCCATCAACACAAATTTTTAGGTATAGTTTTGGACAATAAATTAAAATTTGATAAACATATAGATTACATTTGTCAAAATGCAATGAGGAGCATAAATATTTTGAGATGTTTAGCAGGAACTTACTGGGGCTCTGATCCCAAAACACTCAATATACTGTATAAAAGCATAGTCAGAAGTCATTTTGATTATAGTAGTTTAGCCTATATGACTGCTAGTACCATGTTGTTGAGGAAATTAGATGTTATACAAAATATAGGGTTGAGAATCATTAGTGGAGCTATGCGTTCCACGCCTATAAATAGTATGGAAGTTGAAAATTGTATACCTCCATTGTCTCTAAGACGTTTGCAACTGGCAGAAAGATTTTGTATAAAGGAATTATCTTCCAGTAATAGTATTGTGCTTAAAAATATTTTATATCCTGCACAGCTTTCTCAGTTAGTTGTAGGTTCCCCCATATCAGCATCTGTTATTATTTCAGGATCATTACCTGAAATTTCAATAATAATGACACATGTTAAAAATGCTACAGGTGGAATATATATAAATGATAAGTGGCCAGTATACAAATGTCCATATGATTCACTAATCTGTTTCCTTGACACTACATTTCATTTAGATTTAATATATAACAAATATGACTTTGCAGAATTTTTAAATAAGAAATCAGAATTTTATGTTATTTATACCGATGGTTCTAAAAATTTAAATGATGTTAAAGCAGCTTATTATGATCCACAAAAGAAATATACTAAATGTATTAAACTCAAAAGTAATTGCAGCATCTTTACAGCCGAAAGTTATGCTATATTAAGTGCTTTGTTATTTATTTATTTTTATTTATTTATTAAACTTTAATGCACAGATACATTAATAAAGGTGCACAAGGCGGACTTAACACCTAGAGGCATTTTCTCCCAGTCAACCATAGGGCAAACAGAGATTCATGTGGGCGGTACATTATGATTAACATAATACTTACATAACGTAATAATATATATATATATATATAAATACATACCAATACATATACATACAATATATATACAAATCAACAATGAAAGTCAGATTCCTGAAGGAGGAGAGGTAGAGGAAGATTAAATAGTATTGAAATTTGGGATAAAAGGAATTACTCTAGTTCAAGGAAAGGTGTTTACGCAATTTTGATTTAAATGAGAATTTGGAAGCGCTGGATTTAATGTCAAGGGGTAACTCATTCCAATGTTTGATGGCTTGTAATGTGAAGGATTTTGAAACGAAGCTCGTACGATGAGCAGGAACGTGGAGAAGTAAATTCCTAGACGGACGAAGGTTGCGATAGGAGATGTCCCCATGAAAAAGAAATTTGGTATTAAGATACTCGGGAGAGTTAGGATCGTATAGTAAAGAATGAAGTGTACACAAGAGACGAACAATTCTGCGTTGGCGGATTGGAAGCCATTTAAGCTGAGCACGGTAAGAGGAGATATGGTCGTACTTGCGAAGACCGAAAATGTAACGTATACAATTATTAAGAAGGCGATCCAATTTATTTAGAAGTTCTTCATTCATATCCGAGCAGCACACATCAGCGTAATCGATAATGGGGAGTACCAGGGACTGAATGAGTAAGGTCTTAGTACTGGTAGGTAGAAAATTCTTAAAACGATATAGATTACGTAAGGTGTATGTTACTTTACGACTAACCTCATTGACGTAATTACTCCAGCTGAGGGTGGTATCAATTGTTAATCCAAGGTCTTTAACATTTGAGCAATATGGTATCGACATTTTATTGAAGATTACTGGTGGAATAGAAGTCAAGTCCAGTTTACTTAGTTGTCTCGAGCTACCCAAAACAATTGCTTGGCATTTGCTAGGGTTAACAGTGACACCGAACCTAGCCGCCCAGTCCTCAATGTAAGCAAGATCATCATTTAAGCTGATTACAGCTTCAGATATTCTTTCAGCTTCAGTTTGGTAATACAGCTGCAAGTCGTCTGCATAAAGATGGTAAGAGCACTTGAGACCATTAGTGATGAAGTTAATGAAAATAGAAAATAATAACGGAGACAATATACCGCCTTGAGGGACACCAGCGACCAATTCGCACCACTCAGATAAAGCTTCGTCAAAGCGGACAGCCTGCCGGCGACCCTGAATATAAGTAAGGAACCAATTAATGGCCGCGGAGGAGACCCCAAGATGAGAAAGTAAAGCAAGAAGGACGTCATGGTCGACTGTATTGAAGGCATTGGAAAAGTCAATAAGGACAAGAATAGTAACTTTGGAGTTTTCCATGCCCTCCCTCACATCTTCCGTCACTTTGAGAAGTGCAGTAATGGTGCTATGACCAAGTCGGAAACCAGACTGAAAAGGACTCACAAGTTTGTTTCCAAAAATGAAATTAGACAACTGCCTGTGAGCCACCGCTTCCAGAATTTTAGAGAGGTAGGGCAGAATGGAAATAGGCCGGAAATCCTTGAGAAGAGAAGGAGATGATACCTTAGGAAGTGGAAGGACGAAAGCATTTAACCAGGATGAAGGGAAGGTATTAGAAAGCAGTGAGCAGTTAATAATGTGAGTGACCATAGGAAGTACATGTTCAAGTATGAGAATAATCATGATTCTACTCACATTGTCAGCACCAATGCAGTTGGATTTAATGGAGGATATAATCTTACGGATCTCCTCGACGGACACTGAAGAAAATGAGAATATATCCGTGGATAGTTTAGGCCAGGAAGCAATTTCCTCTAAAGTGGCTTTCTTGATAGTAGAACTGAGCGGGAAATAAGCAGAGAAATGCCTGTTCAGATTGTCTAGTGAGAAGGGAAGAATAATATCGTTGAACTGTTTGCACACACCAAGCGACTTGAGGAACTTCCAAGTATTGGCCGGTGAAGCATTAAGTAGATTTGAATGGATATAGCGGCGTTTGGCTGCTCTTACCATGTAATTACACCGATTGCGAGCTGTTTTAAATGAAGACCAGTTCTCTTCAGTGCGATTCCCCTTAAATTTACAAAAAGCCTGGTTACGCCTTTTCATTGCCATAGAAACGCCCCTCGTGATCCAGGGGGCAGGTGGTTTTCTTAACTTAACAGAGTGTAATGGAGCATGTTTCTGGTAAAGCTGCAGGACGCAGGCGTTAAAGTTAGAGAGTTTCGCACTGACATCAATAGCTTTAGTGACGCAATCCCAATTAACTTCAAGAATATCTTTTTCCAGTGCTTCTGCATCAATCCTGGCAAAGTTACGAATTTGTTTGATTACCGGTTTGTGTTTAATTTTTTTAGTATTATACGATACATATATAACGTCATGTCGGGATATACCAGGTGCCGGAACTTGACCATGATTAAGGACGAAATCTGGAGATGAAATGTAAATATGGTCAATCCAACTATCAGGATAATCTATATTGGTATGTGTCGGCCCTAACGGCAACAAAGTTAATCCCACTGAATTAACAATTTGACCTAGTTTGCGAGTATTTGCTGTATCACGAATGAGATCAGTGTTAAAATCTCCCATGATTATATGGTGAGTGTGCTCGGACATGATGGATTCCAGAATTGTTTCCAATTCTAGGAAATAATCGAGAGATGGGGGACAATAAATAACACCAAGAATAATTTTGGTCCCCTTGACATTAAGACTAATAAATAAAAATTCAGCGTTAGCGGAGGTGGGAGAGGAGGCCAGAATTTCGTATTTAAAAGAAGTGCGTACGTAAATTGCAACACCACCGCCACGTTTCTCCAAGCGGTCGTTACGAATCATAACGAACCCGGGGAGACTATAATTGGTGGACGGTATAGACGGTTTAAGCCAACTTTCCGAGATTAAAATAGCATCGATATTAATATTGTAAACCATGTTAAAAAGCTCACTGTGATGTTGTGGGATGCTTTGAGCATTCAGGTGACAAATATTGAGGCTAAAGGGGAAGCGCTGAAATTCGTCATAGAGAAGGGAAGAAAGAGATTCATCTAAAGAAATATTTTGCGACTGAATTGAAGGATTCGAGTCATCTAAAGCAGAATAGAAAGAATCATCCTCTGACATACCAAGTTAAAAAAAAAAAAAACTATTTGTTGATTGTATAAATAAATAAATATGCCTAATAAAATATCAAATAAAACTAATATTATTTAGTCTCTGCAGGAGCCTGCCGGCCAACCGTTTACAATAATATAAGTATTCTTTCATTTTATAAAATAAACAAAATACAGAAATACAAACAAGTCATTAATGTAAAAAAAAAAAAAAACACTAAAACACAAAAACAAAAAGCACCACATTAGTCATACGTAAGGTATAGAGTAGTGTTGTTTAATAAGCCAATAATCACTACGTTTAAAACAATATTGGATAACATGCCAAAATGGGTAATAGTGTCATGTCAGACATGACAGAGTCAGTTATCAGCTGTCACTGTCACTACATACTAAATAAGTTCTTACATGGAAGGTATTAAAAATAATAAATACAAGAAAAATAAAATTGTTGTAACACTAGCAATTAGAGTGAACTTTCAAAATAAAAACAAATATGAGGGTTGATAAGAAAAATGAAATTTAGCGGTAGTGACTTCAGTGTATCATTGAAATTGATTGGATAATACAATCATCAACTACTTAATACTAATGTTTGTCTCGCATACCACGTCGAGTTCTTAATGCCCCAGAAGCCTCATTGTCACGCTGAGTAGGTTGGGAAGCTGTAACCGGCCTTTTGGACGAAGTGTGCAAGCTGTGGGCAGCACTGGGCACACTAGATATGGGAATTATGGCGTCCAAGTCGTCGATGTTGTGGATACGGCAGCGGCCGCCAGCCGGATCTTTTGTATATATATTGCCACTCAGCGTCCAAACATTTTTCATACCCAGTCGCTTTCGGGCCTCAAGGAACAACTCCTGCCTCCGACGGGTCAAGAATTCGGAAATAACAAACTTAGTTCCCTTCAATTTCGTCTTGTTTTTCCAAATTAACGTACCGAGGGCTGGATTGGCGGTTCGAAACACTAAGGGTCTACATTTGCCTTCAATTACTGTACCAAGACGATGACAGCTAGAAATGTCTGAGGGTCGGACATCAGATAGTTCAAGTTGATCTTTACAAATTGTAGCAACCACAGTGGTCAAGCTGTCACTACTTTCAGGAACTCCACCAAGTAGAAGATACTTGCGCCTATGCCTCATTTCTATTTCATCAGTAGTGTGCACTAAGTATGTAATTTGCTGACGTAGAAGACTCAAGACTTGATGAGTGTAGCTTTTAAAGTCATGAAATTCCTTCGACAACTGTTCAATATCTGTTGTTGTTTGTGGACTAATAGCTTGGAGCTTACCTTCAAAGCCAGCCATCATCTTAAGAAGAGTGCTCTCCAATGTCTTCTGAGTGGAGGCTAAGTCAGCAAAGTTTGACATCTCGAAGTTATCAAGTGTTGAAACAAGTGTGAGAGTGGCCGGCAGGTTTATGCAGATATTTAGTTATTTAGCACATGTAATGATATGCTAACACTGTATATTAAACTTTAGACAATTATTAATACACTTCTAGGAAAATACTGTTATGTAAGTTAGAAAACAATTAAATATATTAAAATTTTATGGAGCTATATTATAACTGTACAACTACCCGCCGAAATATTTAGTTGTTATATGTTAATAACCTTGTAAATAATGTAAATATACTAATAGTTACTGATTCGAAGAGTGTATTGGAGACTTTATCCAGTGGCAATTGTACATATAAACAAAATTATATTATATATGAAATAAAAAATAGGTTAATATCTTTAAGTAAAAATAAGAATGTAGAATTTGTATGGGTACCCTCACACAGTGGCATACCTGGAAATGAGGTCGTAGACTTGGCAACTCGTCAACAATATGATGAAGATCAGACAGACATTTTGAAAGTGCCATTTACCGACTACTACCAATATTTTAAAAGTAACTTACGAAGAGTGTGGAAAGAGTACTGGAACATAACCACAGAAAATAAAGGAAAATGGTATGCAGAATTACAGCCAGACTTACCAGTGACACCTTGGTACAGCAAATTCAAATATTACAATAGAAAATTTATCACTATCATCAATCGTCTACGTTTCGGCCATTGTTTAGTTCCATCCCATCTCAACAGAATTAAAATCACAAATGACAACAGATGCAACCACTGTTTCAAGATAAATGCTGACATAAACCATATTATATTTGAATGCCAAGTTTTCAACATACAACGGTTGATTCTTGTCAGTGACATTAGTGACATCGCAAAGGAACACTCACAAAGTATTCCCCGCCGCGTTCAAGATTTGCTATCTCACTTTGCATATTTTATTCCAATATATAACTACATTGTACATACTGTGGAAAAAATTTAATATTAATGAATAATTACTAAAATTGTAATGTCTAAGCTTATATAATAGTTTATTTCTTATGTTTTGTATTAAATTCATTATAAAAATGTATTCGACTGAAGGACTTGTATCCATGGTCATGAATAAAGCATTATTAAAAAAAAAAAAACCCATCGTAACTAGGCAACGGTGATGCCGCACGATGATAGTAGATTCGCCACAAGTTGTTCATATATTAATGGGTAGTATCACCCTGGGAGTAGTTTGTACTAATTTAATATTGTTGGACATAAAACTCCTTTGTTATATTGACATATATTATGTGTATATAAAAAGAGAAAACATATTAATAAAAAAGACGACTGCGAATAAAATGGTTTTTCCTTATTTGCCCTCTGCATAAATAAAATCCCATTAAATATAGCGGTGTTTAAACAAACAATTGTTACCTATTTATTGTTATAAGAGAGAAATGAGCTGCCAATTCGGTTTCGTCAACAATTATAGTATATTTCACTATGGTCGGGGTTTCCCGCGTTGCGGATTGACGATTGACAAATTCACGATCCGCCCCTGCAGTAATATCCCCTATTACTGCTGGGGCGGATCGTGAATTTGTGGGGCCCTAGGCTAAATCTACTTAGGGGCCTACCTAATTATATTGCTCAACTAAAAAGCACCGACCAAAAACAAGCGACCAGAAATTCCCAGTTCCTTTCGATAGACACGCACTTGTGTGGGTTGATTGATCTCAGGGTTGCCAACCTTATGATAGGTTTTTTTAACATTTAGAAATTTTTTATAATCTAAATATCGTTTCAGTGAGGGCCCTTTGTATCCTTGGGGCCCTGGGCTACAGCCCAAAAAGCCCTTAGGAAGATCCGCCTCTGTATTACTGTCTCTACTCGAAGTATGTATATTCAAAATCAGCAATAATTCAAAATCTAGGAGGAAATAAAAACACATACACAAATATATTTAAATGTTTTTATTTTTTCGAAACATACAAAATTACCTGTTTCCTCACAGAATCATTATTATGGGTACCTACATTTTTGTACCTTAATACAAAGCAATATTACAATATAATTAATTGATGTGTAAATCTTGTCTGATAGTGTATGCTGCCACGTGAAACATGTCAGGTTCTTGTTTGAGAAAATTTTCTCTAGCTTGCTCTCTAACCTCCTTCCAATCGTACAAGTCTCTGTAGATAGGTCTTATATAGTTCATGATGCCTTGGTTGTTGACGAACTCGAACACGTCATTCAGTTTTGAAAGATCTCGGCTTCGAATGCATAATCTCAACCATCTGAAAAAATAATTTTTAATGTATACAACAATATACTGCAGTCTCACTACTGCAGTCTATACTTTACATAATTTTGATAAAAGGAATTATATGAACACATTGAAATTGTACTCTGTATGTAAATATCTATGACCACCAAAATCAATGCTTATGAAACTTAAATCAACATGACTACCTATATACATTTATTTTATAATATTAATATACAATTGAACACAGACTATAAGCAGGTATGATATTTTACCATAACTTATCGATTATTTTGATGATCCGAATCTCGAAATTATATAAGTAGGACTTATCACAACACGTATATAAAAATTGCGTGAATATTTTTTAAAGTTATCGCATTTTAGTGACTTAGCAGTAAGCTTCCAAAATGCAACTGGATTCCCATAACTCGGGTTAATGTATATGCAGATTGCAGTTTTGGTCCCAGAAATCGGGTTTCTAAGTACATACTAATTAAATCGACAATTACTAATGCTAGAAGCGTTGTATCATTGTATCTACTTAGATTCTTTGTTTAAGCTTGAATAAAGAATTAATAATGTACCTATATGCAATTTCCGCATTCTTGCTCTCACTGACTTTATATATTTCTCCGAGGGTCCGTAGCTTGTCGACAGTGAGTGGTGATCGATTAATCAACTCCTGCAATAGATGGATGAACTGGTGGGGTGTAAACTTCTTGACGTCGTTGTAGTCAATTGTAGTGTTATCATTGTAAATAGTTGATAGAAGTTTTGAAACCTCCTTTGCCAAAGATGTGTCGTAGCTGTAAGAATAATAAGATAGGCATTAGAAGTAAGAAATATTTTGCGTATAATAAAGAAAAACATATTTAAGACAAGACTTTTCACTTTCACTCCTTGAGGAACCAGGGAGACTATCTACTACAAAATTACAAATTCGGTTCTCATTAGTTCAGATTCGGACATTCGGACGCGTCGGAAGTTTGGTATTTTCTATTACGAACTGAATTTTAATTTAATTAACGTCCTTAATTGATCCTATGAAACTAAACTCTGTTGCAATAAATGTTTATTGTGCTAATAATTTGAATTATATATTTAAATATAAAATACCTTTTATTCATCTAAACATTCGGAATTTAAATTTCGGCAAAAGTGGAAAATATATTAAGAGTAGAAAACTAGGATCCCATAGCTACCTATAGGTTACACTTATATCATCATATTAATTTCGAGTTACTTACTCAGGTATTACCGGTGGCATGCCACTGGTGTACAACCAAGTATTCCAATCTACCGTCTTCAGATTCTGATTATCTTTGAAGTAGTCGAGTAGATATGCCTTAAACTGCTCACTGTTTATTGACTGTCTTCGGAACTTCTTTATGTATGAACGCATAAAATCGTCAAATACGTCTGAAATATATTCACAAAAAATATTTTAGTTATTTAAGAACTAGTTTTTACTAGGACTAGTTACGAACAACTGTAGAATGGTGTGAGTGTGTTTATCTTTTTTTTTATTTATTTATTTATTATTATCATCACAATAATTTGCATTACATAATATTCAAACGTAAAATAAAAATACACTTATATTTAAAACTATATACATATGTGTACTTAGTTGCTAATGTACTACTCATGATTCAGAACGCAATAGTTTACTAAGTACCTACTTATTTACAATATTAACACGAATTAACGTTACATAAGCTTTTTATGTGGGCATCTGCAGCGAATGTTAATATTGAGTTATCATAGGTGGTTTTTAAACTGATGTTATATTGAATTTAATCTATGCATATTGCCTAGCTTTAAGATTCGTTTATGGTTTGTTACATGACTAATTCAATATACATAAAAATAAAGTAAATATTTCTATATCTACTATACGCATACATGATACTATAATAGTATATAATATAATAGTGTTATGTATAAAACACTCCGATCTAAGTTTACGCGAATTCGGAGATAATTGCAGAGTTGTTCGCAAAAATCAGAACTGCTCAGACAGATTTTCTAAAGTAGTTATATTATTTATTATAAATCTCTATATTCTACCAATTAAAAGAAATTTTTAAGTTTTTATATGGGCTAAATTTAGGAGAATTCGACATGTACATAGTTTTGTCTCAGTCCTTACCTAGGTCCAAGGATACTAGTAGTAACGTAATAAATAATACTCTGGGCTTATGTAAGTCCAGAGTATTATTTACTGTATAAATACCTATTTCTATAACGTACCGGGTCCTCCGGATAAATCCTCAAGATAACGCAGGAAAAGTGATCCTTTCTCGTAAGGCACACTAGAGAACGAGTCGTCTGGATGCACGCCGCCGGTCAGGTCAGGCACGAGACGAGTTATGGGATTTGTTACTCCTAAGTGATCTTTAACCTGCAGTAAAACAAAATTAGATCTAAATATTTTTTTGTCATACGGAAATTACGGTCCTAGTGTGAAAGCGATTGTGAGGTAGATAGCTACCGATTAATGCATAGGCATCAATACCGTAGAAACCATTGTTATTCATTCTTGATAAATTCGCCATGATAACTGACCTGACATCATGACCATCTCACACTAGCAATCATTAAAAAACCTGCTAGTCCCATTGAGTGAAAAATACCATGTTAGGTAGATTGAAAACATAATTATCAGATGAATTCGACATGATGAGATAACTGACCTAACTTCATCATCATACTATTAAATCCTATTCACCACTAAATCCCACCAATATTTATACTTAAATTTGTATATTGTTTAATGTCTTAAATACTAATATGAAAGCAACAGACTTACAGTATCGGTTAGATCCTGCAGACCCAGTAGACTATGAAAATCTCTGCTCTTCCTTGCCTCTTCTTTGTCAGATATTAATGAGGCGCTAACTTTCCTCTCCAGGAACACAGTGAAACCTTCGTTCAACCAGAAATGCTCAAAGTTTGTGTTCGTCACGAGATTACCCGTCCAGCTGTGCATGATCTCGTGGATAACATTGTGTGACATGCTCCTATCGCCGGCCTGAGGGAAAGTTATGTTTTAATTATTGCTAGTAAATGGATATAAGATATTTGCAAGATTTAATTTTTAATTTAGAAACCTAGCTTTGTGTTATATATTCTAAGTATGCTTCCTGATTTGTTGTTCCTTGTTATGTCGTCGTTTTACTTGCTCAATCTGTTAACTAGCGGAAATTTCAGAGCTTTAGGATGTAGCCTTCTGTGTAGAATTATTTTCCAGTAAAACGAGACTTTGCCGAATAATTAAGAATACATACGTTATTGTGCACTATAGTAGATATAGTAAAATATAGCAACCACTAAAGACGAGAGAGAAGTAGCACAAATAGATGAGCGGTAGTTTTTTTTTATTTATTTTATTAAACATGATCTTTTATATCTATAATTATTTTAATAATTGCAATTATAATTAATGAAGACCTAGGTATTGATGTGCTATTATATACCAAGACTGATGGCGGGAGGAAAGTCAGACAAGAGTTCTCCATGCCGGTATGCGGGAAAGCAGGCGGCAACACTAGCACATCATATTGGGTCCATTCGTATTTGCCGCACAATTTCTCAGCAGCTTGCAGATAGTTCTCTACTTCTGCTAACTCCCACTCGCTTTTTTCAATGTTTTCTTTTTCTGTCCACACCAGTGATCTATAACATATTGGATTTCCAAAATTTCTGTGGTTCATTCATATACTAAATATAAAGTAGCAAAGATTGTGAGTTTGGATGTTCGGGGTATACTCCTACAGCTCCGATTTTGAAAATTCTTTTAATGTTGGATGGCCTTTTAATTGTCGAGGGAGGCTTAAATAACATCAAGCTACGATTATTAGCAGCGGAACTGCAATGAAAAATGGTGCAAAAACCGGGACTTGTGGTCCAGATGAAAATGCGTTGGTCAGCTACTACATCATCTAAAGCGATGTTTTCAACTTTTTTGCCATTCCAGTTAACTTGCTTGCCATTCCAGTTCCAGTATATAAAAAATACATAAGTATATTTTAACAGAGGCGGTTTCTCTCTCTTTCCCATTACAAAGCATGACAGAGTTATAATGGACAACAAGTAAGCTAACCTTTGTGAAAAAAAAAAAAAAATTTCAATTAAGTCTCTTATTAGTTCTTCTCAAGTAGCTGAATTGGACGGTAGGATTAATCATTAGGTAAAAAAATCATGTTTTTAAGTGGTTTCAAATTTTATTAGGTTATAGCGGAATAGCACACCGTCCTACTTTCCGATGGTCACAAGTTCTATCAGTTTTCTCATATCCATGCCACAAAAACTGCTTATCTTGGAACTAGATGGCGGTGTGTATTGTCCAGGGTTATTAGAGTTTTATAAGTATCGAATTATAAGTGTTAGAACTGTAGATAGTACTTATTATAGCTACATACCTTGGTCCAATTTTCCTATACTCCAAAACGCCCACAGCCAGGGCCACTAGATATGCGGGTATCGGTACCGACTGCTGGAAAGAAGTCTTGTTGTTCTTGGGCTCACTTCGGAGCCCGCTCATGAGCACCGTGAACTCTTTGGGCGCTGTCACTTCCGCGTCATATGTGAACTTCACCGTTGGTGTGTCTTGGCATGGCAGGATTGAACGTGCATGGACTGGCTGAAAAATGTGTGAGCAATATTCAAAACAGTCTGTAATCTAGTAAGATAGTCTTAATAGAAAGTCGTCTGGGTACTGTATATTAATATCTCGGTAGATACGGTTGTACCTCTTTCGTACCTATATCATCCGCCGAGCATCTTGCTTTGTAAGTTGAAAGGGACATGAGACAGAGTAGTGCAATTACAAATAAGATACAATCTCCGTAAATTATTGAATTGATTGATTTGGCATAAAGAATATTCAAATCAGGACCCTCGTGCCAATTTTCTGTTCCCAAATTATGTGTCCTTGCAACAGATTAGTTAGGTGCTTTGTTATCTGTGTTTCCATCATGGGAGAGACAGTCAGAAAACTAAATTGACACAGTTTTTTAGTGTTGGCCAGATTAAAAAAAAAAAGCTAAGCGTTTCGTTCTAATCCATAAATTTCTTTGGATAATTAAAACTAATTATAACTTTTTTGAAGCACACCAAAGTATATGTACACAAATACATATATAGTTAGTTTAAACGTAAAAGCTAAATTAATGCTGGTAATAATTCACATTATTATCTTAAATATCCTCACCTCACCCTGACTGTAGACATAAGGATGTGTTTTCCCTAATGTCTGTTTTGGTTTCAGCCATTGCAGCCCTGGTGCCGAAGGCGACGTTATGTATTTTATTATTATTTTTAATCTGAAATCAATAAGCTGGAGGTAAAAAGGTATCTATTAAATATCTATGTATTTACACAAAAAACTTCTTCTTAGATTCAGTGGCAATTAAATGTATTTACCCCCGAAAAAGGCGACGACTTTTGCGCTTTTAGTTGCATTTTTTAGACAACAGGGTTCATAGTTTGGGTTGCCATTGTGGAGACAAACAAGAGAAATTGGCTAGTTTAGACACTGCGTTGCCGTGTTAAGCCGTTTCTAGGTGCGCCGTGGAGAGACTCCTATCTTGCACAACTTAGTTACAACGTACAGTTCTGTATTAATATTATTTATTACCTATAACTATTTGTAAAAATGGCATAATTATATCAACTGATACGCGTGGCATATTCATTAGATCCTTTTATAAACATATGCTTCGCATTGTAGTCAACACAACTGTGAGCAATAAAACTAATATACTTAAATTGATAAAACACAATTCTTTTACCAAGGCGCACTTGTATGCCCGTACAGTCAGTCAGTCAGTACAGTCGTAAAGTCTATAATAGTAAGACGGCTCTGTTCTGCGATATAACTTAGGTCGAGGATTCATAGGAAATCAAAGAACATTTTTTTAATCATCTATAATAAACGTAAATAAGATTTACATATATTACTTACTTATCCCCGGTAGCGGCCGGTTTGGGAAGGGTAATAGTTAGCTTAGCTCCAAAAGGAGGCACTTCATTATCTACTTTGTACTGTAAAGGTGTACCGTCCAACTCTACCTTCTCTATAGTCAAGTTTTTTACATCTAATATCTGAAAATATATGCATTAAACAGGTATCAATGTTAATTTTATTTTTTATAAGACTTTTTTAACCCGTACTTATCGCTTAGCGCATCTAGTCCAAAATAAATTAGTTTGTGCTAGCTTCATACTGAGGGTCACATAAAAATATTATAAATAAATATTGTAAATACATTCATGATATTATTACCTACCTACTTACATAGAAAAGTGAACGAAAATACAAATACGTAGACATATTCATAAATATATTTGTAGGTACCTATTGCTGCATTAAGAGTCGTCAAAATTCTTTGCTTGTCCTAACTATGATTTCATGCTACATATCGTTTCAATTTTATTAGTTCGGTATATAATACAAATTAATTTTTGTAATGTTCATAGGCGTCCTCTCTGGCCCGATTTTGATTAAAATCTAAAACTACTTTGAACTAGGTAGGTCTTAACTAGCATTTTAAAAAGGAATAGGTTTTATACAATTGTGTTAGTAGGTACAAACAGAACAAAAATGATAAGATTATGATAGCAGTTTTATTTAGGCACAGAGATGCTGTAGGTAGCTATATGACATGAGTGACAATAATTAGAATTTATTTATTATAAACCAAATAGATCTATAATATTGAACCGCATAAAATTCAAATTTCATTTCGCCATACCATAAACGCCGACCCCCTATTTTATTATCCACCAATAATATTTTCCCAGGTATAACTATAAGTTCGAAACCGGAATTAATTTAAAGATCTTTTAAAAAGTTGGATGGACACGAACGAGACATGAAATTTACATTTCATTCATATATTTTAGTGTACCTGCTTCATGTTAGATTACTGATTTGACTTTGATATTTTCCTGTTATTTTGCCTCACAACAGTCGTTAACAGGAAAATAAAAAAGTTATCAAGATAGAACAAGTTTAAATACAAGTTTTTGCACCAGTATCCCAAGTGATCTCATAACATTCGTTAATATTATGGGCTGGGATTGGTATATTATTCTAATTTACGGTCATTGGACTACGTTTTTTAACCATTTAGAAATAACTAATCTACCCAATACTGCCATTTGTAGGTAATGAACTTTTCCAATAAATAACAATAATTTTAACATATTTTTGTAAGTTTTTAAACATTAATTTATAAAAAAATATTACTTACTATTCTTTGAATTCGAATAAAAATTACTTGACACGCTAAGAGCAAGACATTTACCAAATATTAGGATAGCTATAAGACCTAAGTACTTTGGTATATAAACAAAATAAATAACTTACCAATTCACTAGTGCTTTGCAATACTTCAAAATTAATTGCAACTGATCCATCCAAAATTTTTTTATCGAAATCTACATTCCAAAATATCGACACGTGTTTCATAATAGCCAAATCTAAAACATAAATTTTGGAATTATTATATCATATGAAACGAGTTATATGCTACAAATCCGATTTACATTCTTAGCGCTACTTAATTTGTGACTTCTGCTGGAATAGTTAGAAGTTATTCCAACAAACTGGGTCAGTTTTGGAAAAATCATCAATAATTCTGTATCCATATCTAGTATAAACCTCAGAGCTCTAGTCTAACTAGATATACAAATAATTTAAAATATATTATAAATTATTTGTTCGTAACCCCCAGTGTACAAATTAAATTACAGTTAATCAAAATATCCTGATTATTGTCGTGTCTCACTCCCTCCCATCTTATATCCCAGAAATGTAACCAATATTAATATCATAAGTATCTAGCTAATGACAATCGTATCTTTGCTCTTATATTTTTTTTGTTAGATTTATAAATCTTATATATAAAATTCTCGTGTCACAGTTTTCGTTCCCATACTCCTCCGAAACGGCGTGACCGATTCTCATGAAATTTTGTGAGCGTATTGAGTAGGTCTGAGAATCGACCAACGTCTATTTTTCATCCCCCTAAATGTTAGGGGTAGTCCTCCCCAAATTTTTTTTTTATTTTTTAGACAAAATTTTTAGTGTCTTTTGTTTTATGACAAAACATACAAAAATATATACAATCCTAAATTTTCACCCTTCTATCATCAACCCCTATTTTTTTTATAGCGTTATTAATTTATATGGCAAAACAACGCATGCCGGGATAGCTAGTATTTATATATTTAGGTACAATTCTGTAATAGTTATACGAGTTTAAAACTAAATTCCGAAATGATATTACTGAAATTTTATATTTTCAGTTTCATAATCGAGGTTTGGTATACCACTATAGTCTATACTCGTAACATTTAGATACTGTATGTATAAGAGATTTTAAGCATTAGCATAGGACACAGTTACGTAGACACTCGAAAGACAATCGTATCAGCAATACTTGGAATTAGGGCCGGTAAGACAAACTACATATTCTACTAAGCACTACACAAACTGTGTTATACTATTGTTATTTAGTAGGTACCTATATAAGATCAATATTATAACGTACATTTCGTTTGTTCATGCTTACACTCCCTCAATATACCTATAATACATATCGCCTCAACCTACAACATCGTATTACTTCCCCATAACATATAACTATTCATTAATTCATTTAAAAATAGCTTTTAACTTACCAGGCTTTGAAAACGACGAAGGATCCAGAGGACTCAAGGCTCCCATGGCTCTCACTTGGATAAAATGTAACAGAACTAAAAAACATGGTAACATAGCATAAACACAGTTACCCGCCATTCTATAATTTAATTTCTTGCAATATCATGCGGTGTATGACAACCTTAAATTATGAGAATTAATATTATTATTTACTTAACTCCAAGGATATTTCAAGTAGACTATGTTTATTATTAACGTTACGTATAACGAAATCGTGGCGATGCGAAAACGGTTTGTTTGTGTGTTTGTTGTACGTTTCACGTAAAAATTAATTAGAATGAAATTTTATAACACATAATATCTTTTTCAATGTATATGCTAAGGAAATTTTAGAAAAATAACCCAAAGGGGTTATTTAATAATTATTCTTCTTCATTTTAAATAATACGCCATCTACGACTGTTAATTAATGTATTAGGTAAATCTTGATTGGAAAAATTGGACTCTGAATTTTACTACATATGTATACAATATATGTGTACAATAATATTGAGATTTAGGAGTATTACATAGTTAGAGATTAATAATTTTCAAACTGTTGTTATTCGTTGCACATTTCGAACAAATAACAGCAGTATTATTTTTTATATTAATTCTCAATTGTTGCAATAATTTTTTTTTTAATATATTTATATTGTATATTATATAAATGAAATAATTGACTAACTATATAAAAATGCGTTAATTAAATTAATTTGAACTTAATTTCTACTCGTATGTTGCTCAAATAAAATAATCACTCTTACAAGGTTTTTCTTAAAATAGGTATACACTCCGTACACGAGTAGTGATTAACTAACTTTGTGATTCTTAAAGATCCACTTTTATAGTATTCTGAGTTTTGTATGTTAATACGACGCGAATGCAATGCTAATATCGTCGGACACAAATAGAGAACCGGTAAAGAGCAACCTCCTATGGAGTATCTATAGCTTTATACCTACAAATAAGGAAACAAGATTGTATTCTGTATCGACTGCACGTGCAGTATTAAACTTGTTTCCAAATAATAGAGTCTGAATCTACTGTTGGTTTGGACTGAAAACTGAAATTTCGATTTAATCGTCATACCTATTACTAATATGGAGGACTAATACCTACTACTCCCCCTTTTGCGATTATGTCTGTCGATTGTGCCCCTAGAAACCTGGTTAATTTCAGGTGAACTCGCGAAATGGGCTAACTGATCCTATAATTCACCATTATTGCTCTTATGATTTATGTGAAAAATGTGAGTTTTGGATATACCTGATCATTGTTTAAAATTATGTATCTACTAACTATCTATTCGTTCATATGGTAGCTCTTAGACAGAATTATTTATATTTATCATATAAGACAAATTTATTTATATTTAAACGTGATTTTGGTGCTTAGGAATTTATCATCTCGATAAAATCAATAATTAGTTTTGTTATTTTCCTGTTACCAACTGTCACAAGGTAAAATAAGAAAAAAATGAAGAAGCTTTTATGTAAATCGAAGTCAAAAGCGTTCCATGTGACGCCATCTTTCTCACTATATACATACAGGTATTGAGGTTGTACATCAAGTCGGAAGGCCAAAATATTAATGAAATTGGACAAGGAATCTGTACACTTTGTGTGCTCCGTTCCAGCCATCAACCGCCGCGTTGGAGGCCCGCTCTTGCTGTAATTCTAACATTGTAGAAACACATGTGGAGCAGACGAGTGACTATGGGGCTGGGTTTACATAGTCGGGGGGAGGAGGGAATTTCATATTCCGATGAGCAGTTCCCATCCCTTGTCCGGTATCTCCCAAGCGGAGGCATGTTACTGGAAGAGTTCCTACACGTGTTGAGTTAAGCTCGCTCACGCTACCATTTTTATTCGCAAATATTATATATGTATATTTATATACCTATAATAATAAATATTCGGGTTCGTATTAGAATGCTCAGCGGTCCCGTGACGCCGGCACTACGCGCCGAGGAAAAATGCGGTACCTATGGTTTATAACCGGCTAGAGTCGGACAGTTAGTCTAACGCCTAAAACCGTCGGGTCTCCATAATAAATTTTCCCCATGAAATCCTACTAATCCTATCAGGATTAGTAATTACACAGTTATATATATATAACATAATGTCATGTTTAGTGCCAGGTTTACACTATTTAAGTTTTATCAAAATCTGTTCAGTAGTAAAGAGTAAATAACATTCTGTTGGTGACACTGGCACATCACTACTCACTCGATCGCCGCTTTAAGATGAAAAATATATATTGTCAAAATAAACTATATTGTACATTCGTAATATTATATTAACAAAATAAACTATTTATACTAAACAAGTCGTTTTTCCATCGACCAAGTACATCAAATGGTAGCAGAGCGTATGGTAAGAAAATTCGACAAAGTTATGAAATAAATAGAAACATATAATATAAAAAATGGCAACGTATAGAATCGAACCATTACATAAAAACAATTATGATACATGGTGTCTCCAGGCACAAGCAGTGCTTATAAAAGCCGATTTATGGGAATATGTTAGTGGACAAATTTCCCTAGAAACAGATGCATGTCCCCAAACTATCGCAGCATTTCAAAAATCCGATATGATGGCAAAATCGGAAATATTATTACTAATATCTCCATCAGAATTAAAACAAATAAAAACATGTAAGACATCAAAAGAGATTTGGGATAAACTGAAATCATCTTATCAAAGTTCAGGTCCCGCTAGAAAAGCAACCCTCCTAAAAAAATTAGTTTTACAAAAAATGGACTCTCAAAGCGATATTCGCGATCATTTGAATGAATTCCTAGACATAGTCGATAAACTAGCCGATATTACTATTGAGTATTATGATGTTATACAGCCTTCCTAGTGCATATGAAAACTTTAGAATTGCAATAGAATCTAGGGATACATTACCAAATCCGGAAGACTTAAAAGTAAAAATACTCGAAGAAGGTGAAGCTAGAAAACAAGTTAACAAACCAGAGAGATCCGATGGAGTATTTTACAGCAGAAATAATAAAAATCTGAAACAAATAAAATGTGAAAACTGTAACAAAAAGGGCCATTCCACTGAAAGCTGCTGGAGTAAGAAAAAGTACAATAAATATAATAAAAGTAGTAATTATAATAAAGACAAAAAATCAGAAAAAACATTAAATGTATGTTTATCACTTTGTAAAGAAAACATTGATACAGATTCTTGGGTATTGGACAGTGGATGCACATCACACATTACCTATCAAAAAGAAAAATTTACAAACCTATCATCAGAAACTGGATTGCTAAAGTTGGCATCTAACTTTCACACCGCTAACGTAAAAGGTAAAGGAAAAGTAACAATTAAGGTAGATGGTGATAAATGCAATCTCGCTGACACATTATATGTACCTGATATATCTGAAAACTTAATATCCGTTAGTAAGATCACTGATAAAGGTAATTCTGTATTATTTACAAAGAAAAAGGCATTAATAAAAAACAATGAAGGTGATATACTACTTACTGCTGAAAAATATAATGGATTATATTATGTAAAATGTGACAAAAATAACACAGCTTATGCAATAAAAAATGAAAAGAATGCTATGTGGCATCAGAAACTAGGTCACTTAAATGAAAATGATATGAAAGTTTTACACAAAGAAAATTTGATAAGAGGTATACAATTGACAAATGGAAAACTAGACCCGTGTGAAACATGCATAAAAGGAAAGCTGACCAGGCTACCATTCTAAAGTCATGAAGCTATAAAAACAAATGAACCTCTACAAATAATACACTCGGATGTTTGTGGGCCTATGCCACATGAATCATTGGCTGGTTCCAGATACTTTGTGACATTTATTGATGATTATACTAGATATTGTTGCATATATTTCTTAAAACAAAAAAATGAAGTATTAGAAATATTTAAAGAATATAAAAATAAAGTAGAAAACTTTTGGAATAAAAAGATCAAATCATTACAATCCGATAACGGAACAGAATATTGTGGAAAAGAATTTGAACAATTCTTAAAAGATAATGGCATCGTGAGACGACTCTCGACACCATATACGCCACAACAAAATGGAGTAAGCGAAAGAAAAAATAGATCTCTACTCGATAAAGCCCGTTGCATGATTATAGCATCAAAAGTTCCTAATTCGTTATGGGCAGAAGCTATTTTCACAGCGAACTATCTTATAAATAGAAGTCCTTCTAAAGCCTTACAACAAGAAACACCGTTTATGAAATGGATGGGACGAGTACCGTCAGCAAATCATTTACGCATTTTTGGTACAAAAGCTTTTGTTCTGATAAAGAAACGAAGGGGAAAGTTCTCACCGAAAGCAATTGAAGGAGTATTTGTTGGATACGCTAAAAGTTCAAGAGGCTACAGAATTTACATACCAAATAAAAATGAAGTAAATATTAGTAGAGATGTAAAATTCATAAATAAAATGTACTATGAAAGTGAAACAAGTGATGACTTTGATATCTTCAATAACGAAGAAAAACTCCTACCTGAAAATAAAAATAAAAATATAATTATTGAAATGGAAAATATAAATAATAATAATAAAAACTTACCTGTTTTACCGTCTACCAGCTCCACACCAATATTAGAGATACCTAATGAACATACACAATCAAATATAGAGATCTCAACAAGTGATGAAGAGCGAAATGAAACAGATGACAATCAGACTTCACAAGTTAATCAAGATAATATGCATACATCGCGTAGGCAGAGAAGACTACCATCGCGATATAATGATTACGTTCTGAATAATGTACAAGAACTCAATGAAAATATATATGAAATGACTTACCTATGTGAAGAAGAAAAAAATGAGGATTGGCGTGACGCCATAAAAGCTGAAATCAGAGCTCATGTAAAAAATGGTACATGGGAGATAATGAAAAAAGCAAAAGACGCAAAAGTCATTGATCATAAAATGACATTAAAAAAGAAAATGTGTCCTAATGATACAGAAATAAAAAAGGCAAGACTTGTAGCGAGAGGTTTTACCCAAAGACCAGGGATTGACTATAATGAAACATTTGCTCCAGTTGCCAAATTAAGCTCAATTAGATCAGTACTAAGTTTATCTGTACAAGAAGGAATACAACTTAATCAAATGGACGTCACTACTGCTTATTTAAATGGCGAATTAGATGAAAATATAAGTATGAAAATTCCTGACTGTCTTGAAGAATATTTAATGGAAATTATGATAGACGAAATAGATAAAAATGACATGATAATATACAATAAAGCTAAGAAAATGCTTGAAGATTTAAAATCTGATAATAATGAAAAGATTTGTTTACTTAAAAAAGCTCTATATGGGTTAAAACAATCTGGAAGACAATGGTTCATAAAACTAGATAATGAACTGAAAGCATTACATTTTGAACCATCGAAAGCAGATCCATGCGTTTACATACTAGCGAAAGGAGTGAAAATCATAGTTGCTATATATGTAGACGACATACTCATTGCTTACTCATGTTCAAAAACGCTAAACACAATCAAAAATGTTTTAGCCACAAAATTTGAATTGAAAGACTTAGGTAAACCAAATAGATTAATTGGTATAGATATCAGTTACCAAGGAGATTCAATAAAATTATGTCAAGAAAAATACATAGATATTATTTTAAATAAATTCAAAATGGAACAATGTAAAGCTGCTGTCACACCTATCGAACCCGGTTTGACATTAAAACCTAATAAAGAGAAAAAACGAGAATTACCGTATCAAAACTTGATTGGTACACTGATGTATTGCGCCGTAACTACTAGACCTGATATTATGTACTCCGTAAGTTATCTATCTCAATTCAATGATAGCTATGATGAAGAACATTTTAAATGCGCAAAAAGAATTCTCAGATATTTGAAAGGTACAAAAACTATTGGTTTAAGATTTGAAAAGAAATGCTCAAATAATTTATATGGACTGGCAGATGCTGACTGGGGTGCAGATAAAATGGACAGAAAATCATTTTCTGGATATTGCTTTAAATATGCTGGCTCATGTATTAGTTGGTCATCAAGAAAACAAAAGTGTGTAGCACTTTCAACAGCCGAAGCTGAATATGTCTCATTGTCTGAAGCTGCAAAAGAGGCAATCTACTTAAAAAGACTATTTGAAGACTTGGGCATTTCGCAACAAACTGTAGTAATATTTAATGACAACCAAGCTGCACTAAAGTTGAGTGAGAATCCGATAATCACATCGAAGTCGAAACATATCGATTTGAAACTACACTTTATTCGTGATAGTGTTAAAGAGGGAGTGATCCAAGTAAAATATATGGACACAAAAACGATGGAAGCTGACTTACTCACTAAACGACTACCAGGACCAAGACTATCACAACTGAGAAGTTGTCTGGGCATCACAATCTAGTAATAGTGTTGTGAGGAGGAGTTTGTTGGTGACACTGGCACATCACTACTCACTCGATCGCCGCTTTAAGATGATAAATATATATTGTCAAAAAAAACTATATTGTACATTCGTAATATTATATTAACAAAATAAACTATTTATACTAAACAAGTCGTTTTTCCATCGACCAAGTACATCACATTCTACCATCCATACTTACAAACTTTCGCATTTAAAATATTAGCAGTGGCACTCAATGAGGAAGTAGCCATTATTATTGCTAAAAGTTGCATATAGATGGCGTGATTGGTATCGATGGAATTCTTCATAGTTTTGCAAACGTTTTAAAAAACAAAACTGTGTTTTCAAAAATGTTTAATCAATTTTTAAAAAGTTATATATACATGTTAAAATGAAATAATGCGTTTAGAAAAGTAATTTTCATATATTTACTCATTTTGTTATTTTCCAGTACTTAATTACACTTTAATCAGTGCTAATACGGGGCTCAATGTTTTCAAAATGCTTTCATAGATGGCATTGTCGTCATTTGTATCGGCCTAATTAAATGTCTTTTTTATATTTTCCAATAATAAGCACTTAATATATTATTATTGTAAATTAAACATATAAAAATTGTTTAAGTAAATTAAAAATAGCCAAACAAGCAAGTAATACTATTTCCAATAATACCTATGTATGAAGTGTTGTCATATTAAAAATAAATACATGTATTATCGATTTTTTTGAATAATCGATAACAGGATTTTATTACAGCGCATTATTCGATGATGCTTTTAATGAGTCGTTGTGAACAGTAAATTTTCATTATTTTGTATTATAGCAGTGTTCCGTTTCAAAGAACGGAATATAGTAGTACATTATTAGTGTCGTTGGTTATTTACATTTGTACTGAAAAATCGATTACATAATAATTTAAAATATCGAGTACGAATCGTATCTGTCTTCGAATACTGGCAACTGGTAAGATTAAAATAGTATTTAAAAAAAAGAGAGAAATCGACCCTAACTCGAATACCATAAAGGTGATTTTCCTTTCTCATTAATATCATAGCTGTTTGTTTTAACTTGCGTATGACTCTGTGGTATGATGTTTAACGTGTATTGTTATTGTACGGTGCATACATTTCAAAAATTATATTTTAATGTAGGTACATACATTTCTTTCATACATTTCATACATGTCAAAAATTATCTTTTAATGTAGGTACACATATTTCTTTCATACATTTCATACATGTCAAAAATTATCTTTTAATGTAGGTACATACATTTCTTTCATACATTTCAAAAATGAACTTTTTATGTAGGTACATACATTTCTTTCATACATCTCATACATTTCAAAAATTATATTTTAATGTAGGTACATACATTTCATACATGTCAAAAATTATCTTTTAATGTAGGTACATACATTTCTTTCATACATTTCATACATTTCAAAAATGAACATTTTATGTAGGTACATACATTTTTTTCATACATCTCATACATTTCAAAAATTATATTTTAATGTAGGTACATACATTTCATACATGTCAAAAATTATCTTCTAATGTAGGTACATACATTTCTTTCATACATTTCATACATTTCAAAAATGAACTTTTTATGTAGGTACATACATTTCTTTCATACATCTCATACATTTCAAAAATTATATTTTAATGTAGGTACATACATTACTTTCATACATTTCAAAAATTATACTTTAATGTAGGTACATACATTTCTTTCATACATTTCAAAAAGTATCTTTTAATGTAGGTACATAACACCCCATGTCAGACCCCTTGTATTTGGAAGAAACTTAAAAATAATGCCAAAAATATTAGATGAATATATTTTTAATACGAATATTGTTTTATTTTTGTTCATCAACTTTATCCCTCACTAACAATACTAGTAGTAGTACATAACCTGGTTTATACCGCTAAAGATATTGAAAGATATACGAGTAATTCAGAATGTTATCAAGTTCAAAATAAGCACACATTACTTGCTTAGATAACAGAGTAATATTACTCGTAATAAAAACATTTGTAACACCCATATGTATACTACGTATGTATAGTAAGTACTTACGCTGCGGCGCCGTGAGACTCGTCTAAGTACCTCATCTACTCATCTACGCGCGGTAACCGCGCCGACCGACCAATAGGAGCGCGCCTCTCGTGTTTCCAGAAAGTACGCGACTAACGGACGATATAGTAGTAAGGCAATGAGTGTCCCAGTGACATCATTATAATATTTTCTCGTTAAATTTTATTGTAATATACACAATTTCGCACTAAATAACGTGTTACCCCGTTACACATTTCTAATAATGAAAAACCTAGACCGACCCTGTTCACTTAATCTTACAAGATCTGACTTTAAAAAGAATAGAATAGAATAGACTATTCTATATAGTATACTAATATATATATATAGAATAGAATAGATATACTTTTTCGCATTAAAAAGTAGCCTTTCTCAGGGTCTACATTATCTGTCTACCAAATTTCAATTAAATCAGTTTAGTAGTTTTGGCGTGAAAGCGAGACAAACAGACAGACTGAGTTACTTTAGCATTTATAATATTTGTAAGAATATCGCTATTAAAAATAGGGGTTGGTGAATGACGGGTGAAAATTTAGGCGTGTATGTATTTTCAATGTAACATTATAAATAAATAAAAAATTGTCCATAATACAAAAAAATATTTTTTCGGGGTAGGCCACCCCTATGACTTAGGGGTATAAAAAATAGATAACAACCCTACCTCAGACCTGGCAAGTATACATATCAAATTTCATCAAAATGTGGGAGAAATATGGCAACTAACACTGTGATACAAAATTTATATATAAGATATAGCGGAATTCTCATTAGGTAAAAGAGGGGTACATCGTAGAATACATGAGGTATATACCAGTAAATTAATTGTAGCTAAAATCAGTCTCATACATATAACGATTGAAATAAAAAATTGTATAGCCCGATTTTGATACGTACGAGTATAAACGTATCAAAATCAGGCTATACGTATAGCGCAGACGCGTTACAACATATCAAAAAAATAGGCATGGAATGTAAAATAAACCATAACATAATAGGTATATACATTGGCACATAAGCCATATCTGCAGAGTGTCGGCTAACGATATTATACCTACACATTTACATTGAATCTTGAATCGTCCCTAATGAGGTACACGATACAGTTACCTACATATCTATTATATACATATCTTTGTAAAACAGATGTCATGTAGACTGAATTGACTGCCATCTATTTTCATGCTTTGTTATATATATAGTAATCCGATATATTCAGATCTAGCGACATCTAGCGGCTACGGTGGCGAAATAAAATAGCCCGAAGAATAGCCCGAGTTAGGAAGGAACCATTTTCTTGTATGGGATGGGGTATCTGTATGTAATATTATGTTATCTGTGAAATATCACAGATAACATAATATTACATACAGATACCCCATCCCATACAAGAAAATGGTTCCTTCCTAACTCGGGCTATTCTTTTACTAATAATTTACTATTTACTAATAAGTAAGATTTCGAAGAACAATGAGATCAGTATAACAAATGGAGAAAACTTCAAATGAAAACTTGTACTTAGTCTTGTAGAGCAGACTGTCGTTGTAACTGTCAAAATTGTCAAAGCCAATATTGATGTTGTCATATGACACACTGTCATGTCACTGTCGTCTATGATTGTCAATTGTATGAATTGAATCGCAAAATTTTAATTTAATTGTATTTGCATTTCCATGCAATTTTATCTGGCATTGGCATAGCATTGCAAACTATTTTTTTTAATTGACATTGTTTAATTCAATATATGAAGAAAAAGAAGCTAAGTGCAATCATAAATTATCTGAACTAAAAAGTACAATACAGTGATACATTATTTCTTAAGAAAGTCCCTTGTGTAAGCAGTTTCAGTTTGTGTTTACCTATAGTGTTTTTAGTTGTATACTGTTACTAGGTTGAGCTGAAAGCTCAATAATCGACCTCGAATTATATATTTTTCTCAATATTTTAATGACGCTTTAAGATTTGGTTCCGATCTGTTGTACAACAAAAATGTAGAGTTTCCGATTTCCTATTATTAAAAAAATATTACGTTAGTTTTCAAGATAAGAATTTCATTTCGTGCCAGTCCATCGGACAAACTTTAGACATGTTATCGAGATTTCATCATTATCATGGTTCTAATATTATATTATTCGAAGACAACACTGTTGCATTTAGAAAAGCAAGTTTTGCTCATGGCTTAACTTTTAGTGAGAAACCATTATTGCCCGGCGAAATATTCCTTGTGGAGATCGAAAAAACAGAGCGCGGATGGAGCGGTCACATGCGACTTGGGTTAACATTGCTCGACCCGCAAACTGCGGCATTAGGGCACAAAGGATTACCGCAGTATGCACTTCCTGATCTAGCTAACACTGGTATGTCATGGATATTCCCAATTTCAAAGTCACAAAACAATGTACTCATTGAATTAGTGAATCAAGGAACAAGTGGGCGGAGAGAGAATGAGCCTCGTGTATCTGTATTAGGAGATGGTCATAGTGTTAGAACACCGAGAGGTTACATTTCTAAGACAGTACTTAGGCCACAGACAGTAGCACAAAATGGAACACCACAAGGTATTCTACCCATGGACGCTGGTAGTCGCATAGGTGTTATGTTTGTTCCATGCCCTAAAGTGAATAAAGATGAGAGTGATTTAGCTGAGATGCATTTCATAATTAATGGTGAAGATCAAGGACCATGCACAAAGGCTATACCTTACACAAGAGGACCTTTGCATGCTGTTGTTGATGTTTATGGAACAACAAAACAAGTCAAGATTGTTCAACTATATGGTGGTAAGTGTGCGCTAATATTTATTTGTTTAAATTTGTCCCTTGAGTTATCAAGTTCTTCCTACCAACAACTTGACAAGTTATATTCAAGTTCTTCAAGCTATATTATAGATAATTTTATTGCCAAGAATACATTCTATTTCTCACAAATTCTATGATAATAATAATAATAGCCTTTATTCAGACAGTGCAGTATTTCATATTATAAATTATTTCCACAGCCCACATATAATTATTACATGATATGAAAGTGTTGTATTATCAATTTAATAGTAGAATTTAATATTACCCTGTGATTATTTTAACATGTATTTATGTATTTAAGCATTTAAAAATATATAAAAATAAAATTATCTTAGTGGTAGAAGTACTATTAGATGAGATAATTGGGAGACAGAGCCATTATCACCTTCATTGTGATATACATATCTGTCTGTCTGTAATATCTATGCACTTTTACTAAATGTTTGTATTAAATTGATGAGAGAGTAATGTTTCTAGTATTTTTATATGGGAAACAACAAACAAATTACATCTTGGAGACAGAGTTACTATGCCCTACATTATACTCATGTTATATTGAGCGAAGCCACATTACTCACAAATTAATTACCTAAATGACAAATGTGCATGGCAATAGTTGTTTATGCATAGGATTTTTAATTAATTTATACATAGACACCTATACAATGTAAATTAACTGACTAAAAAAAAACAGTTGTCTTGCCAGTTCTTCTCAATTGAATATGTATACTGAACTGGATGGTGAAGAAAAAAACAAATAACTTGATGTTCATAAATGGCCAAAATGTCCCATATGAATAAATTATTTTTATTTTTTTTAATATTAATATAGTATATATATATATTTTCATTTCAGTAAAAACACTCCAGAATGTGTGCCGGGATGCAATATTACAATATGTGAACAATGGCTCAGTGAAGTTGCTGCCATTGCCTAAATGTTTAAAAGACTTTTTATTATCGTAAAGCAGTCACAGAATATTGTTTCTAATTCAAGGAGCTTTTTTAATGCCAATGACATTACAAAAAGTTTTCATTCTCAGGTTTCTGTCTCATCTATAAAAATAGTGGATTTGTATTAGTTAATTGATAACAAATTTTTATGTAATATTTATATAGCTTTCAATTTGAACTATAATAATTTAGTTATTGTGTTATGTATTCGAAGATGGAGTTTATAGAACAGAAATAATGATAATAAATGAAGTTTAGGTTAGTGGTCTATACATTTTATATTACTTTTCAAAAGGCATACCTCTATAATGCAGCCAGTTTTACAGGAGCTCATCATAAATCTGCAAGGGAAATGTGTAACACACTTTGCCATCAGTAACTGACCGCTTACCATGTGAAAAGGGAATTTAATTTTAACTGTATCATAATGTACATACATGTACATATGTTTAAGTACAAAAGGCTTCTAAAGCGTTTTAGATTCATGTAAAAAAAATACAAAATTATGTGTATTCATTATTCTTATATTTTTATTGAAGATATTGGTGCTTTTACATTCTAGTTGCCAAATAAAATTAGACTAATTTCAGTTAGTGATCACATTAATTAGGCCCCTGATGTTTATTATTTACAAAATGTAATATTTATGGAAAACAGTCTTTAGTTTTTTCATTCTCTACTAACCAAGAGTTTGTCATCTGTACCTCAGTCACCTATTTCAGCTACCAAGCGGTTTCTTTTATAAGCTGTATTTCAGTTGAAGGGTAGAGTGAAATTACAGGATATGGAAGAAAAACATTTTATTACTTTGTAATGGCAATGCATGATTAGTATCGAATGATATCTGTGATACTGATCATGGTTATAAGCGTGTGTCAGTTTTTCTACAATACCAATTACATAAAAAAAGCAAGAATTCAATAAAATATTAAATAGGTGATGTTATTTAAAATATACCTAATAATACATATCTAGCTCCTGTTAGGTACTGTATTAACAAAATTATTTTATTTATTTATTTACTCGAAAACAATTTAACAACATTGTTTACTGTGTGCTAAAAGGCAGGACTGTCTTAACCGTCCGTTATTTTGCCGTCTGTATCCATCCAGATTATTATTAAACTGATTTGTTAAAGTACTCATAATAACTCATATACTCTGCACTCTCTAGTATATTGATACAATTTAGGATATCCTAATATTATAAGTTTTGATATATTTTTTTAATTGACTTTTTACCATACGCATAACATTAGGGTATATATGCTATACGAGTAGAAGTACTATTGTATATGTAGTTAAACTACAATGCCTTTTTTCCTCATTATAAACAATATGATTCAAACTAAAATATGCGAATAAAGTATATAATTAATTTTATTATAAAATAGGCATATATTAAATTTATTACTTTATTGATCTGTTACTTTTTTTATTGTTTTCGTTAATTGTAATGATTCAAACATCGTGAATGAACTTATATGGAATTAAATCAATTATATGAAAGTATCGTTGAAATTAAAGCTGTTAATTTCAGTTCATGTTCAAATGGTGTAAGAAACAATGCAATGCACACCACAGTTTGAACATTTATTACGTGTGGAAAAGACTTCGGGGAAAGGACTTTTACCAAGAGATTTATTTTGCATCGAGTCGCTGTAAGGTACAACAACCTAATGTATTCCTGATTAAAGGGTTACCTTGTCATCTTTTGTTGTAATACATGCATTTTCCAGCCTTTTCTGTGGCTCGGTCTGGCAACTAAATGTATATATTTAATTTAATAATTTAATTTAATTTTATATATTTAATTTAATCAATACGTCTTATACATTAAGACGTATTGATTACCTACTTATTCCATGCTCCAAACCATTACTAATGTAATAGAATAAAGAACTATGTAAATAAATGATAAATTCTGTCATTCTTTTTAACTGAATGTTTATAGTTTTTTCATAAATCAACTTTTCATAAAAGTCGATTTTAAAAAAATACAGCATATCATACTGCATATGAAATTGCGATATTTAAACTGTTTTTATTGTTAACATTCCCAAATGTATTCATTTCTATAAAAGATAGACAAAATTCAAAATTGAGGGTTTTAAAATAATTTAATTGATTTTAAAAGTAATTATTCTAAAAGTTATTATAAAATTTGTAAATATATAATTGTAATTATATCGGATTGTTATTTTAGTACATACTTAAAGCGCTTAATTATCTTGTTTTAATTTTCCAAACGTGAAGGTGATTTTGTTTGTTACCCCTTAGCACTTTTAGCATCATTAAATATGTACCTACATATAACATTTTGCATGAAGAATGATCGTAAGAAATTATTGATTTCCAATTGCCACTTTTAAAATAAATGCGACGAGAACAACGTTGCGTGTAAAAACTAGTATCTAAGTTGATTAAAACAAACATAAATCGACATTAGACTGATTTTTTTAATATAAATAGTAAATTGAATCCTATATTATTAAAATTCACAACATTATGTAATATTGACTTAATATTGCTTTCAAAGTTCTGAGGAATGAATTTTTTTTTATATTTTCATGACCTTGTAAAATTATAGTTTTTTTACAACGTAAATAAATCAGCAGTCCGTTAAGTTAAGCTATTTTAACTAAACAAACCATGGAGTTATAGAGATTATATTTATCTGAAAAAACTGTGTCTAGTCTCAATGTTATGTTAACTTCAAGGACAGGAACTTAATAATGCTTAATTGTTGATATTTATCAAAATAAAAATTATGTTCATGGATGCCACAATATTTGCATAAAACTATCATGACAGGAAATTGCATTAGACCAATTTGAAAAACACTATTCAGTAATTGGCTGGATGCTTGATTTCAAGGAGAATTTAGATGGCTGTGACTGCTGTATGAATACTTACATTCCCCAATCAATTATTTGATTATAGAGAACGTTAAAATTAAAATTGAAGAGGCTTAGGAAGATTTATACCTAATGAATGTAGAGATTCTGAAATTAAAGTATAATATTTCATTCCTTAAGTAGACGGGTGACTGTTACTTGAATGTGTATAAAATTTTATTTTACTTCAGCGGTTTTTTTAATCTATAGTCTGTTTCCTTAGATAAGATATCGTAATTACTATATATATTTCTATTAACGTCCGTCAATAAAATACAGGAGACTTGCTGTAGCAAGTGCGAGGACCAGGAAGACAGTAGGTTCACAAACCATCTGTCACACAATATAGTGCTGAAGCTAATAGAATTCTTCATATTTTATGGGATCTCGATAACTCATATTATGAAATGTTGAACTGATTTTTCATTTTTTTTTATCTTCGGTTCATATAGGCTGTATTTGCGCCGTGAAATACAATTGGTCGATAATAGAGACGTATTTCCTCTATAAAGAGGAATAGACCAGTTCATTATAGATATACTCGATCATAAACAACGCTAATTTGTCAGGCCACGTAATAATCTTCTAATAAGGACAGCTTGTAAATGACAGAAACTGGGTTTGAATGTGAACTAGACATTCGAGGCGGTACATTTATATGCAGTTATGTACATTGCACAATAATCATTACATTTAGGTATTATATTTTAGATTAAATCGTTGAGCTGCTACAAATGACTAGTTTTTAAGAATTTGTATGTGAATATGTACTTTATTTATATTGAATAAATTTATTTTGCCTATTAATATCGCATTTTATTTAGACAATTGTAAAATAAAATCCTGTTGACAAATGGATCACATTAGGTAGTAACTAATAATAACAACAGAACCTAATATTGACAGAAATACTAATTAAATGTGGGAATAAATTCGTATTAATGTAGGTAAATTTACTTTTCGAGATCACTCGGCAAAGGAAGTGTATAGGGTATGATCTTTCCAGTCTCCATATCGAAGTCCTTATATTCAAGTAGATTATCTGGTTCAATATGCTCTGTCCAATAATGTTCAAACTTTGGGTTTAATGTACCAATCCAGTGCTAAAACATATTTAATTATTTATTTAGTATATGATATTATATAACATTGGTTTAGTGATTAAAATTAAAACACGTTGCATCTTAATAATATTATAAACGCAAAAGTTTGTGAGTATGGATGGATATTTGTTACTTTTTCACGCAAAAACTCGTGAACGAATTTTGATAAAACTTTACAGTAATATAGCTTATACATCAGAATAACACATACGATATAATTTAAAAAGATGTAAAGTAAATTGTGTAAGTGTAATGCAGACGAAGTTTCGCGGGTATAGCTAGTGATAATATATAATCATGACAGGAGTCCTATCCTCTATAATATAGAGACCCAGACTGTTTAAAACTGACCATTAGGTAGATTTTTTTTTTTATATATAGGAATGGTGCACTTCTGTGCGCCAACGGTTTACGCTGACGAGGCACCAGTGGAGGATGTTAAGACGAACATGACGTCAGTAGTCTGTGGAGAGATCAACCTGACATGGTGCAATGCGATCATTAGTCCAAATTTCTAACAATCCCTTCCCCCTTAAAAGCGAGGGTTGTCACTTGTCCTCAGTTGGGTCGTAAATTTTTACCATTAGGTAATTCAATATTAAATTATGAAAAATCTGCTTTGAAAAAAAATCGTAACATTGCTTTGCCTTCATTATTATCTGTTAAAATTATAAGTATGAATATCCCTCTACTACAAAGTACAAAGTATAGGTAGGCGAAATTTTGTTACCTAAATGTTAGATGCATTGAAGTAATTGTCCATTATTCACTTTACAAAAATTAAATGACATGAGACAAGTCAGTGACCTTCTACATCACCTTTAATAATGAGGTCAATGAACCGTTCCGTTTGACTGAGGTCCTGGCTTATTTTGTCGGGATAGTGACCTTCAGCTTTTAAAAATAATGACCTATTTTTTTTATTGACTGATAAATCAGACTACACTAGAGAACACATTTATACATTAGACATGTACATACTAGACAATGGGTACAGTGGGGGAGATTATTAGTAATAGCTGTGCCCGCGGTTTCACCCACATGAAATTTGTAGCCTGTGTTATTCTATGTATAAGCAATACTATTGTTAAGTGTAAAAAAAAATCCGTTCAGTAGTTTTTGCGTTAAAGATTAACAAACATCCATACATCTTTCTATGCATCCATACTCATAATCTATCGCTTTATAATGTTAGCAATATGTGGCCGAATAAACTCATTGCAAGCAATGTACCAAGTTATTTCGATTGGTGTATTTGAATTTAATTCAGTCAGAAAGAAATATTAACATCGAGTTTTTTAATATCGGCCACATTTGAACTCATGACCGCTTGAGTGTAAGTCGGGGTAGTAAACTATTACGCCACGACGCTCTCATTATTATAAACTAGCTGTACGCGCGACTTAGTCCGCGTGGAATTTTACAACATTACTTTATTTTTCTATAATAAAAGTAGCATAAGTTACTCCTTATTAAATCAGCTACCTGCCAAAAAAAGTCCCGTCAAAATCGGTTCAGCCATTTCAGAGATTAGCCGGAACAAACAGACAGAGACAAAAATTGTAAAAAATGTTATTTTGGTGTATGTACACCGTATTTATATTCATACATGTAGTAAAAACCGATTATTTCAATATTACAAACAGACACTCCAATTTTATTTATATGTATAGATGACTTGTATGACTAAATACTTACATTACGTGTATGTTCTGCCCAATATAGCAGAGTTCCATGTGCGGCCTGCTTGGATAGGTCGATGGCTTTATTCAAATAGCTGTAACCTCGTTGTTTCTTGCCCCGAATGACATGATAGTATGCGAACAAAAGAAAATATCTAGCAACAAAAGAATAAAACTGTACCACAGATAATGCAAATTTCAATCGTACCATCTGTACAACCATCAGAACATCAATTATTTTACAAACAAGTAATTTCCTAATTCCTTTCCCTACTTAAACTTTCTTAAAAGGCCGGCAACACAATTAATTAAAAAAGAAAGGAACGTCCATTGTTAGACTTTCTATTGAGTGTTGTATAGAATTATCATAGAACTAGAAAATTATATCCTTATATGTGTGTACTGATTACAATGGCGTTGCGGCTGCTCAAGCAAAATTTATTAGTTTAAGTGGTTAGTAGTCACCACCAGCTGTGCCTGAAACTAGTTTGACTCTTATGCTTTAAAAAAAACAGTCCTGATAAGCTTATATTTTTCATAATTTCTTTATATGAACAGATTTATTCTAACCTTGGTCGATATATAGGAGCATGATCACATGCTTTGTTCATGTCATGAAACATTGATTTAATAGCCTTCTCCAACAACAATATTTTTTTTATGTTTCTGTTATTCATCTGTGAAATAAATCCAAGACGGTGTATATGATTTTACTTTCTCCTTTTTTGTGATAAAATATTGTTTATATCCTTCAATATTCGATATAATCAATTGTCACGTAAAATTATAATTATGGTATGGAAAATGATGATGTTACTATGGATTTTAGGTAATTAAGATTTATTTTAAGTAGGTAGTCAACACAATATAAGTATAATTAAATATTTAGGTAAGTTTATGTATACCTAAGTACCGAAAAAGAAATATTCGTTAGAATCAGTCATCAGGAATTTTATTCTGCGGCTGATACCAATAATACCGGAGTCCAAATCAGAAACTTAAGCGTTTATTATTGGCGCCATATAGAAGCACACTCTGTAACTATCTATATAAAAACATGTTACATTATTATGGCAAATATATATAATAATATACCAAAAAATTATAAAGTATTTACTATAAAATCTTTAAAGTTACCATATAAAAAATGATTAAAGTGTGCTATGTGTAATGTACAAGAATATTAGAACAACAAAATTTGTAGGTATACCGATTTGATAGAAAATATCATCATATTTTATGTACCTATTATCACAAAATAAGGAAATAAATATGAATATGATTTTCGTTACAAAGCAAAAGTGTATTAATTCAATCTGCATTGCATTCTTGTAATTGATTGATTTTACATATGAAAGCTAATTTTAAAATAAATCCTGTAAGGTTTGTTTTGTATAAAATTCTTACGGTGATAAAAAATCATATATGGTATAAAAACTCCTTTAATAAATTAATTCATGTAGAGCATTTCCTTTTGGCTTACATTCGCTAACAACATATACAATATTGCATGACATTTTTATATTTCAATTGTTACTATTTTATTGTTACCCACCTCGTTCACTAAAGTAATTATTAGACCTTCAACCAATCTGACAAGGATCATAATACTAATATCGTGTTTATCCATATTTGAAGCTCTTATTTTGTCCTCCCACAATATCGATCTTTCCCAAGCTCCGGCACGAATTGTTCTGTAAGAATAACTACAATTTTATCGAATTATTCTAATGCTATTGGCCGCAGTAAGCCGTTACAGCTTGACGGGAGCAGTGTTTGTATAGTTTACCATGGTCATTAATTCGTACCTACGAAATTAATAATGGTATGGTATGGTTAATATGGTTGACCATAATAATTATCAGTAGAAACTGTAAATTGAAAGGATAAGTAAATACGCCTAAGTAAGGAAACAATGTTAGTTGAAAGGATAAGTACTAGCAGATCTACTATTATAACTGGAAGTATGCAATTATCGCAGTCTAGTCATGCCAGGATTGACTTGTCATAAGGAATTATGTGCTTGCAATGGCAAATAGCCAAATAATGCATTTTTAAAATGTAAATTATAAAATTTAAACATAGAACATTGATATTGTATTGTTTTTATTTTTATTCAATTTTCACTTCTTAAACTTTCCGCAGCGTCACTATTAACTTAATTTTTTAATTCACTATTATAATAACATAAACAAAGCAATATTCCTCCAGCAAACAATAGGCATCTATCTGTTAGTAGCTCTTGAATTCGGCATCTCGTATGTATTCTCACAAAAATGTATCTGAATAAGCCAATCAGTTATCTAGTATCAAATATAGAAGCTGAGTTTACTTCGGGTATAGATAGCGCTGCGTTTGATGTGAGAGCTGTTAAGAGTTATAAGGGTTATTATATTTTATCAACTACATTCCTGGTCATACTAACTGGCTACTCTCAATTTTATAAGAATTAATAAATATATTATTAAAGAATTGACTCGTTGACAAAAAACAACCACCGCCCCGTTGAGTCTGGGACTAAACGGCGCTTCGTTAATTGTCCACCGATATTTATAGCTATGTTTATATATTAAATATATATATATATATAATAAACTCACATTAGCCACATGGCAACTAGGAAGTTCCACGCCGCCTCTGGAGTTTTGGATCTTAGTATGGCATCACCCTTCTTGATATAAAATTGTTCACAAGTGCTGTATGACTCCACGCAATAACCAGTGTCTAACAGGATAACGAGCGCGTAGAAATAGTACCAAGTTTCTGCTGCAGTCATAAATGAGAATAGATTACGGCTCTTCTTCTTAAGGGTCGGCAGCGCACAGGCGACATCCTTGGTGTCTTAGACATCCATAGGCTACGGTAACCGTTTACCATCAGATCAGGGCCGTACAATTTGTTTGCCACCATCGTAATACAAATACCTACAATAGCGCTGCAGTGACACACTGCTCTTACAGCTCATAGCGCGATATTAGCTTTTAAATTCTTCAATATTTGCACTCTGTATTATTTGAAAACTATGCTGAATACATTTTTATTAATGTTATTTTTATGTTTCTTTTCTTTTTAAAAGGTTATGTTTAAAAGAAGGTAATACTCACCCACATGGGCCTTATCTACCCAAGTGTGAGGGAGAGGTTGCGCTATAGATATGAAGATGTTATTATTGATTTTCTAGTATTATTATGTATTTTCTAGTAATGCGAAATTATTATTATTAATATATATAAGTGATCAACTATACTCACAGCTTAAATCATAATAGCCAGTCATATAAAAGAAATCCCGCATTATTGAGACCATGTCGTGAATACGGAGCTCTGAGAGTAGAAACTTGAGCATCCACAGTATCAACACTTGACGGGTGTTCAGATCAGTTTCGTTGGTCATAATTTGCATTACTGAAAACCCAAACTGAAGACTTTCTAGCTTCTTTCCATATTCCACGCTAAGTTAGAAAGAAAGTAAGAATTAAAATAACTGATACCCAAATTACAAGTCCCGGGAACTGCTCAGAGTTTCCCTCTCTGCCGTAAGATGAACCCGGAACCCGTACGGTGAATCCATGGAATGTTTAGAAGTTCGTTTCAATCGAGAATCGTAGCTCTATTGTAAGCAACGTACTGTAATCAGTCGACCTCCATACGGTGCTTCTTGGCATACATAATGATAATGGTGCATTATCTAGAAATCCTTCCTATTGACAAATGCCCAAAAATAACTAATCTTAATGTATTTATGTATTAAACAAAATTGTTAATAAAAAAATTATTTAAAAAACTTACTAAAATAAAAATATATTTGTGTACAGGTGGCATACAGCATGAATTTCAATTGCGTCTAATCCACGCTTGCGATAACATAGTTCCATAGCCCTTTTCTTTAGTTTCAAACATATTCTGAACTATAAAATAAATAGATAACATAGACAATGTACTGTCACGACTGCTTACTATTACTTGAATGACTGTTGGACATAGACAGAAGTACACAATCCACATTACTTATAATCACCTTCCCCTCTCTAGCTAGCTAGTTCTAATTCTAGTTGATTTTTTCTCATAGATTTTTTTTATACCACGTAGGTGGCAAACGGTGACCGTAGCCTATGGACGCCTGAAACACGAGGGCTGTCGCGTATGCGTTACCGACCCTTAAGAAATCTTAATATTATACAAAAGGTAGCCGTGAGCATCATGTCAAACATGATTCCATATAGGTATGTTATAGTAGTGAATATATTAATTTTTATTAATTTTTTAGAAATTCTGTAGATAGAGTTACCTTTTGTTTCTGCCGATACGTAGCTATTATATTCCCATAACTAAAACACAATAGGCGAAAGTTGGAATTCGTTCGCAGTGCATAATTCAATGACCATTTGGCTGCCAAATTTGCATTCGCCTTTTCACCACTTTCCTTGAAAATTAATGAATATTAAATAATGTTGTTTCACGTACGTTTAATACATAGATATTTTACATTTGAAATTCTACCAAATAATTTTCATTTTCTCATATAGTGTTAGTGTATATATATATATATTTATAATCATACAATCAAAGTAGTATTATGTTATGGTAACTCTAATTAAATAAATAAACTATTTAATAAAATGTTATATCACACTAAAGTTTGTTGACTGTATCTAAACGGGTCCTTATTTAGATACTACGGGATTTATTGATACCGTATAGTTCTAACAAAGTATAGGTACTATGTCCTAAACGGAAACAGCTGTTTTAAAGGTCAATTACACAAAAGTACATACATATATCTTTAAAGAAGAACAAAAACATAAATGACACAAAATTCAATTATTATCGTGCTCTGTATAATAGAACTCTGATAATTTGGTAGCAATTTATATACATACAAGATTGTACGAATGAAAATCTTACAGTAAATAATCTATAAAGCCTATTAAGCGTTTGGGCTATATTTTCGTAAAAATGTCCCACGAAACCAGAATTCCTTGCAACAAACAAATTCGGAAGAATGTATAGTGCTATGACTTGATTGACTGAAACCCGTAAATCACAAAATCTTACTGCGTGTCTGAAAGATTGCAAATACAATGATATAAGTATTCAAGTAAAAAACATAGCCTATTTATACGGAAAGGTAATTTTGTATGCTCAATAATAATAAGAATTTTTGATATCCGTCCAGTAGGTTTTGATTTTATTCGTTACAAAAATATGAATGGTTTTAGAATTAGTGTAGACTAGCAACCAGAATAACAATGTATAATAATAACCTTGGATAATTCACACAGCGTCATCTAGTCCCAAGATAATCAGAGCCTGTGTTATAGGTACTAGACAACTGATATAAATACCTAGATACTTACACGCAAATACATACATAATGTACAAGGAAAACATGCAGATCGTTATAAACAATCATACTCATAAATACATTTTTACACCGTGCGAAGAGCCGAACCCGCGACCGAAATAAAGCAGTCTAGTAAACCACGAGACAACCGATCAATAAGTAGACCATAACTTTTTGATTGTGAACAATTTGAAATTATAAATTAAGTTTGTTAGAATAAAAAAATAAAAATTACATTTAAATAGTTATTGAGCTGTTACTAACAAAATGGATCATTTTGTCTGAAAGTAAATTATTATTATTATTTATATGATTAAATAATATATGTTTTATATATCTCCCTTTTTACGGGAATAATACGTTCCAGCCTTAGCTTATTATTATTAAATAGCCTATTGTGATTTTACGAAGCACAAACGGACTGAAAGAATACTAAAATTCATATTTCGGCCTTGGTAATAACAGTAATAAATATAGTGTCAATTTGGAAAATTTCTAATACCTTGTTTGTTATTCTATAATATATAAGATTAATTGGTAACAAATCATATTTACTTTGAAGTCGGGAATGGATCACAATAAAGTTGCATTGCATACAATAGCTGTTTCCGTGCTTCGTTCATATCACCCGTTTCAAGTAAACAAACACCTCTCAATGAATATATATTCGCCAGACGATAATCCTTTACCCACTCTAATTTATCGTTCAACTGATTACTCTGCAATTGACATAACATATGTAGGTGTTGTTTAGTGTTTACCATCAGCGGGGCCGTATGCTTGTCCGCCATTCCAATGACAAAAAAAAGTAGTTAAATATTATTATTACTCTTATATAACAGGCTACTAGCATAAAAACTATTATAACAATATCGATTTCTAATGGTATTTGCATAGAACGAAACCTTTTTATGGAATGCGGAGGGAGGAATATTAAATTTGTCACATTTAAATTTATATGAAGTATGAGTACAGACGGATGTTATTTTTTATATTAATAATAATTATTTACAATGTACATATTAAATTAATAATAAGAATAGATTAGACACTACCACATGTTGCGCACGTGCCAACATGTATCGTCCCAACTGAAAATCAGCACTGGAAACTATGTTTCCAGCATTATGCTGAGTTGTAGTCCACACTGACTCTGTTTTTCTAATGTGTAAATAATTCTCGTACTTCTTATGTTATTACTGTATAAAACAAGTTAATAAATTCTATTCTATTCCTTGGTAATATAAGCTTCATAACATTAAGGTAAACATAAAATGCTAATGTATTGCAGCCTCTCTGCATTCACTAGTTTAGTACAAAATAATGTTACCTTAATAAATTCTTCTACTTCAAATAAAAGTCTAATGGCTTGTGGTATGTTTAAGTTAATAACACATAAATCAGCATATTCCATATAAGCCTCGTATAATTTCTCATATTCATCTGAAACATTACATAAGTATTTTACATATCATAAACTAATAATAGTGAAAACATTAAATACAGAATTATAAAGAAAACAATAATATAATATATTAACAAATCAATATAAATATAATAATAATCTAGTTCCAAATTGAGAATAAATTAATATTGTTGGACTATAATATTATAGTCTTACTGAATGTTAAATTATTTATGATCTAATTTCGACCACTGGGCGACCACTATTATTAAAATGTGTGGGTAACGACAATAAAAAATATTATGTATACCAGCACCACGACAATGATCTATCATCTGACAGTAGACCGCCAGCAGGATCGCCATACATTCACAGTTTCCAATTTCCAACGAAGAGAACGAACGAACAAGTTTATTATTGTGCATTAGCAGGTACTGATTTAAATTTCTTCTATCTGCCCATGTAATATATAAAAACTCAAATTAAATAATAGACCTAATAATGTAAAATTTATGTTTACATTTGAACACATTACATAAACAGTATATTTACTATGATATCGTGATGCATAATATTATCACGGTTCCCCCTAGAAACCAACGTTTTAAATTCCTGTTGAATTTACCACGACAGACTAATTGACCTCGCCTCTTCTTATAATACTCCATTGGTGCCCTGTCAACGTAAGCTATTCGTGCAATTGGGTGCATTATCCCATTATGATTAATTAAAAAATAAAATTACAGCAAAATTTTCATTTTTATAACATTCTAAATTGTAAACAACCATAAAAAAGGATAAATAGTTGTAGGTGATAGAATTAGTGGACTGTATATGTGATGTAAATCAAACAATGGATAGAAAATGGTAAATACTTATAATGAAGATATGTGTACAAACGGTTGTAAGACAAAAAGTGTCAATAAAAATATACGACAATTCTAAAAGAAAATACATTTAAAATCAATAGAAAAATAAAAGAGTTTGCAACAATAGTATTTAGGACAACACCAAAAGAGAAATAGATATTCGATGGAAAACCAAGCTCAAAATGGACAATTACGTTTAAAATTAGAATCATCAAAATAAATTCCTAATAACAAAGACGTACTGCAAAATACAGTATAATTCTCCTTTCTCCTCCTATTTAAAATCGATTGAAAATAGGCCGTGCATTTCGAAATGTCAAACATCACTTCCGATTGTGTCCATTCTATTATAGTAAGAAACACAATACCATAGAAATTTGAATGGGATTATATATTTTTTTATTTGGAAAGCAGATTCTTCACAAAAAAACGAGCAAGAAACTTGCATGCTGCTCTTTTAAATATATGTAGATCAGCATTACATGTTTAGGCTTCTGTGTGAATATACATTTAAAATAGTAAGAATATCCTTGTACTGTAGATAAATAAAATCTAACCCACCAGCAGGTTCTAGAAGATCATAACTGGATATCTGTTTCTGTTCGTTTGATATTTGTATCTGAAACGGAAATATGTACTTACAGTCTTTAGAGTTTCTAAAGTTCAGTAAGAATCTTGCTATCTCTGTGTATAATAATAGTATACATTATCACGTACTAGGTACCTCATGTAAAGAAGTAGGATCAGTCATAAACAAAGGTAGAGTCGACTGTTCCACTGATAGCTTCGCCTCTGCACTGAGAGCGCAAATTTGTGCACGAGTGCGTTTCAATTCCTCACTTTCAACCACTAAACCCTGTAATAAGAATAAATATCTTCAATTTTATATGCAATTATTTACATTGTTTTAAATCGAGTTCAGATTGAATTTGAGTCAACCCCTGACCAGGACATTGACATTGTAATAACGTCAAAATATTGCGCTCTTAAATAATATTATCCTGGTAGTTAAAACGCTTATAATGTATTGTGTACGATGCGGAATTATTGTTAGATATTGTGACTCGAGATGTTCATATTTCAAAAGCGTTAGCAATTTGAAAACATGTGATGCATCTGATGTTGCAAGAACCTACGAGTATATATAAATTGCAAACTCTATTTACCATTGCTTCTTGTAAAAAAAATAAAGATATCCAATTACCATTATTCATTTTGCATGTAAACACAAATGCAAAATAATGATATAAAGCAAAATAATAATAAATATAATTAGCTTACTTACTCACTTGGTAATTGAAAATACCTAATACCTTGCAATTTCGCAATTCTAGGAGAAATATTATATTAATATTAATATATTAAACAAGCTGTTTCCTCGACTTCATCTCCTTTATTTATACAAAATGTACGTTTTAATTGCCTCTTTATACAATTTATAATTATGTCATAATTTATTAAGAATCCCAATAAAATATGCCTTTTAATCTTCAAAATACAAACAAACAAACATAGTTTCACACTTGCAATATTATATGCATAGTAAATCATGGTGAATTCATACATCATCGGATCGTAGACCAAGTAGCTTGATGAAGCATCCAGCGCCGCATCCCTTGCACCTTCTTGTGTATCGCTCAAGGTACAAGAGTGCGCGCGCATGCATTTCATGCTAGACAAAACAGAAACAACAACATTTAACTAAGGGGAGGGGATTGTTATTAATAGGGATTTGTAACTATTGCTAGCAATGTGTCATATCAGGTCGATCTACATGCAGTCCCTCCTGGAAACCATCACGGTTAAATACTGTTTAATTTCTCACCATAGGCAGAATATCTGACTTCATACTCATCCTACCAACCTTCGCTAGTGCGACGCCAGCGTAAACAGTTAAATCAAGTAGGTGCACTTCCATTTTCACCAAAATAGTAAATTTATATAACTAAGTAATAATACATACATTCACATCAATACTGACGGATAAAACAAGTTATTTGGATATGACCTAGATTCGAGTTTTCGTTTTAATATTATAATATAATTTATCAACAATTCAACGCTATTTAGTCCCTAGTTAAGCAAAGTTTGTGGTATGGGTAGGTACTGGACAACTGATACAAATACATAGATTCATTTTATGCTCATGAATACAAATGTTGGAATCCTGTGAGCAATCGAACCCGCGATCATCGGAAGCAAGGTGATGTGCTAAACCGCTAGACCACCGAGGCCGGCGAGTTTATGTAATTCCTGTCACATTCTATTTTTTTTTAATATTAGCTTACCTTTTGGTTCTCCGTTAGTAACTCGTATGTTGTTGTTCTAAACAAAGTGTGTCTAAACTTCATATAACCGCAGAAAGCGTACATAGGGAGATCTTGACAATCCGCTAAAAGAGGAAAAACCATACTTATATATATTTATTGGCATTTCAAATCAATTTATATATAAGGGATTTGAGGCAAAGCACACAGCGCACTCTAGTCCCAAACTAAGCAATGCTTGAGTTATAGATACATGAATTTTTTTTTGTTATATATACATACAATACATACAAAGTGGCCAGTCTGACCGTGTTCTATAGGATATGTTTTGGCAAGTGTGCACAGGACCTGCATAATTTTAATCTGGCCTTCTCATTTTTACCACCGAACTACACGACGAACACTGGGACTTCATCCGTACGTCGTGGAAATTCCGAACATTCGCACTGAGCAGTTCGCATCGTCCTTCCTAATACGCACTGCCAAAGAGTGGAACACACTTCAGCTTTTGTGTTCCCGGAGAAATAAAACCCCGGATTCTTCAAGTCTATGGTGAATAGATATATTCTGGGTAAGCGCGCTACATCCAGATGATAGTAAACAAAAAAAAAACATATATTAAACACCCAGACCAATACAAACAATCATACTAACTAATACAAATGTTTGTACTGTGCGAGGAATTCAAGCTGCGACCATCGGATGTAAGGCGATGTGCTAAATCACTGGACGACGGAAAATGTTCAAATATGTAATGTAGACTCACGAGGTGATCTTATTCCTAGGCAAGCGCAGTAAGGATGCTTGGCATCCGGCATAGTGGGGGCAGGGTGTACCAGCACGGGAGAGGTGTCCCGGGTGAAATCACCGCCTTCGCACTCCAGAACACGGATCGAAAACAATTTCGATACAGCTTGGAAGAACAAACATATAACCATTAGCCGTTTTTTATGTAATTGAAATGGCAAACAAACTGACGGGCCAGCTGATGATAACTGGTAACCGTCGCCTTTTAATTTTCCATGTATTGTAGTTTTATTTTATTTGTGTAATAGGTAAAAGGAAAGCTACAGAAAAAGCCTTGGTATACAGAGATATATATTATATTATATTCTTTCTTTCTATTAGGATACTATTGACAAGACTTTATTGAAGAATAAAACAATACTATACTATAAAAGAACTATAAATTTAAACACAAATTTAGAATAAAAAATAAATTTCCTACTAGCCAGATACAACACCATGGATGACCAACTTCAGTGTGCGAATGTACATTGACCTATTCAGGTACTTATTGTACAGAAAATGAATATTTACACTTGTTTAAATAAAAACAAATTCGGGCTATTGTATAAGTAATAATAAATGATAGAAAAGAGATATGCTTTTAGGCGTTTAATACAGTAGTGCGCAGTGACGGAAGTGGCTATAAAACAATAGTCAAATTTAACACTTTTATGTTGTTTCAAATGTGGATGAAGTAATGTAGAAAACTACTAGTTAATCACTTAGTACGAATAACAGTAACAGTATAGTAATAATAATAATGACATCGTTAGACAATTCCCACAACGCCATCTATATATGTATAGTCCCAAGGTAAGCAGAACATATTTTATGTATACTCGACTACTAATATAAATACTTAGTAAGTTTTTTTAAAATCCATATATAATATACCTAGAAAACACGCAGACCGGTACAAATAATCATGCTCATGAATATAAATGTTTATTACCGGAATCGAACCTGCGACAATTGGAAGTAAAGTGGTGTGCTAAACCCCTAGACCATCAATATAGTGCCTTGTACTTATACTAATTATTGTGTTTCTATCAAGAAAATGTTATATAGAATGAATAACTATCAGCATCTACAGTGAGATTCATATAAGTCCTGCGACGTCTGTAAAACAAACATACTTATTCTATCGTTCTAATTATCATAAACATATTCAACCAGATCAGTGTATATTTTAAAAATATTAATTTACTTCTATTTTAAGATTTTTACCTTGGGCAACTTTTCTATTAGAATCGCTTTGAAGTAAATGTAAGAGCATACGTCGAGAGAAAACTTCTCCAAGTACCGAACCACATTTAAGTAACATCTTCTCAAAGGGTGTCAATGAATCATAAGTCTTCAGTATAACGGCTATAAAGACAAAAAGTATTCATTTATATATTTGTATAAATAATATAAATATGCGCCGTCGGTGGTCTAGCGATATAGCACACCGCTTTACCTCTGATGATCGCAGGTTCAATTCCTCGCACGGTACAAATATTTGTATTCATAATCATAATCATTGTTTGTATCGTTCTGAGTGTTATCTATGCATACTATGTACGTATTGACAAAAAAATGTAATATGTATTTATATCCGTTGCCTAGTACCCAAATCATAACAGATAATTCATTATTAAAACTAAAAATGTAGTACTTCATAATTTTAATAATTTTTTATCTTAGTAATAGTAATCTAATCTAGTTTAATATTAAATTCACTACTTGGATAAAAAATATAAATACATCTCCAAATACACTATTCAATAGCTGACAAAAAATAAACATGAAAATGCAATACAATTAGCAAAATAATTAATTTATTGTCTGGAAAGAAAGAAACGAATTCGAAACATAGGATTTCAATATTACACATATGTAATATTGAAATCCTGTTTCGAATTCGTGGCACAACCTACAGCTAGTGCCTTTTAGGAAATATCTGAAAGAAAGCGCAACCTAAAGGAGAGATCTCTGTTGAAAATGAAACCTTCTTGTTAATACTCTTTTTGTAACCATGTATTAAACGTTCCTATTACTGCTCTTCTGTTGTTTTGTCATTGTAATTGATCTTTCCACAATATACGGAAGCAAATTATTTTCATTTATCCACTATTACCTAGTTTTATTATAATAACCAACTGAGAAATCCATAATACTCCCCAACAGCTCTCTCTATGAGATATGATAAGATATGTTACCGTCCATAGATATGTCCGTCTTCAAATCATCGAAGCAGTTCGATTCTGCCAAAACTGCTAGTTGTAATGTATCACCATCATGGACCGTGTGCTGGCTGTCATCTAGTCGACTTACCACACTCATGCTAAGGATGCTGTACATACTCTAGAAATTTAAGATATCTACGTGTTCATACACGATACATTTGACGGCATTAAACGTAATATTGACAGCCACGGTGAGCGGTTTAGTACGCCGCTTTACTTCCTATAGTCGTGGGTTCGATTCCTCGTAGGGTATTCATGAATATTTATGATAGTTTATATCGGCCTGGGTATTTTCTATGTATATTCTGTATGTATTCACAAAAAATATATATCTAAGTATTTATATCAGTAGTTTAGTACCAATAACACAAGCTCTGGTTACCTTGGGACTAGATGGTCTTATGTGAATTCTTCAGGGATTATTATTATGCACATACACAGTGGAATAAAAGTCAAAGTTTCGTTTTCTTCACCCTGGAAACTATCTTGATAAGTATGTGAAGTATGTGTATCGGGAATGTGTCACGATAGGCTAATTTATGTCAGCACATGTACATCTTCTCATCCTACACTGGTGGCCCGCATGCGTATACCGTTACCGCAGACGGGTGCTACACTCCATCATCATCATTCATTAAAAATAAAATACGACTATATACAACGCTTCCATGAAGACTACTTACTTGATAACTTGACCGATTTGGAAACAGATCAGGCTGTATATTTATATCAGCTTCGGACCTTTGCAGTAAGGTAGGACTTGGAATTATAGCGCCTGACTCGACGGCTTCGGCTCGGGGTACCGTGACCACTGTCAATACTCCACGTTGAATTAGCGAAATTACGAAGTTCTGTATCCATCCAGGCATACCACCGCTGGCGCTTTCAATTATCCTAATAAAACGATTCTACTATTATATACAATGAGCGAATGAATTTCAATAAAGAAATGACCGATATTTTTCCTTACTTATTCTGAGCGACTTTTATGAAAAGTAAAGAAACTCTCAATTTTATTTTTCAGAAGAAACCTATAATTATTTTAATAAGAATCTTGAAAAACTAGATTGCGGCGATTATAGATTTCATTACCAGAGCTGCAACCGCTTACAAAAATAATAATAATGTACCATCACTACTATTATCTTAGATGGGATAGTCACAAGCATTATCAAATGTAGACGTGTTTAATGCCACACATTTCGCTGGACACTTGAATCTAACGTGCCAGGAACAAACGTACCGCTGTCAGGCAATTCAATTCTGGTTTCTTATTGGTGTTTTAATGTAATCATACTATATATGAGAATTAACCATAAATATAAATTGACAAAGTTTTTCTTGGAGATTAGAACTCATAGCTTTTCAGTGTAAGTAACCGCTGAGCTACAACGCTCTCAAGTATGAAATATTACCGTCTATTAGGAAAACCCAATAGAGAGTAATATCTCTACCTCACTATTGGGAAATTTATAAAATACCATCATTGTAATAACTCCACTTTTTTTTATAAAAGTCAAAGTCATGTATGGGAATGACCATCATAGCATTCAGTATTATGTCAATTATAATTATCATGACAAACTGTATGCATATCTATTAATGCAGTTGAAAAGCACCGAGATTATAAGAAAAGAATCATACGTTCCATTGTCCTGCGTATATTTACATTTCGATACTGTAACTTACTTTACCAAATCAGCAGGTATGGCTTGTACATCTAACAGTTGGCAGGCCAGCGCAGCGTGGTACCACCGATCAATTCCATTAAGTCTCATATTGACTATCATATTACTTTTCAAGCAATTACGTGCAACTTCTAGATAAAAAATTAAAACCAAGTAATATGTAAAATTGGTACGAACTGATGAAAAAAATCAATATAAATGTACCATAACATTTCTCGCCAAATCAATTGCCGTTGATTGAAATTTACTATTTACAGAAACGAAAACTATTTACAATCCAACAAATGCATGTACGTCATACCTACTTAGTCAAACCAAATAGAATTGGTGGTGTTAGACTGCCTATCGAACCGCCAATTCCAATTTGGTAATCCAATAACAATAATACATTACATTAATTTATGACAGATTATAAAATACTTAGACCGTTCTAGACGCATAATATTAGTCCTCTAGAATAGCAACACATGGGTGGTATCATGCATGATTTACAGAGTGCATTTAGGAGACGGTTAGTCAGGTCAGGATAGCGCACAGGGTTAGTTTGTTTCCCATTACAATTACATTACTAGTTATGCCACGCTGGTTTGGGTTGACTGATACAAATAACTCTTAGAGATATGTCCACCTTTGTTAACATTAAATCTAATTAAGATTGTTACTGTATTTCAAAGCTAAATAAAGAATAAATATTAAAAATAACTACTTTTAAAAATATATAATTTATTTTTTACCAGATAATTGTTTTTCATTTGTTATAGACATAAGAATAAATATCATCTTTGATTCCAGAATCAATAATAGCATGCACCATGACTCGTCATCTGTATACTGTGCCTCCAGTATTGCCGCTACCCATAGATTGGTGAAATTCTAAAGTTTTAAAGATAGACTTTGTAGAAAGTAAACTGGCATGGTCACCTCTATCTTGTCTATTTCAGCCAGCCGCAAAGCAATTCCAAAATCTGTATTTCAGTCAGAGTTAGAGTTTCAGTTATCTTCATGGCCAACATGGCCATGAAGTTACAGGACATGAACGAATTATAATGTAATTTATATGTATTTAGTAATACTTATACCATAACCTAGAAAACTTTTATTATTAATCACTAATTATTATTATGCCTCGATCAGACTCACTCCTTTTCATCCTAAGGTTGCCTAGAAGAGGTCGCTATTTAGCAATACGGCCGCCTATTGTTACCTTTGTCTTATAATTCTATATTCTTATATACTTATACATAAAAAAATACATATATGTACCTATATAAAAATACATATATACGTATATATGTTTACTTACCTATACCTACATTCATTCATCCAATAACAGCTTTGGATGGTATCAGACTATCTCCGAAATACTAACGCTTGATGACTATGGGTGTAACATGATTATGACGTGATAACATGATTTTCCATGGCTTTATTCATGTATTACATAAAAAAATATCAATTTATAACATCCTCAAAAACAGAAACTAAATATTGAATTATTAAAACTTAACATATTTGAAGAAATCGATCAACAATTGCCTGACGCTATAGTTCTTGAGAAAATCTCCATCATAAGAAAACTGTTCAGGAAGAGGAAACCGACAGTCGAAAATAACATTGATAGCATGTATTTGCACGGGTTTTAAAGATGCCGTATCCATGCTGGAAATAAAAATAATTTAATGTAAATTTATCGAGAATCTACCTAAATGACTAGTTAGTCTATCGGTTTAGCACATAGCATTAGATCCGATGGCCGCCGATTCTATTCTTCGCACCATGCAAACAATCGTATTTATTAATATAATAATAATAGTTTGTGTTGGTCTGAGCATGTTATCTATGTATATACAAAAAAAAAAATTTATACATTTTTATAAATGTCAATTGTTTAGTTGTACAATGGGATACCTCATTGTACAACCCCTTTGTTTTGAACAAGACGAAGTTGTGAATTATACTGAGTAATAATTATTATTAAATACTAAATAATCAACACTACGATAACCAAATGATAGTCTGAGAAAAAAATACTAACATACCTGTATCTAATCATATTTTCAAAATTTTCACGATCCGATCGTAAATTCCAGTTGTGGAAGCCCTTTGACATAATTTTTCTAAAGATAGCATAAGGTGCCTAAAACAATCATGACATTCTTGCAATTTTATATAACGACTACCATGCATACATAACGTCTATCTGATAGCACCATTTCGCCTAAATTATTAAACATATTTCATATCGCTCGGTAATTTAACTGTTACGGAAGTAGTATTTTATATTGGTACATCTTTTTATGGATCATAATGGAATTATACAATCGCCTGCCCTAATGGTTCATGCTGGTGGGGCACCGGTGGAGAACGATAAGATGAGCATGAAGTCAAGTCAGTTGGCCCATTTAAACGAATGGCTATTTACCACGATGGTGTCAAAGGGGTAACTGCGTGGAGAGCAACCTGACATAGTACACAGCAATAGGCTTATTAGTCTACATTACTAACAATCCCATTCCTCACTTAAGAACTAGTAGTTTAGTAATACTGCTGTCCACCAAAATTTACCTTATTTTCCTCTGTCAAAACTATTTTCTCCTTATGAATATAGTGTGGAGTAATATGAAGACATTCTTCTAATAGACGCGTTTTACCCACCATACTAGGGCCCTGCTCAAAAAGAAATGAATGGAATGTGAACACATAGCGAAAAGGTTATACAAATATTACTTACAGCCAAGACTATAAGAGGCCGTAAAAGGTATACTAATGTACTTCTTATACTGTGAATACACCAAACAAGTATATAGCCCGCCGCGTGATAGTAAGTACTTACCTACTTAGCTACTGCACTAATTAATCATAAAGTTTACAAGAATGAAGAAGAACTATTAGAGTTATTTTAAGAAAATAACACTCTGGCAGTATTAACAATAATAATATATCCCTGGACAATTCACACAAAGCCATCTGGTCTAAGCAGCTAAGCAGAGCTTGTGTTTTGGGTACTAAACAACTGGTATACATAGATATTTTTTTTTGTAAATACATAGAAAATACCCAGACCGATACAATCATAATCATGAAAACTTAATCGTAAAGACGTTTGTACCGTGCGAGGAAACAAACTCGTGACCATCGAAAGCAAATTGGTGTGCTAAACAACTGGACCACCGAGGCCAATATTATAAGTATAGTATAGTACTAAATATAGTCTTCAGGATCATTTATTGCAATATGAATAGTCAACGGCGCAGAATACGCACATCTCCTTTTTAGAAGTCGCTTGAAAGTAAATCTTAACTCACTATGAAAGCAATAGCATATTTATGGTCCCCATAACGTGTGAACTTCTGATTTTGTTGGTTGACCGCGTTCTGTATTGTCATCTTGTACTTGCGCAGTTCCTCATTCCGCCCTAGGAGTGGGTGTCGCCAACCATTAAGGCGCTCCGGCCAACTGAACATAAAATTTGCGTATTCAACTTTTTTTGTTAATTAGTCTGTCTTATTTATTAGTCTTATCTGTGCTTATTCTAACCAATTGCTTTGAGTGCTATGCGGCGCCAAGTCGCCACTGCATATAATAGCATGAAACAAGCAATACAGTATAGCGATGCGTCGCCATAAACAAGTAATAATGCGAGAATGTTTGACGTCTACCAAGTATCCCGCGACGATTCACATTTTTCTGTAATAATTTATTATGGATTTGAGACTATTCATTATACCTAATTAGAATGGATTAAAAAAAAAACACGAACTCATTTTTTTAGAATTTAATCAATATTGCAGAATGTTGTGATATTTTATAATATGAGTAATGGGAGAGAAATCTCACCCAAATTTATTGAATTCATAAATAGGTCCTGGCTTAGGGATCCCTTTCAAATACTTCTGCTCCACCAGCCTGAAGTATTCCTGGGCCAGTTTGCTCCGCAGAAAAGTTTCCTTATCGCAGGTTGTTCTCATAGGATACGCCATCATCAGGCGTGCTGCCTATATATTATTGCTAGTTATATATACGTATATACAGAGTAATTTGTAGATAATTTTAATAGCAAACAAGCTAAGGTAGGTAAAACATCGCCTATATACACGACCCGCTCCACTGGATATCCGGTTTGGTACCCCGTTACCCATTGCCATTGCATACAGGTGTTTTCCTCTCTATTTTTATTATTAGGAAAAAAATTGTAATATTCGAAATACTACTAAATTCTTACAAATTGAAAACAATAATAGGTATTTTCATGTATTTTTTTCCATACAGTTTCATTCTTTATCTAAATATATCACGAGTGAGTGCCGCGCCATTTGCTATAGCCTCTCTACACGATTTACATGTAACAGTCTTTACATCCACCTATAAATAAAATTACATACGTACTTATGTACCTAGTACCTATAAATATAATGTGTATTTAACAATTTGTTAGACCCGTATTAAAATTTACGGTCCACCAATGAGAGTTTTTTTCAACATTCTCGATTTAGACTAAATTTAAAAGACAATGTCGAGTAAAATGTTGTATGTACTCACCTTATTAACTGCTGTACCAATAACAGTATATTCTCTACGTAGAACATGACCAACAACTCCGCAATAAGTCGTACCTTCGAAAGGAAATAGAATATTGTCACGACACCAATCCCAGATAAAGTAAGTAGGCTGGTGCCAAGGTTTTTAATTAATAATAATAATTTTTAATTATAAAATCTGCCGAGGACGAGACTTTATAATTACATATTTTAAATATTAAAAAGAGTACCTCGTCCTATATAATTAATTGTAAAGCCATCTTCGTAGGCTTCGTGTGTCTCATCTTTTTTACCTACAAACAATTTACACTCTAAACGACACCACCAAACTGGGGTCCCATCTACGAAGACTACACATGAAGACGTGATGTCTGTGATGTACATACATACATACACATATGTACATATGCATTCCAGTGACAAAAAATCTATAGCTACGTATTTAGTACCAACCTGATGTAACACCAATAGAAATGTTTATAATATTAGGATCATCCAACTTCTCTCTGAGTTGGTGAGCGAACAAGAGGGCATTTTGGGCCTCGTCCTCATGTTTCAGTCCACGCAAGCCAAATACCACCAAAAACATCATATCTTTGTCAAACATCGACACTTTGTTTACTAGGCCATCTAATTCCGACGTCACGCTAAGAGAATGGGAAAAATATTATCAATTCTGGCAACTTAAGCTGGCTGTTGGTATGGTATGGTAGAAGGGTGCAAATTTAAGGTTATATCTATTTTTTATGCGGATTCATAAAAAAATATATTTAAGAATTTGTCCGTAAATAAAAAAAGTTGGTATGGACTACCGTTATCACTTAGGGGTATGAAATGTGGTATACGTCCAATTGTCATACTTACTGAATAGTGTATGCATTCAGTAGGTCTGAGAATAGGACGTTAACAATTTTATATGAATCGTCAATTTCGGAGGAGCTTTGTTCTGAACGCGATAATTTTATATTATCTATATTTAAGATTTCTTCATTCCTAACTCAGTGCTCCTTACACGCTTTTTACTGCAGAGAGATAAATAAGAGAAGGGCTGGTAGCTAGTATACTAAATATATGCACAAAACCCGCCGAAATTGCAGAATATCCTGACCTGCAGACACACTTGTACGCGGTGTCGACAATACTAATAAGCACATCTTCGGTGACGGTTTTTGTGACGATGTTGAGGAACACGACCACCACACGACGGACCTCCGTGAGGAAGTCCATCGGCTCATCGTTATCTACCGCCCGTAGTACTGGCGTCACCATGAATGGCCGTAGCGAAGGCCACCATGAGCTGTCCATGGCCGACAATACTGCTGGTCGTACTATAATTCATTATTTTTTATTTATAAATTATTTCAATAAATAGAATATAAAATTCACTGAACATTATTTAAAATTCTCTAGCAGTATTCAGCCAAATCTATGAATATTTATTATAGTCTATTTTAAATTTAATTTGTAGGTACATGAGCTTATATATTTTGATTATTTATATAATTAGGTATATATTGCATGTATATTAGTATGTTTATATATTATACTTGCATATATTTCTATAAATATTATTTTTCTTTATTTAACTGGTAGAGTATGCATTAAGTCTGCCATGTATACAATTTTTGTATGCAAAAGAATAAATAAATATATTGAGATTAATTTTCATTATTCATAAAAAATATTTCTGTACGACTGTTACCGCACATAGGTAATCAAAGATAAATTGTTGTCGTGGGGATACGCAACATGTGACGCAATACAGTTATCGTATACAAATATACGAACTAGTCATAATAACTATAAAAGAAAAAATTACATGAATATTCTCTATAATTTATTTCGGTGAAACCTTTATTGCCGAAACTCGGTAAATTTGCATATATTGGTGATTCTGGAGCTGCGGAATAAATAAAATTATTCAATTCAAAGTCTAAAATTAGGTAGAATGGTCACGAAAATGTTTTAATTAGTTATTTATTAATTTTTCATACTATCCAATCCATAATAATCCAATTGATTATGTGACCGCGCAGTTTGCTTTTTTAGGAAAGATTTTTTGTTCACTATAAAAAATGCTTTTGCTAGCGTTTTCTTTACGACTAATCCTGTATAATAAAATCAATATATCTATAACTATAAATAGAATTAATAGGCATGTAGATACCTATAGTAGATAGTTACGTTTTAGTTATAAGACTAATTTATACTAAAAATTGCCTCTAGGTGTTAAATACACCATGTGCACCTCTATTTGTATCTATATTGCAGTTAAATATAAATATCTAAAAAAATTTTGTTGCTACCATCACATTTAGAACTTGTATGTAAGTACACAGGAATTAGACAATTATATTTACCCCTTTGCGAAGCTAGCGATCCGTGAAATTTTTCAACTCTTTTCCAATTGACGCCCACACCCAAAACCTAAAATACGACAATGACAACTTCATTATTCTATATCTTGCCAACTTATGAACCTATGTAGTTATGTTCAGATAACATCCTATAACCAGTACCGGTTATGGGCCCAGCGCACTCACGCCTGTTTGAATATAAAACAACAAAAAAAAGAGATTTTTAATTTATTTTTTAGTTTGTACAAAGTCTGAAGTGAATAAAAGATTTGTCATTTGTGTTGGTTTTTTAAAACCTAAAACTAAGCACGAAAGTAATGTATGGGATCCTTGAAAGGATTTCCTGCAGGACTCGCCTTAATCTATTATACTACTATATATATTCTACAATAATCCGCAATTATTCTCTGCACCCCTATAGTTGATTGTTAGAAAATGCCGCATGGTATTAAGTCCGCCAAATGTACTGTACTTTTGTATTGAGTACATTGAAGATAAATAAATAATCCGGGACTACCAATGAGGCATATGTACCTTAGTATGCCTTCCATCGCCACAAGGCTGTGTGCAGTACTCAGCCTCATTCACATAAATCCAAGCGCTGGCTGAGGTCAGCACATCGCCGGCTGTACTCATGTATTCAGCCATTTTGACATCCCACACAGGTTGGCCGACAATAACATAATGCGACGAATCATTACCTCCGCCAATTATTGAGAAGTGAGAGCGACCGGCTGAGATTGCTACTTTTACTGTGAAATGTGGAGGTAAGGGGGTTGTTAGTAAAGAGGACTAGTGACGCATTAGTAATTTTTAAATTTTCGTGTTTAATTTTATATATTATTAATATTTTTAATCGGGTCAAAACACGAGTTTTGACAAATTTGCTATGCCGGCGTCGTGAGTTCTGGAATAACACTATGTCGTGATAATAACATAAAGGATGAGAGAGGTAAATATGTACCTTTATTTATAATAAATAATTCGTGTTAAAACCTGGTTAACAATAAGAATAATGACCGCATTGCTAGCTTGCTGCACCCGGAAACTAACATGATAAATTCCTGGAGAATTTGTCGCGATGGGCTAACTAACCTGAACTAAATTACAGTCATCCTCATAGAACAGTGTACACCATATGCTGTAATGTACATAAGCAGGTGCACCATTTCATTAAAAAGAACAGTGAGATATTAGGTTGATTATACGCTGAATTAGACCATAATGGCGAATGTACTGTAAATATTTTTTATTAATAGGTAGGTATATTACCTACCTATTAATAAAAAATATTTACGAATTCATAAAAAAATGTAGATCCGGGGCTGACCCCACAAGCTCTGTTTAGCTTGGGTCCAGATGGCGTCGTGTGAATTGTTCATACTTATTATTACAATTTTAGTGTCGTGTATACGCAAACTAACCCTTTAACACTACGCCCACATCAGTCATATACGTGCCGTAATTTTTCTGAATAATAAGAGCACAATCGATCGCAGTGTGCACTACGTCTTGCATACTTAGTCTAGGGGTTTTCTTCCACATAGACAAGAAGGCATCGCCCGAAAATTTCAAAACATCGCCATTGTGCATCAATATTTCTTGGACCATAGCACCGATGTACGAGTTGAGGACTTGTGTAAGCCGAGATGGACCACCGCGGCCAGGTTTTGTATAATTCTCGCATAGGTCCGTAAAACCTATAATTTTTAAAAATGTGGCTTCATTTATTTGTCCAAATCAAATAAAATCTGGCTTAAAGAAAAGAAATTCAAAAGTCCTCTTCTATTAAATCTACGTACTGAACTGGACGATGGGGAAAAAATATTTATACAAATAATTTGACATTCATAAGCGGCCCAAATATTCTACATAAATAAATGATTTTAGATTTGATTTACCTATATTTTATTTTTTATGATTTACAAAACATTTATCTGATATATAGCTGATGTACCTATCTACTAACATTCCCAGAATACGGTATGTATCAGTCGAGACTTATACTGATTTATATATGTATACTCACCAGAAATGTCAATAAACATAAGTGCTGTGTCGTAACTCCTCACGGTGTAATCCGAATGTTTATATATAATTTCGTCAGGCACCATTGAAACTATAGTGCTCACTCTAGTTGCCTGTTGGATTGTCATCCAATTGCCTGTCGCACTCTTCATTCTGAATAATTTGCAGAAAGGTACTAAATGATTATACGCATGAACTTACAGTAGGTATTGTATACGGACTAACAGGTAAGATAATATTGTTACTGATGAGAACTAGTGGCTACGTTGCTGGTAATATATTATATCTTATCAACTTCCACGGTCCCCCTTGGAAACAGTCTTACTTAATTCCTCAAAAATTACCCACGTTGTAAATGACCCGACTTCATGCTTATATCATTCCCACTAGTAGGTATGCTAGCAAATACTATTAACGCTGATGTACATCTCCATATTCATACATAACAATAAATACATACCTACTATAAATATGATAAGGTACTAAAGGTACCAAAGTATTTATAGTTTTTGACTTGATTTGTAATTTAACTTTGTAACTGTAAATCTACCGAGTAGCAGCTTGTTGTGGAAGTTGTTTTGTTTGGTTGGTTGTGGGATGAGGCACTGAAATTACAATATAAGAGAGATAACATTGTAGTCCTCCGGAATGGCAACTAATGAGTGGTAACACGGGTACTAATATAACGTCGCCTGTAGTTTTGTTTATGTACATATATAGGCGCCGGTTATCACTTAACATCAGGTCAGCCATCAGCTTGTTTGCAATTTCAATCGCATAAAAAATATAGCATCGCATTATTTGTACATTATGTGCCATTATCTATTTGCTTATTAATAACTGGTATTATTGTATAATTACGGAATAATACCGTACATTGCTTGGTTAATACTCTCTCTGTTCCGATGGCGTTCTCTGGGCGTCATCATTTCTATAGACGTTACATTACGACTGCTTTGCTGGTGAACCCTCTTCATAGCAATTAAGTATTCATCGCAGCACTCCTCGCTTCTTGCTGAATGATCTGATTATTACAGGTGTACATAATTTTTATATTGTATGAAGCACAGTGACAGTACTTTAACTATTTAACCGACTTTGAACGAAAAGTTCGTGAGCTCAAATTTGCGCAACACAAAATAACAGCGAAGTGTCTCATCACACACCGGTGATGGAAAGGGATAAGATACCAAATTAAACTGAGAGACGGTGAAAGGGTAGGTCTCAACGTAATGTCAATAGTTGACAACGCCTGACTGCCTTTTATACATATTTATATATTATGTACCTATATATAACATATAACCCACTTATATACATACTATGAGACCGTCATCAGCATTACGGTGTAGGCCAAATGAGAGTACCCCTTTAATAACAACGCCATGGCGGTGCTAACTTAATGAGTTTTGTATATACTAAGAAATACAAAAAAAATAATTTTCAAAAAGTGAAGAATTTCCGAAACTGTGCAGTAATTCAGAAGTTTACTTTCCTCATAGCTAAATGAATATGTAATAAAATAATATCTTATTAATATTTGTACCGAGTGTAATATTTTTATCGAGCATCTTTATAACATTGGTAAAATACAAATTCTAAAACTGCATTCAACACCTGAAGTTCTAAAGCAATTACGTTGTATGAATAGGTAAATAGAAATATTTACCAAGATGAAGCAAGCTGCTTTTCTTTCTTTCTGGTTTCTTATTGTTATTAGCCATTAACTTGAATTAGATGTAATTACTTCTAAAATATTGTTATCGGGTATAATTAGGTGTTTTATTATTATTATTTGTGTGAATTAATCAGAAGAATAATATAAGTATGTAGACTTGACTTTCAAGACAAATGTACACTTTTTTAAGTTCTTCATTAATGTGTTTTTTGGTCAATAACTAATATTTCTTTGTTTGCATAAAGATATATTCCATTGAGTTTCTTTTGATCGCTTCTGTCAGTTCACCATAGATTATTTTAATAACTGTTTTTATATTTCAAAAATATTTTAGTTACTGCTTGGTAGAAGTAAGTAAATACTGCGTAATTAGAGCGCTGTTGCTTAGCTAATGTTACAATAAAAATTATAATTTGTATATTTTTTATTATTATATAGAAATGACAAAATCCAATATTCCAAAAAAGAACGACAAGCGAATTCATACATTACGTAGTACGAATGAAGAATCTCTTTTAATAAACTCGGTTATTCTGCAACTTAGAAAGTATATATGAACAATTTATGCTTTCTAATATTTATAAAGCGGAAATAAATATAATAATAGATATACTTATTATACCTACTACTTTTTATATACAGTAAAGTATGAGAGGGAGGGATCGGATAAAAATAAGTTTTAATAAATAAATAAATAATTTATTAAACAGGTACATAATAAGTCTATCTTATTATAAATGGTGCGTTACAATATCAAAGAGATGTAGCAATACAGGATCTCCCAAAACTGGAAAACAAAAAATAAGTTCAAATTCACCTACCTTTGTCTATATAGTGGCGACATTAGGACGCACAAATAAAAAAATATTTTTCCTTAATCAAAATGGATTTTACGACACTATAAATAATTATATATGTATATAAAATATTTATGAATACAATTAGGAAAGGTTATACTGATAATGTAATACTCCTTTCTAATTCATCATTACTAAATGGAAACATTCTTTTTAAAACTACGTAGGTGGCAAACAAGCATACGGCCCAGCTGATGGTAAACGGTTACCGTAGCCTATGAATGCTTGAAATATATTTTACCAGAAAAAAAGCATTAGCAAGGCCACCAAATTTGGCGTGACATCATCATTTATAGGCCTAAATTAATTTTTACCCGCAGGATAGGTCTTGTCCCGCTTTCGAGGATTAGTTGACGGTTCATCGCACGGCGGGATGGCTGCTGGCTGGTTGGCTGGTGCGAAGGAAATGGAATACTGCGCGCGAGTAGTATTAAGAATGGGTCCTTGAGTTTTTAGGCCGTTTGGCCCTATTACACTGTAACAGTGCCAATTACCTTACATACGTTTATATGTCCCGTGTTTTAACTGAAATAGTAACTAATACCCGCTTTACCTGAAAAAAAAATGGCATTCAAGTCCCACATGCGTGCATCAACTCATTGCAGTTTCCACGCGAGACAGTCCCGACTGACCGGCACGTGTCAATTAACTCATTCCTTGAGATTGGCAGTAAAATCTAGGGTGCATACAACGTAAGGAGTAAACATGTTGAAATTATAACAAAATTACTCTTACCTAATTCATGTCGACAATATTCTTTAGTTTTTTACTATTAAATTGTTTAATGAAATTTGACATGATAGTGTTAACAAGGGCAGACATAAGGCTATCTTAAAATATAATCTGAAATAAAGGATGAAAGTTTGTCCAGACATGGTCGCGGATAACTAGTTATTTATAAATGTGTAAAAATTATGAGGCCAAGTGTTCTTCTCCTACTTTTACCAAAGTAGACAAATAGAGTGTATTCTAAGTCATCAGCGTGGATCTATCTCACCTGTTTCTGGCGGCAAGCAATTTGTTTCGGTTGAAGGGTACATATACACATATGGTAGTAAAATTACAGGGTATGACACCGCCCTCAGGGCGTAACATGATCACGTGACATCCGTAGTATTGTTCAGGTATCTAGCATACGGGGACAAGTAGTCATCACTTACCATCAGGTAGGCTGACGAAGTTGAAGTTTCGGTGATATTTGATCTATAGATATAAATACTTATATATCTAGACTCTACTTACGCTCATATTGGTAAAATTAGAATCCTTGTAAAAGACGAAGTCGGTAAACCACAACGTAATCACATATTGACATTATTTAAAAAATAAAAAATTATTAAATTCTATCAATGTTCGTATTCTCAAACTGTTGAGCCTGTATGACTTTTATGTTTATAAATCAACCGATTATGTTAAGCTGTTATTTACTTTTTGAAAAGATGTTAAATAGAATAGTATATAAGTGAAGAAAATATAAATACTTTTGAACACATAGTCAATACCAACAACACAACTCATTCACTGCATGAAATTTAAAAAAAATATTAACCACACATACACTCACACACATAATAAGTGGTCAGTATACATATATACATATCACATAAATAACAAGCACTATTAACTAAATCCTTAAAACAGGAATACATTAACTTGAAAGTTAAACAAGTGTTTCATTTCCCAGCCCAGCAATACACTAATTTGGTGTCACAGACTTGAGCCACTGTTCATCATACACATTACATATCCACTAGGTTAAAAAAACTACATCATCATAGGAAATATTCTATTTACAAGTACACACTCACTACACATCACCTAACACTAAAATACACTTCTTAATTGTACACTGTGAACTCTGAATAATCATAATAAATATACACTTAGGCAATTTAAAGAAATTATTCTTATAATCAGCAGATCTATTCAAATTATATTATCCATATATATTATGGAGTTAGGCACAACACTTGCACAAATTAGTGTAAGTACATCACTTAACTAATTTTACAGTCACCCACATCACTATGCACATGTCATATTAGTTTTGAAATAATCTGTAAACAATAAGAAATGTTAAAGAAACTTATGCTAATTATATAACTAACAATTAATAAATTTAATAAGACTGATTTATGCTGCACCACCTCTTACTACTACTATAACCAAGTGGTCCTCCTTCAAGCTTTCTTCAGTCAAGTTGTGGCAAGTTCGTTTCAACAATTCGGTTGAAAATTCACATGGAGGGAATGAGTATAGGACTCCTGTTGCCTCTGTCTCTTTGTTCAACAGAGATATGACTCCAGCTGCTTCTTTTTGCTTCATGTACGACACTAAATTCTTCATAGGTCTGGTTTGAATGCTTGCATCCTCATTTGTAATAGATGCAGTTGAGCCAGCCACCCCTAAGAATATTGCATGTGATGTTGATGTAGCTATACGCTTCTGTACATCATCCAGCTTGGGTTGGTCAAGTCGCAATCTCTGTGTAATTCTTAATTGGTTCTTACCATCCTCATCTTTCATGAGACTGTCAATAATTTCTGAATCACCATCTGTCAAATGGAATTTGGTAGGGAATATGGAGTTTTTAAGAATTAATGCCCCATTCCATACTGTTGTGGCTTTGCGCACAACTTCTGGAAGTGTTCTAGCAGAGGCCAACATTCCACCATTTCTCCTCTGTGACCCATCAGAATCACTATCAGGAGACCGGCGACGTGGTGATCTAGACTGTGATCTGTCTACTCCTGGCTCTCTAGATCCAGAACGGCGTGCACGGGCTCCATATTCATTATCAACAGGTGGCCTCCTCCATTCTTCATCACGGTACTCAGCAGTTCCATGATACATACCTCTGTACATGCCACGTCCACGACCCCTGTGGCCACCCCTGCCCCTATAACCAGGTGCGCCATAACTATAACCATCTTCCCATGTGCCCTCGTACCCTTCATAACCCTCAACGGGCCTACCATCTTCACCTACAGGTGGTGCATAAGACTTGGGTTTAAAAGGTGGTGCATTTCCTACATAAGCAAAGTCAATACGAAGACGTCTGTCAGGCCCACCAAGGGCAAAACCTCTCATTTCTTTAACAGCTGCCTGCGCAGCATCTATTGAATCATATAAAATGTATGCATGGGCTTCACCCTTCACATATTCTATTTTTTTAATAGCTCCAAATCTATCAAATTCCCTTTCTAGTTGTGCCACTGATGTCCAAGGACCAAGCCCACCCACCCAAACACGTGTAGTGGGTGTAGCCTTGCCATAACCTATCTTACATTGGAATTTACCAATATATTGGCCAGAAAGTTCTACCTTTGCCCGATGAGCCATGTCTAATGTTTGATAACGTACAAATGCAAAAGCATTACCTGTCCCTAATGGTGGTCTTTTTATATCAATATCTTCAACAATACCATAGCGACCAAATATACGCCGGAGTTCCTCATCAGATATATATATTTCTAAATTTCCAGCAAAAAGTGTTCGGGTGGCCAGTGGGTCATCTTCTGGCTGTACATGGTGCAAATAGTTAGGAAATTTATCCTTTTTACTCTCCATTTTCTCAAAATGTGGATGATGAGGGCGAGGCATGTATGGGCGTGGCATATAGTGTGGATGTGGAGGATGATGCATGGGTGGTCGATGATGCATTGGGGGTCCATGAGGACCTGGCATTGGATATTCATGCATTGGTGGTCGGAAATCCCTATGGTGAGGTGGAACACTTGGAGGAATACCATAGGCTCTGTCATCTGGTGGTGGCCTACGCCTATCTGCTGGTGACCAAGCATAAGAATAGGAGCGATCATAATCTGGAGGGGTAACACTTCGTGGTCTACTTCTGTACTCTGATCTGACCGGTTCATATACAGGATCTACAATAGCCACTTTATCATATAAAATAATTCTTGGCTTTGCGTGTTTGGCGTCTCTAGCATCTTCAGTACTACGGAAACAAACATATGCAACACGTTCATCCAATTCATGTGAAATCTTAATACTGAAGTCGCCAAATTTCTTATATTCTCTGTACAAAGTATCTTTAACGATTTCATCGGATGCCTTAGGGTGAAGAGCACTGACACAGAGCACCTTATAATATGATCGTGCTGATTCTTCTCTTACACGCGAACGGGCATAATCGTCTCGACGCGGGGAGACGTACCTGCCTCGAGGGCTCGGGGACCGGACTCGGCGCCGCACCCGTTCTGGAGACGCGCGGCCATCCGAGCTGTTATCACACCTCCCTATGCTACTACGCGTTCGCATACTATCCCTTGATAAACTTCTCTTCATGTTGCGAATTTTCACCGTAATTCGATCTCTATCTCTATCACTATGCGGTAATCCAATCATGAAAGCTCAGTTTGATGAACCACTATCTGAAATGCACAACATTACACGTCACTTTAATGTCGCCATGTTCACAAAGATACAATTTCACTGCAACACAAAAGTTTTTATTGTCTTACCACAAGTGAATTATAGTCTCGAGTCTCTTGGATTGTCACTAACTTAACAATTCCACAATAACAACTTTGTAGAAATTATACGAAAACAAAATAAAATAAAACAAATAAGCAAAACTTATTAGTCTTCAAGAAAATGAGGAACAGGACATGATAGACCACAGATACAAATGTACCACAGATACATATCTATATACAATTAATACAATATAGACATTTGTTAATGAGCCCACAGAGTTGATAGATAAATCTACACCTGACGTAATCTGTGGTACTCTACTACGCATAAATATTCTATGGATGACATTACATGACATTGACGTACATTAGAAAAAATTGGTATCGATATGTCATATATCTATACTATATGTTGTTAGTGTTATTATTTATATAGGTGTTACAACTATATTTTTCAAAATATAAACGAGAAAAATAGTAATTATTATTAATTAATTAATGATTCTAAATAGTCTGGTCTGCGTTCTATTCTATACGTACCAACAGTAAACGATCACTATACTTTAAGGTCCGTATCTGGATTTCTGTATACTTTGACCCCAACTCAATGAAGAGATCAGTTACCAGTGCGATTCATTATCATTAAAAATAAAAACGAACTTTGATAATAAATACCTAATGATAGAAAGGTTAATTATAAAGTATTGCGTTTTACATTAATAATTTTGTTATTAATCAATTACTATTTAAAACATAGGTATATACTTAAATGTTTAAAGTTAAATTACTTACACAACAATGGATATATTAGTGAAAGTCAACAACGAGTCTAATGGAAGAGATAAGTTAGCACGGTAATAATTATTTTTTTTACTTTTAAATACCTGCCTTAATTATAATTTTATTTTATTGTTTTATTTAACAATAAAATGTTATTGTTTAAGCTTGGTGCAGTATACAAGTAAACTAGTATGGCATCAATTGGAAACAAGGAATGCCAATAAATATTCTATAGATAGAATTAAAAACTTAGAATCCAATCTTGGAAGTTTCCGGAAAAGTGAGTATTTGACATTACACAATATTTCTACTTTCCTGACACTGGTGGCAAGAACTTCATAACACCAGTTGTAGGTTTTCTATTTTATTGCTGTAAACACACATGTATTCTGAAGAGTAAGAAAACACACTTAAAATTTGTATCTAACATACAAATTACGAGACTTATGAAGCATATGAGGCAATAAAATAAAACTTGAAACTAGATTTATCAAGTTTATGCTGTCATCTACAGTTTTAATCCTAAACAATTTTTTATACTTGTTATATCTCTTTTTTTTTATGTTTCAGTTTTAAGACTTGGGAGGTGCTTAGATGTCTGTTATGCTGCCTTAAATGTTTTACACACTGAAGATCCATTCTTGAGATTTACACTAACTTCAAGCAAAATTGCACAAGCACTATTTCTGTATGCAGATCATATAGTGTGGTTATCAAGAAGTGGATTTCTCAAAACAGACTCAGACAATTGGAATAAAACAGCCAACAGATTCTGGCTCTTATCCATAGTGGCTAACCTTGCCAGAGATTTGTATGAAATACTCCATATCTTGGATTTGAATACAACTGTGTTTTTAAAGCCATCTGAATTTAATGAAACAATAAAAAAATTCAGTTTAAGTGATAGCGCAAAACATGTCTATACAATTTTGAATTGTCATAAAGATGTGTTTATTGATACTTTGAAGAATTCTTGTGACTTGTTTATACCTCTGACTGCTTTAGGTTTTACAAAATTGAGCCCTAGTGCAGTGGGTGCTTTAGGTGCTGTATCGTCTGCTGCAGCTCTATTGACTATTGTTAAACCAATCACAAAATTGGTACCTGCATGATTGTCTTCCAAATCTTATAATTTCTTGTATTCACTATTACATGGTGAAGGATTAATAAAATTATCTTTGATGTACAAGTTCTTTAATTATGTACTAAGGCATATTTGTATATTATTTTTAATTTACTGGCTTTAATTTATACAGAATAATAAATTATTTTGCAAATTTATGTATATATTGATTCCAGTCTTATAACAAGGGAGTTTATAGGGGTTGTTTGTTATTTTTTTTATATGAATGTTTTGTATTTAAATATATTTTATTATATTAAGACAGTATATTTTTGATAACAATTGGTTTTATTTTGTCATAGAAAATTCTACTTCAGTTTTAGTATTTATATTATTTATATATGTATCAAACTTTCATCTCAGCTGAAACCTGCCTTCTTTCGCATTAAAATGTAGCCTATGGGTACATTATAATGCGAAAGTTGGTTCAAAAATTCGTTCTCTTTAGGTCTAGACTATCTGCGTACTAAATTTCATTTAAATCGGTTAAGAAGTTTTAGCGTGAAATCGAGACAGACAGACAAAGCTACTTTCGAATTTATAATATTAGTCATATCAATTCGGTACCCTCGACATGTGAGTCAAACTCACAATAAGAGTTTATGGACTTGATCAGTACATTCAATAGTTATAGTTAATACTAAATATATTCTCGCTACACCGGTACACCCTGTGTATTATATTATATCATTATGGTAATATCGTAACGAATTAACTGTGTACAAAATATACTCGTAGATGTATATCGTCAGTTCATAAACTTTGTTTTAGTGGGGGAAGGTGATTGTTAGTAATTTGGACTGTTGCCCCCATTGCTAGCAATGTACTATCCCAGATTGACCTCCACGGGGAACCGCGTGGAGGTAAACATCATGATAAATTACTGGTGAATTTGTCGCGATGAGCTAACTCTCATGCTCATTTTATCATGCTCCACTAGTATCCCGTCAGCGTAAATCATTAGCGCAGACACGTGTAGATCTAACATTCTATAATCATCCATAAAAAAAAATCATTTTTTTAGTAAAGTTTTTTTTTGGCTATAGGCTAGTGTTGCCTATTATGCCACTGAAAACAGGAAACGATACGGGATAATGGAAAGGGTTAAATTTTGAATATACTCGGAATTAGTGATCATGGGTTTTAAAGTTTAATATTATTATGGGAAATAAAAGACGCAAGAGATTTATAAATTATAGGACTAGGATGAGCTAATAGACATACGATGGATGAAGGAAAAGGAATTTATAATGAGATGAATGTCTCTATAAATGAAGAACAATCGTAAAAGGAGCAGGAAAACACAATATGATTTAGATCACCCACATCACAGATATTATTGTCTTTTATACATAGTTTTGTATACCTGCTAATTTTTTGTAGTTCGTCGTGGGCTCGTCTTGCACGTAAAAGTTCGCCTAAAATTCCCTAAATTTCGACTAGAGTCATTGAATCTAGTTCTTATGAGAACTAGTTCGTTTTTGATAAATAATGAGATATTGTATATTAGCTAGTGTGTAAGGTGTCATTTAGTTTGGACTTTACAAACTGTAAACTCGCAAGTGATATCACTGCTGCTAAATCTGAACTATTCAAATATATTCTCATATCTTGAATATGTGGCGAATTAATTATTATCGGGCGCAAAACCGCTGCCTAGTTACGACAGAAGAATGAAATAACACGCTTGTCATTCGAGACCAAATCACCTTCTTGTATATATACTAATTGTAAATACTTCTATATTATAAATATGTAAATAGTCACGACTGGTTTCTCTTCACCTCCATCTGGTGCTGCTTTTACATGAAAGCAAGGCCCCAACGTAGCCGCTAAAAATAATTCAAACTATTCAAGATTCAAAGTAAGAATATCTTGAAATACTTCAAGATCTATAAAATATTATTATTTTTATTCGAATCGATCTTTCGCTCAATCGAACGAAAGAGCGAAAGATTCGCCAACTAGTTCGCATACTATTACTTCGGTACAACTGGTACCACTCGTCAGAACTAGTTCGTCCGCGAACTACACAACACTGATTTAATTGTCATTTATATTATTATATTATAAATTTTCTTTAATTGAAATAAATTCTTATATATACTTATGGCTCGAAAAATATCAGATACAGCAAGAAAGTTTTTAATGTTAGGTCAATGCGTACCTACTGTTAAACAAAATGCTACTAAAATTAGAGTAAAGAGGTTAGAATTGGACGAAAATTTATTGATGGTTTGTATCCTTTTAATATACTAAATAGTTTGAAATTATTCACAATATAAATTAGGACTTTATAGGTAATAAATGCCTTTTCGGTTATATTCATGGGTCTACATTTTCTTGTTACTAATAAATTCAATTCCTTATTACAGTACTTTAGAAACGACGAATTTTATTACTGCCATGATCCTGATAAGATATGCAAGACTGGAGATATTGTACTCATACAGGCTTTACCACAGAAGCTAACAAAGCTCATAACGCACCAAGTAAAAGAAGTGGTGTATCCCTTTGGTGATGTTACAGACCCAGTCACTGGGAAGAAGGTTGCCAAAGAGAGGTATAGAGAAGACATCGAGAGGGAAGCAGAATTATATGGAAAAACGAATTCTACATTTGATTTCAATAAAGCACCTCCAAGAGGTTGGCAGGATGGGAAAAAGGATTTCACATCTAAGCCTACTTACACCAAATTTCATGTTTTTGATGAAAATGATCCTTATGCCATATAATATATTTATATTAGTTGTAGTTTAGTGTAATTTTATGAATAAGATTATTATATAGATCAAATTTGAATATTGTTTAATTGCTTCCTTTCAGGTATATAAGAATTATATTGAGTAATTTTTATCACATAATTGACAAGGAATAACTGTGATCCTTACCAATAGCAATAAAAAAGTACTGATAGAATGCAATTATTCTTCCATATAGTAACTAATGTAAATAATACAATAGAGTATATATATAACTTGAAAGTAATGTAGTACAATAACCTTACGTTATACAGTCACTTGTATTTTTACAAAAAGAAAATAGACTATTATATTATGGGAATTTTGTACCTCATTAATACTGTAATTGTTATGCGTTTTAATAATTTCATTGCCAATTTTGCAATACTAAGACAATTCTGTCTCTAAATATATAACACAAAGTATCAGTTTTTGTCTTTTTCTCTACTGCTAAACGTAATTTTTTCTCTGGAGGTTTGTCACACATAACAATCATGTAGGCAAACCCATTGTAGGGTTGAGAGGGCCAGGGGGGATCCACCTGGAAGCCATTCTAGTTAATTAATATTATTATAGTACTAATTGACTGGCAATAAAACACAACATTCCACCAAAGAGCATTTTTATTTCGCCGTGGGCATAATGTGCCAGTTTGTCGTCGCCATCAGTCCTGCGCTAGGAATTCTCTCTCCAGCGCAGCACCCATGAGGTTCCAGGAGCTGTCGTCATCAGTTTCGTCTGGTGGCTCAACATCTGAGGGAGGTGAGGTTCGGCGTGGACGTTTGCGAGAGCGTGGTTCATCTAGATAAAAGATTAGAACATATATAGAATGAATTAAAAATTTTATTAATTAAAAAATATCAAAATTTGATTGCGATAAGTGAATTACCTATGTATGTTTAATAAACCTATAAATATACTAATTCAATTGATATCAACAAATAATTATACATAGGAATGTTTCTTTTCATATATGTATATTTATCTAAAAGACCGTAGTACGTTGAAAACATAGATTTGAGTATTACTTGTATACATATACATATATGTAAAAATATATGTCAGTAATGAATCCCTTATTTATATATTAACTTATAAAGATATAAAAATGAAGAATACCTTAAATGTAGTGTAGACTATTTCAGTAAAAATTTTTTTTATATAAATAAAAAAGACTGACTTTCTTGTGAAGTAAACACTGATATAGAACAAAAAATTAATATGAGAGATTGCCATGTCCAATTCAAAATATACTGAGCAAAATCTGGACATGTCAAATAGATCACCACAACATTCACAGTCTCAATAAAGTCACTATTTGGTATAATAGTTATGATAGTATGTTATGTATTCTGAAGATTTAAAATATTTACCTGTATCTGAATCACTGGAACCTACATCTTGTAAATCTTGTAACCTAAAAATAAAATAAATGAAATTAAACTTATTTACCGTTTCTTACAACAATACAAGACAAATAATACCCAATATTAGCTAAATGAATATACAGTTATTGAATCAATATATTAAACTTTTTATATAGACTGACCTATCTTGTGAGCTGTCTTCTGTTTCAACAGTTAGAAGTCTATCTTCTGGAGGATTCTCTTCATCATCTAAATCATCTTCTTTCGGCTGTGATTCATCTGAAGAACTTTCGTCTGATTCATTGAAGATGTCTTCTACCTAAAATTAAAGAGTAGTATTATTCTTTTTAATTCGTCTTGATCATTAATGAAATTGCCATTATTATATAGGATATTATGGAATGTTGACCATACACCTTTTAAGTTATGCTGATTTCTTTAAAAAAAATTACTCTATTCCAATTTTATTTATTTATAACAGACTAGATACCAGATTCCATTCTAAATAAGTATTTCAATCAATTCACACTACACTAAGGTGGGAGGTGGAAGCATTGTTTTATAATATGTTTAGATAAATTGTATAAAAATTGAAACTTGTAACTTAAACAATAAATTCAGGGGCTGATATAGTCCTGACTGTGTACATGATACTACACACTATACATAGCTACAGTTACAGAAAGAAATCTATGTGCTGTCTGTGGGCATTTTTTATTTAAATATATACATATTGTACACAGTAAATTCGCAGTAATCGCAATGAGCATGACTTGGGTGGACACTCGATTATCAGTTCCCACACTCAAAAGATCTGCTAATAGCACCAGGATTGATAGAGAAAAAAAAATTGTAACCAACTACCTCTCGGTCCATATCAGCGATATCATCACTGGAAAAGGAGAGTAGGGGGTTGAGCGTGTCCATGAACCGTCCGGAGGGGGTCCGCCTGCGGAGCGCGGCGGGCGGCGCGGCGGCGGCGGCGGGCGCGGGCGCGGGCGGCGGGCTGCTGCAGTGCGCCGGCGGCCGCCGCGAGCTGCTCTGTGGACACATACGACATTACTCACACTAAAACTGAACGAACATACACCTTGTGTCTACACATCATCCGCATACATATGAAGAACTGTAGATCGGCGTTTGCCAAACTTTTTAGCGACATACCCGATGGTTGAGTGGCAGAAAATACTTCAAGGTGTTAAGTCCGCCATATGCATCTATTTTTGTGCATTATGGTTTGAATGATGCATCTTGGCATTTCTAAAACTCTTAAGTCCAGATGCTCTTTGGGGGAGGGGAGGAGGGGGGGGGGGGGGCTCCTCCCTCCCCCAAAGAGCATCTGTAACACTGATGTTGATGCTTACAATAATAATCATTCTTATTAATAGAATTTAGAAGAAATAATTGAGGCAATTCAGTTTATAACTTAGAGGGGGCAGTGAATCCACCCTCTCTGCTATTCTGTTACAGCCTTAAGTAACCATTTAAGTTCAAAACTGTCTTCTACTAACCAAAAAATATACAATTTTGACAATAACATAACAAAATTACTAACTAATAACTACAAAGATTACATTCACACACATGAATATAAACAAAATAAAAGTAAGTAGTAGTTTACTATACCTGGCTGCCTCTTTGTAAAGGGTATAATCTTTCATCAACCCTCTCCCATCGTTCGGCACAGGTCCACAACCAATCTGGTGTAACTACATGCAATTTATTAGCTTTTCCTTCACCTAGACGTCTACTAGCATTTACTTTTGCGGTACCTGTAATAAGTTTAGACGTTTTTATTACAAAATTACTTATTATTTACATAAAATAATGAAGTGGTACAAGTATTGTTGAAATATTTTAATTGCAAATACATCAAATGTTATTATTATAGATCACTTCATCACATAGATTGTTTAAATATTTTATTATATTATTTTCAATGAAGAAGTAGCCTGTTAGATAAGGACAAAGGTTCAGTTCCATAGGTTCATTAGCCATTTTACATTGTTATGAACAATATGAAGAGGTATATTTAATAATTTATGGATAGTTTCATATTCACCAAGTGTAGCTAATTTATAAATATGGCATGAAACCAGAAAATAGTATGTGGTATTTACCTGCTCTCACTGCAACTAAGTGTGTAGTGTTATCAGTGTAATCTTGTGTGACATCTGCCCCTAAACTCTTTGCCACCAAATAGGCTCTTGAAGTCTCTAATCTCTGGTGGGTCGGCACCAGGCCACTGAAAACTAGACTGACACCAGTTAGGACTTTGTTTTTCACTTGGGGTATGACTGTTTTTAAGTCAGGTATCTGTTTGTTTTCTGTCTTATCATATAAATCATAAAAGTGTCTGGAAAAAATAAAACTTATTAATACCAACATTTTAAATATACTGCAAATATATGACTGAAACACAAGAAAATAATGTATATTTTAAATCTACTTCACTAAATCTTGTGTAAAAAAGTAATCATCAATATTTAGCAACAATACATCCTAACAAAACCACAAATATAGTTAAATTGGGAGTATGTACCTCTTTTAATTCAGCATAAAAACAATGAAATAGTTTTTTCAGCCAGTATATAAAAAAATATTGTAACTGATTAAAAAAAAACAATAATAAAAAAAATATGTAGCAGTTGAGTTTCTTGTCAGTTTTTTTCAACTGAAGTATCTGATAGTGATTTAAAATTATGACTTGGAAAGTGGCAGGATGATATGAATAAATAATTTCGACTTTTACATGTTTTAACAAATATTACACATATTAAAAATATATTATATAGATGCACTTACTTATGTATTCTTTTAAGTATATCCTCCAAATATATTAAGTAGTCATCTGTATCTTCCATTTCTATTTGACCATCTGCTGTTTCTACCCATCGAGGCTCAGCTCCATCATTAACTTTTTCACCTTCTTCCTCAGTTCCATCATTCTTCTCATCATTAAGTTTATTTTTGTCTTTACTAAGTATTTTACCATTGCCACCATCATTTTCAATGGCATCCTTTTGTTCTTTTATATCTACAACACCGTCTTTTTGTTCTGGCTCTGGATCTAAAGTAGGCATTTGATGTATCACTGGTACTTGTGAACCATTCTTACCACTAATTAATTTTGTTTTTTCATCCACTAAAATTAAATTACCAATTATAAAAATGTTAAGTTTTATCAAATTTAACAACAAGTTGCAATTATTTAAGAGTAGAAATATAGGGTTAGTTACAAAGGCTGTAATTAGACAAAAGCCAGGTAGAATAGTCATAAAACTTATTCAATTTAATAATAAACTGAATCCGTTACATGGCTATTTTACATATAATGAAAGGAGAATACTGCAAATAATTTTTCTATTTTTCATATCAAAGTAATTATGACACTAATAGGAATGTTTCAAAAGTTATTATTTGATTTTCCACTTTTCTTATTAGAGATATTTGTTAGGTTCTATGAATATATATCATTTCAGGCTAGAAGATGTCCACAAAAAAAATCGAGTCACCTTCTATGAATATTGTCACTGGCTTTTGGCTTGGTATACATTAAAGCACACCTCATGCATTTGTAGTCCTCGTATCTGTCTTTCTTTTAATGCTCAACAAAAGAAAGTCTTCAGAAGGGCAATATTTTATTTATGGATTTTTTGTGGAGTTGCATATAAAATGAATATTGCAACTCGTATCCGAATCCAACTTTAAGACAATTTATACATTAATTGTTTGGAAGTGTCTTTTACATGTAATTAATTACCAGGTAATTTGATTTAGCTAGGTACCATTGGAAATTTATGATTTGTTAATTTAGTAACCTAACACAGTGGGAAAGAAACAGGAGTAGCGGAAAATTGTATTACCAGTTAAATAAGTGCGTGTCACTTTTGTCCATGTGTTGTAAATACAATGCATAGGGACAAAACAGTATATAGTCATTTCATTTTCAAATGATTATCAATATCCAAACCTAAATAGTATGTATATATTATATGGTATGTAAAATGAAGGTATCATTGATAATGTTCTTCTCCATATCTATATTTATAATCACATATTAGGCACTTACCCAGTGGAGGAGGTGCATTAATGTCTCCAGTTGATTGGAAAAATGAGTAGGGCCTCACATGTATTAAGTTGGTAGCATGCCTCCATACATCTTCTCTGTCATCTATTATGCACACCATGTTATCTCCACATGGAAATAACGCTCTGAAATATGTAGTATGTTAAAATATAATAGGTATGTAAGTTGCTATACATGGTTGCAATACACACAAAAAAGCAAATATTAATATTAGATTCAAAATAAAACTAAAACTTACTTTAAATTAGCAGATTTTGTCCTAGGATCAAAACATTCGTCTCTGGACAATATTCTATGTGAAAAATATTTTTTCTCTGGGTCTAGTAAATCTGCTATTGCATGGGCGTACTGTCTAGCACCAAATGTGCAGACATGAAGTTCATAGTTTTTGGATGCAGACTCCAGAAATTCTTTTGTACGTGGCCGAAATCTTGTGTGACACCAGCGTCCAGGACCTCCAGGGCAACGTAGAAAGAAATGTAATACACCCTGAAATGTTGAGTTCAGAAAAATTTACATTTCTTATAGTGTAATCTTTAAACAAACATTATCTGATATGGTGATATGGTAACTAATTTTAAGGACAGTCTCTTACATTTAATATTATGAAATGAATGATTAAGATTACAATTACATAGCAAATACAAGTTCACCATGTAACTTTGCTAAAAATTGGTAAACTTCTAGCTAAGATATAATAAAAAATTGTTGACATTATGACATTACCTTTAAATTAGGAGGGATATTATCGTTGGTTGTGTGTATAAGTGTTTGATCTAAATCAACTAGTAGCACTAGTTTCCTGTCCTTCAAAAGACGATCTGCATCTTCACGACCTAATTTTTGTGCCAACTCCTCTGACACCTGGAAATTATACATACAACATATTATAGCTTGTATGAAACAAATATATATAAATAATCAAGAGAACATATATCAGAAGTGTGACTTAAAGAAATAATTTATATCTTAAATAAAAATTATGTTATTACCTTCAATTCAGGTACAGAATGAACCATAGGTACAACAGCCACTTCTCGTTTTGGACCATCGTCCGTACGTAAGTCGGCTCCGCATTCGGCACACATTTCTTTCATAACTGTTGGATGGCGACATTCTTCTATTTCCGCAATAGGTATTCTGTAATAAACAATTTAATATAATTTAATTATTACATAGTTTGTTTACTTTTTTAAAATTGTTTATAATCGTAGGTTGATCGATACAAATTTTGATTTTTGCCGCGCAAATTATATAACAAATGGCAACGTCAAATGACATTGTATGTAGTTAGTACAAAGGGAGTACTTATTTTTAATGATTTTGAACATCAACAACTTCTAATTATGAAAACATAGGGACCAGTTAACAAAAATATTCATAATATCACTAACCCGGGTTCTGCGATGTCTCCTTCTTTCACTTTGATCGATGAGATAGTACCAGCGCGAAGGGCTTTATATTTCTTCAATTCATTGATATTGCCCGACGAATCACTGTATAAAAATAAAATTTGACCTTGTGATACAAATGCACCTTGTTTTATTTTCCACTTCACTACTTTTACAGGCTTTTCAGTTGGAACAAAAATAGGCATAGTTTTGTCGGCCATTTTGAACGGATATTGCGCGTAATTAAAATGAACATCGGCATGTTATTGGCTCGTTGTTGATATTTTTGGCGGTATCGTAAAAACAGCCAATAGAATTAAAGGAACTCGTGAAACAAATGTAATAGAAAACAATTCTTCCGGAAATGCGTCATAAAGAGATAAACAATTTTGGTAACGTCGCTCTGTTCGGATACATCCACAAAATATGAAATGACTGATACTAAGCGTCATAAAATTGCAATGCCTCCGATGCATGTTTTTGATAGTTTAAGGTTTCGTGGTTTCGAAATTTTATGTACATTGCGTATTTACTTAAAAGCGTAACACCTGTTTAATTTAATAATTAATTAAACAATAAATATTTAATCAATTACATATATTAAGCGCAATCAAGCAATAGGATATATCAGTTTGACAATATAATCTTTGATGTCTGACGATGGATTGATTGACATCTCAAGTCACGTATGACTGACAGCTATTACTACAACAAAACAATTTAATTCGTATCAGTGGCTAACGCTAACGAGTTTTCTATTCCTTCCTTTAATTATTATTTTGATTTCTTTAATTTCATTTAGAATTTAATGAGAATAATTAATTGTAAATATGACGGAAGAAAATATTACAGTGAGCGACAACTCAGATACAGATGAAGGCGGAACTCAAGAACTCCGTGGTCATTTGAGTAAATGGACAAACTATATTCACGGTTGGCAGGACAGATTTATTGTTTTGAAGGATTCTACATTGTCCTATTACAAAAGCGAGTTGGAGAGTAATCTTGGATGCCGAGGTGCCTTATGCTTGAAAAAAGCTAAAGTTAAGGTATGGGGTACATGAAGAATGTTTATAGAATACCACGACAGTTAAAACAATTTCCTTGTTTTTATTTTAATAATAATATAATACCGCAGATTATCATGTTGTTATACAACCAATAGCGTGAGGCAAATTATAATCCTAATTGACCTTGATTAGTTTTTATATACAAGTATTTGTATTGGAATGCATGTTTCAGCCACATGAATTTGATGACTGTAGATTCGATGTATCTGTAAATGATTGCGTCTGGTATCTCAGAGCTTCCAATCCTGAAGAGAAGCAACAATGGATAGATGTTTTGGAATCATTCAAAGTGAGTATTCCTTTTTTAAAATAAATAATATGCATTAATGATAAGATGAGCAAAGTACAAACTCTGAACTGTTTTTTTATGATCACAACTCAATGAGATAAAATGAGTCATCACTGTTTTATTAGATATTCAGTTTCAATTGGCTGCAAGGCCATCGTTTGTGGATAATCATTTGTTTCATTGAAATATTGCTTATGTATTAATATAATTTCAAGAAAGACCTTGTACTAGGTTTTGTGTTAAATATTACATACGAAATGTGCAATTTTATTTTAATTGTATATAGATAGATAGATATATAGTTTATTTGTTTGTTACTATATAGGTTTAATATGTCATTTTGACTGTGCTTTAATTATAATTGCTTTAAGATTAGGTATAATTTAAGATTTTGTTTCACAACTGATCACAATTTTAGTAATATTAGGGATAAATTGATTAAACTACAAAACTTTTTAAAATCAGTATGTTTTTAGGGACCTTGCTATTACTAGCATGCATAAAAACATGTACTATTTATTATAAATATAAACTGTACTGCTGTATTTACCAGTATGTTGTACAATATTGACTATTTATTTGTTATTGTTACACATATGATGGGGTAATCCTATTATAATCAATCTATAGAAACTAAAACCCTATAAATCCTTTTTGCCTATTGGAGTTTTAAACTTATGGTGAAATATGTTTCTTTAACAAGCCATTACAATATATACATTTATTTTAATCACTTTATTTTTTAAAAGTGAATACCTAGAAATCTACTATAAAAATTAGTGTCTTGTCAAAATCCTTATAATTTTTTGGAAAAAGGTAGTAAATGTTTACATAAAATGTTATTTTGAATAATTTATAAGCACAAACGTAAAAGTCATAATGATTTATTAAAAATTGATAATTATAATCAGTTCTCATAAAAAAAAGGTAATAAAAGTAATCTTATCTGGATATGTATGGGATTATTATACTTTATTATAAAATACTAATGTTATGTTTTATTCTGTGTAAGATTATTTCTAGTTGAAAAATTCTGCATTCTTAGGTATTCAACATTTTTTTATAAAAAAACTACTTGCTTGATCTGTGTACATTGTTATCATGTAGTGTTATTGGTATTTTAGAATTAATTTAGGTAGCTTTAAATAAATACATAACTGTTATTGTTTTTGTTTCAAATAGGTGGAATCGGGATATGGCACAAGTTCAGACAGCAGTTCCAATGGAGGTGGCTTGCGGAGGCATGGATCAGTTACATCTTTGCAGTCTACCGGCTCTCATGGTTATTATAATTTTATTGTTATCTAACAGTAATAGTTACATCTTTGGTCACTCAATTAGAAAACCTTATATCATGTTATATAAATAGACATATAGTATCAGACATTTAATTGTTATTGAGCAGTATTTATATTCAGTTAATTGTTACTACATCACATCACATTTTCACTTGATGTGTGTACTGTCTTAGTCACACATCATAAATAATGTTTGAGTATTTCAGTGTTTCCGAAAAACTCATCAAATATATTAATCTGATAAACGGTGGTAGGTTCACCCCCAGACGCCCTGGTTTTAAATATAGCATTCACCATAATATTTGTATTTGATATAGATATGCTGATAACGGTTAGATTATCATATTTCATAATATGTGAGGACAAAACTTCTGTTCTGGATGAAATTATTTGATACTTGTTACGGCTCATAATGGCAACAGAGGGGAAGGGGAGAAGGAACTACCTAACTAGCTAGGACTTGTCCGCTTAACTTCCACACTGTTCCCTCTGATAAACAATCCCGATAAAGTTGTAGTGAATAATTTATTAATTATAATAACAACAACATCTAATTATTTTGCAGGACGTACCGCTCGCAGACTCACGGAAAAGATTCAAGAGGTGGATACATACACCGAGTTGCTGTCAAAACAAACTGTACAGTTGCAACGGTACTTTGACAAGTGTGTTGCTGCATACCCTCAAATTAGTGATGACACTACTGAACCAATAGATGCTGTGAAATTGGCTGATGGTAAATATAGATTTATAAAATTTTTCTTTTGCATGTGCTTTATTGAAATCAAAATAACTTTAGTAGGTAGTCACACCTACTAAAGTGATACTACACTACTACTTCTATGACACAAAATTAGACATCACTTGTCAGTATGATGTGTTTTACTCATAGATTAAACTTAAAGAAAAGAATAAAGATTACATATTTAATATATTCTATTAGCAGATTATTTAATAATGGTGACTTTGTTATGTACCATCTCAGGGCGTCTTCTGCGTGGTTTCCCCTGGAAACCTTTCGGGTTATTCCTTAGTTAATTCTCTAGGGGAAGACCAAGGCACTGCTAGATCAACACAATTTTGTTCCAATTTTTTTGATACAAATCAAGAATTAAAAAAAATTATGGAAGATCGTGGAAAATGACAAGAACTCTACCGACAAGCTCTTAATGAATTAATGTAAAGAAAGGGCATGATAGGCTAATTGACCTGGCTTCATGCTCTATTTCATCATCCTTCATTTTCTTCTTTGTCATCCTTTACTATCCAACAGCATGTATCATTATTATGGAGACCTGTACAATACTCATAATTCTTTAAAAAGAAAATATAATCACTGTAAATGATATTGTATTGGTACAGTATAGTACAGTAATTATTGTTTATCACAGAATCATTAACGTCATTTACTAATAAATAGATTTATACTATTACACACAGTGCGTAATATTAATGCAAAAGATTGATATATCCTAGATATATAATTAGCATAATAAATTCGCTACATTAACGGAAACTAGCACCAATAAGCTAATGAAGTTTTTCGCAAATATGCCTCATAGTTCTACTTGTTATCTAATTAATGTATCTTAATTATAATGTTTGTGTAGTTGTGTACATTTCAAAATTCCTAGCAGTAACAATACTGTATTTTTTTAATGGATATTAATGGAATGGCACATCCGCCTTGGTTAACGGTTTATGCAGGCATAACACAGTAAAGGATAATAAGATGAGCATCAGTTTAGGCAGTCAGCCGATCTTGATAAATTTACTAAGAATTTACTATGATGGTTTCCAAGGGAGAGACCTTATCAAGGTTGACCTAACAGGGTATATTGCTAGAAAAAGGGTCATTATAAACAATTTCCTTCCTGCCTATACTAATTTTAATGAGTTATAATTATTATATACACTAGCTCCATATATATATATTGTTCCGATGGTAATGTCCACAGAGCCTTATTAATATGCTACCATATTAAATGGATCTAATATCTTTGTCAGTTAATTGATTACGCTCTTGTGTGTATACGTTTTTTTAATGAATAGTAATGGAGTGGTGCATTCGTCTGTGTCTGACTAATAATACCTATAAATGACACCAAATATTAGTATAACAAGTGTTAAATACTAACTATTTAGTGGTAGTTAAATGGGTAAAGTTAACCGTAGATTTTGCCAAGGAAGTTAATGTTTTTTTTTAATATAAAATTATTTGAAATCTTGCTAGTAGTTACGAGTATGTATTAGTACATGCTCTGATTTTACATTGTTTTATATACTATTAGCGAACCGCCCCGATTACTCTCGGATGCATTTCAAATATTTACATTTGTTGGCTTTAGTGTACCTACTATAATACGCATATATCATTAATAGATTTGAATAATAAATAGAGTGATTCAAAAGGAAGGATATATAATCCTTCCTTTTGAATCACTATTTATTATTGAAAACTGCATTAAAATCCATTTTGTAATAAAAGAACTCAAGTACAAGTACAACAGCGACGGCGACTTTATTTTATACATACATAAACATAGCAAACAAATATCTTTACGTATAGTATATGAAAGATATTCGATTATGTAAGAAGACTCTGAAAAAACAGGCTGGTAACTAGTATGCCTATATAAACATCATAATGTATACGTCGTCATGTGTTGCCAGTAGTACTCTCATGCGTTGCCATTTAGCGGGTCATGTAGTCTGCATTCGATAATTTCACTGCCATCTCTCATCCTTCAACTGAAACGTATTGAGCTTGCTGTTGTTAATTCCGTATTTCTTGTAATTACATAGTGTGTAAATACATTCGTTACCTATGTTTAAGTGATTTCATCTTTTACAGGTAACGATCTGTCACTGCATGCAGGTGAGATTCGAGCTACGAGTGCATCATTTCGAGCGACATGTGGTGCTACAATCGCTACTTTGAACCATTGCACAGAGCTACTGCGCAGGCGGGAGAAGCAAGCCAGGCAGGCCGAGGAGTTGTATATGTAATTTAGTCATTTCATTTCATTCCATTTCATTTTAATCATTTCTTTTTTACAATGCTTATCATTATACAGGTTGAGCCGTAAAGGGTGTTATTGGGAATTAAATTTACGTTCAGTTATTTGTTTGTCAAATATGTAAAATTATAAATAGTATAGTATCGGCAAAAGGTATATCAATTTAGTTGCAATATACTCATGAAGGTGAACAAGATATAAAGTGGAGAACTTTTCATACTAAATTGATCATCTGCAGTTTGGATAAATATTTTAAAATTTCCATTTTGTTTAGGGGTAACTTCTTTGATGTCATGAAAACTATCACTGGTCTATATTCTTGGGTTTCTAGTTCTGGAGTCTTACACTATTTTAAATATCGAAGTCCCATATAAAGTTTTTTTTTTCTTACAAAAACATGGTATTTATTTTATTATGTCTCCTTTAAATTTGTAATACATTTATACAATAGGTTGTGGAAGGAAGTTTTCTTAGTTACGCAATTCTGATTTTGAAGAATTATTTATTATTTTGTCCATTATAATGATACTTATGTATTATTGACTAAGCATAGAGAGATTATGTATAAAAAATATGTATGTATCTATGTTTGAAGTAGGTAGGTACAAAAATATTCTCATATGCTGAAAATGAAAGCAAATGAAATTAAACTTAAACTTCTCATATTTTTGGTTCGTTCGAAGTAGCAACAAGCAAGTTTATAAAAAACTAAAACATATTGAATTGTTCTCAGATCTATTTTATTTTATTACTTTAACATTTTAAAATATTTTATTATTTTTACGTTTACTATAATGTTTTTTGTAGGGCATTGAAAAATCAGCTGACTGAAGCAAGATTGGCATCTAAACCGGGACCTGATCATGAGGTAAGTGTTATTTTTAGGTAAAAATATTACTTTTTTATAGTAATAAATTCAGGATTTGTTTTTTTTTGTACTCAGATTTAAAAAAATACTCATATTACTATTTGCCGATGGATTGATTATTGTTACGATCAAGCAGTCATTGTGTGCAACACTAACTATTGTATAAAATACTGAAATAGAAAATGATCGAATTTTTAACAAAATCTGTGAAGAACCATAGGTATACTTTATTGACACATTGTAAACAAAAGGAATAAGAATAGAAATAGAATAGAAAATCATTTATTCAAATAAACTTACATTGAAGCACTTTTGAATAGTCATTACATTTTTTAATCTACCACTCGTTCGGAAAGCTGTCTCATCACAAGAAGAACGAGCAAGAAACTTGCGTGTTGCTCTTTTAAATAATTTATTATTACTTTACATTTTTAAGTTTAAGTGTGTGAATACAAACCACCAATTAGCACTAATTCTATTAAATACTCAAATAGAAATAATATTGAATATATAACCAACTGGTTAAACAATTAATAAGAGGAAATCAGTCATAGTGATTAGAGCAGATCAGTCCCTACAAGCAGCACTCGTTCACGAGTATGACGGATGGGCCAGCGATCACTAGGCTCGACCCGGCCCACCACGCCGCCACATGTCTGGACATTTTAGTGAGCATGACTACTCAAAACACTAGACTACGTCAAAGCTACTTACAATTGCTATCTGATAGTTATAGTATTCACATTTTACATAAGAATGCATGCGGCAATCAATACAAAAACCGCTACGCTTTCATATTTCTAAAATCAATCAATTAAATCAAGAAAGCAATGAGAAAATTAAATTATAACGTTGTATGCTAATAAACTAGTTATTTACTTGATGTTGTCGTCTATGAATTCGTCTATCCTGTAATAGGCTTTCTTACACAAAAATTGTTTAATATAGGATTTGAATTGCCTCTCTGTCATATTTAGTGCAGATTCTGGCAGTTTATTATAAAATCTTACGCAATTACCATAGAATGAATTACTGATATTTAAAAATTAGCTTATTTTTATTGCGTAAGTTTCTATTTGTACAGTCTTTAAGTAAGGCTTAATTATAGTTTAAAAATTAACATCTACTGGTGTTCATTTTTATAATTTATAAAGAAATCATATAAAACCATGTCATGTAGTCGCGAATGTTATTTATAACTATTTTACATCTTATTTCTAAAGCTCCCTATAAAAACATTAAACACTTATTTTAATTATAGTTTATATTGTATCTGCCATATTATAATAAATCTTTTCTTAGATATAATATAGTCAACTTAAATAGATTCTTTATACGCAAATTTATATTCACATGTGTTTTATACACTGAAAATTTATTAAGTAAACATCTTTATATTTACGATTGAAAAGCCCATAACAAAACATAACTTCAGACCAATTTTCCACATGCCAGCCAATACAATCACACGACACAACTAACTCTAGTGCGGATTGCCGCGCGAGACGGTCGCGTGTTTCCGAACGCAGCCGCGCTTTCATTTACGCGGGAATTTCAACATATCAACTTATTTTCAGTGATTACCTGTGGCCTTGTGTAGAAATCAAAACAGTGCCTTAATTATATTTGTGGTGTTTAGTATATATTTATTTTAATATTAGTTTATTGATAAAATTATGAAGTTCAAAATATTTAAGAAGAGCCTGCGTCAGGTGAGTGGTTTATTGACTTAGCTGTGGTATATATTGCTTACTTGTCTTTCGATATACGATTCAGGTGGCTTATGGTTTTTTTTTAGTGTATCTTATTACATAGCAGCGGATGTAGAATTTCTAAAACGCTGTATATTGTGTACCTTAGCTTTAACTATTATATTTCAGCTGCCAAGCAGCTTGCTTTATAATCTGTATTTTAGAAAGTATATAAGGCAGTGAAATTATAGGATAAAAACTTGCCATCTTATTACTTAGGAATGGCAATGCATGGGTGGTCTCATGGGAGTCATGTGATAACGTATTGCTATTCATGATGATTACCAATTACCATCTGGTGGGCCGACAGAATATTTACTTTTCCAATTACATAAATTACTATATTATAATTTTTATATATAATGTATTGGTATACATACATACTAGTATACTTATATTGTTTAAATTAGAACAAGCCCATTTTCGTCGCAATTTATAAAACAACTTTTTTGCCGTAAATATCTGTCTGTCTATATTATATTTGTAAATTACTACCACCAAATCTATTAATTGTTAAGGGTTTGCTAAAATTTTATTAATCGTGTGTTCATTTAGATCACCCATGTTATAGGTGTATGATGCATACCAGTGACACAGCATACACTCGTATTCCTGAGTCACGTATACTATGTGATTCAGGAATACCAGGGTATTCTGTGAGAAATTCTCGAATGAGTACTATCGTAATGGTATTTCTTTTTATGATTAAATGATATTATCATTACGATTACATGGTATAAAATAAAGTCACTGTCGATGTCTGTCCCTATGTATACTTAAATCTCTAAAACTACGCAACGGATTTTGAAGCGGATTTTAATAGGTTAGAGTGATTCTAGAGGAATGTTTATATATATAATACATGTACACCAAGGCGAAGCCGGGGCGAGTAGCTAGTTATTAATAAAAATATATTTATATCGTCTAACTTAGTAAGTAATAATACTAAAGTAGCAAATATTTTCACAAGAATCCGGAAAAGTGCACGTCAGTAATACTTACGCACGTAATTTGATACTAATAGGGATATTCGTGGATAATCAATAGCGGCAATTATAATTTATTCTTCAATGTTGTCTACATTCACATCACAATACCAATCTTACATATACATTATTACCTTAAATATATGCAAAATAGTAGTACTTACTCATTTTTAAAGTGATGGATTATACTTTTATTCCAGCAATATATCTAAAAGATACCCATACATTGTCTCTTTTTAAAATAAAGTAATTTACGGCTTTTATTTTTGTCTAAACTAATATTATTAATTATTATACTGTAAGAAAGGAACGATTATTTTTAATTGGTAAACTAAATAAAACAGTAAATAATAATTTTTAGACCATTAGAAAACTAAATTAACAATGAGTATCCGATGTATACGATATATGTTTTATATACGATCGGTTTTTATAATAACATCAACATCAGCATTATCTATGAGTACTTAAAAGTACAGATTTCCAGTTACAAAAGTAGGGGAAAAAAAAACATTAGACATAAAATTAAATATATAACAATTCAGATAACACCAAGAAATAGTCGCTGTAATTTCATTTCTTTTTGCTTTCATTGTTGTTATGAGTATTATGTTAAATAAATAAATAAAACTGGATAATTAACACAGCGCCATCTAGTCCCACTCTAAGCAATGTTATGGGTATATATTTAGATGTTTGTTTTTGTAAATACATACATAATATATTGTACATAGAAATCAAGCAGAATACAAATGGTTGCACCGTGCGAGAAATCGAACCCGCGACTATTTGAAGTAAAGCAGTGTGCTAAACCGCTAGACCACCGAGGCCGTCAAATGTATGAAGTTTGTCATTTCAAATGAGAAATCTCATGGAACACTTGTTGAAAACAGACCATGGTGTTCTATTTCAACTTAGGTTACACGTTATGTGATAGATCGAGTAACTATACATATACGTACATACAAGTATGTGATAGTAGCCGGTTATGCGGCTTTTCATTCTGCTTCCATTGACCTAGAAATCATTATTACTTGATATATCTTTGCTCTAGGCTGATCTGTAACTGATATATCATGTCTAAATGTCTATACCATCATGCTAACAGAAAAGTTAAAATAAATTGTTTTTTGACAAACAAACTGATGGTCAACCTAATGATTAATGGCAACTGTCATCTATGTGCATGAATAGCACGGACATCACTTCCACCATGCTCTGCGATGACCGTGGTACACCTCACATCTTACCGTACCGTAGGATTGAAGGGCGTAGGACCATATATTATTACAGCCATATCTCGTATTAAAATAAAATTACAAAAAAAAATTGTCTAAAGATATTATTTTGATCACATACCATGTTTCGTACATTAAAGGGCAAGAAAATGACTTATTGTGTAGTCCAGTGTTTCACAACCTTTTTAGTGCCATGCCCCACCTTAGCCTTTATAAAATTCTTATACTCCACCTTTTGTAACCTCCCCACTAAGTAACATACATAATTTATAGCATAAAAAAATAATTAAAGAAATTTAAATATATAATAGGTTTTAGGGAGAAATCCTTAGAAAATTGTTAATGAAACAGTAAGTAAATTTTTAAAATATATAATGAAAACTTGAAATTCAAATTTCATAATTTGAATAGAGTCCCTTATCAAATTAGAGCGTGGGGCGTGGGCCCCACGTTGGGAACCACTGGTGTAGACTGTAATTTAATTAATATAGGGTTGCTATCGATATGCGTTGTTTGGCTTCACTGAAATCATAAGTGATTGTCTGGCCATCTGAAGGTCATGGGTTATATTAATGTATTATAATTCACTGTATAGTTTGAATACTATACGAATGTAGTAGGTGAACACTAGTTGCTATAATTTAGATTCTGGCTAAAACATACTCGTACTTATAACTAAGAGTATAGTCGAATTTTGTATTTATTATGTTATTAACTGAGATATAATATTTATATTTAGCGCACATCGATAGTGTAAGATGATTATTTTTATAAATAATGATTAAATGATAGGCGTATCGGTATAGAGCGCCGTGTGGGAGCGGTGCGATAAATAGGGCGCCGTGTAGAGTACAACCATCTGTGGACGTTATGCCGCCCCGATTTGCCCAAAAATTCCTGATACTGAATTGGCAATGCACTCTAACATTTAAAAGTTACAAGAAAATATAAAAAATAACACAAAAAAAAAGACAATTATACCCCGTAAACATACGAAAATACAGTAGTTTAACAAAAATAATTTG